CACTACTATTGGTCTCCTGCCACCCTCTTTCCCACCACTGTTGGTCTATACCCTTGTTCGTCAACGCAGTCCCCGCCCCGCCGTTTCGTACACAGTGTTGCGGTGGCTGGCTATTCCCCGCCTCCTCACTGTGACCATTGGTCATTTCCTCCTGACTTTCCTGAATCATTGGTCGCCTTGCACGTCCGTCTGCCCTACTGCTTCCTGCAGACTACCTCAGAGCCGTCGCGGCCGGGTTCACGGACCTGCAACACCCTGGCCTCCCGCCCCCTCGCCATCACTATTGGCTACTGCTGCTAAGGCATTTTTGCCGTCTCCTATCGATCATAACCTTCTAGGTCCACCCCTTTCCTCCTCCTCGCCAATCAAGAGTCAAACATTGCACAAGTCTACCCTTCCCCCTTCGTGGACAAGCCGCAGGATAGCGATAGCTGCTGCCTAAGGCGACATGGCTGAATGCGGGACGGCCAGGCTATCTACCAAACGGCGGTGGCTGCTCTCCTAGACCCCAGAAGGAAAGAAACGCGACCTGGATGTACAACCTCGGGCTCGCTTTCCCCGGGGGCAGGGCGGGGGCAGCCAATTAGCGATCTTCGCGGCGGGGGCGAGGCTCTCTCCCAGGTGGGCTGTTCTCAGAGGCGGGACTTCCTCCTGGCTGGGGAGTGGGCGGAGCCGCCGCCGAGAGCTTAGGCCGTCGGCTGACTGCTGAAGTCCTCTTCTGAGCTGTACTTCCAGGGGCTCAGTGGGGATCCTGAAGGCTTGAACCTGCTACGGACAGCGTTGGCCCGACGGACTCCCAGGGTGGGCAACCCGTCGCAGGTGCACTTTGTCGGCCAGTTCTAAAACTGGAGGACCACGGACATCGTTCTTCATGAGTGCATTCTCAAGCCATGCCATCCATTGCAAGAAACTCAAAAAGTAAACGCAGATTAGGGCCAACGCGCTTGCGATGTAAGCCTGAAGATATGAGTCCGCGCTCTCTCCTGTGGCTTTCCATCTGTAATTTCCCCCACCCCCCACCCCGGCTCTTATTGTAAGAAAGGAAGTAAAGCCAGAATTTGTCCAGAAGTTCTGGGGCTAGCTAGCCTTGAATAAGCAGCAAGCGATGGAACAGGAGAAACCCTGTTTCCACCTCAAGGTGGAAAAACCTGAACTGGCTTCTGAACGGTGTCCTCTGACCTCCACACATGCTTGTCTGTGCACACTTCCTGAACATACGGATAACAGGCTAGACGGAGAGTTGACTCAGCACGTCAGAGCATTTGATGCTGGCACATCAACACCGGCACAGATGTGAAGACTTACAACTGTCTGTAACTCTGGTTTCTGGGGATCTTACATCTTCTGACCTCCACAGGCACCAGGCACACGTGTGATCACAGACATACACAACAGGCAAAGCACCCTTCGGTACCAGGATTTTTCTTTTGGGCCATCAACCAGCTCCCAAACCATGACAGACATATTAGTTTTGAATGTTCAACCTAGTTTAGGCACGTTTCTGGCTAGCTCTTTTTATTTAAACTCTTTATCTGCCTTTTGCCACAGGGCTTATTACCTTTCTTCTGTATATCTTCTGTATATCTTACCCTCCCTGCTTCTCTGTGTCTGGCTGGCATCTGCCTGGCTTCTTGTCCTAGATGTCACCCTCGTTCTCCTCTCGTTCTTCTTTTGGACCTAGATTTCTCCTACTTATTCTCTTTGCCTTGCAGCCCTGCCTGTCTTCTCCTGCCTAGCTATTGGCCTTTCAGTTCTTTATTAGACCAACCAGGTTCCTCAGGCAGGCAAGGTGAAAGAAATGCAACACATCTTTACCTAATTAAATAAAGCACAAACAAAAAATGTAACACACCTTTGCACAGTTAAAGTAATATTAATAAAGTAATAATAAACTGTGTTTATGCACAGTTGTAGCATAAACAAATGTAACACATCTTTGCCTACTTAAAATAATATTCCGGGGCTGGAGAAATGACTCGGCGGTTAAGAGCACTGACGGTTCTTCCAGAGGATCCGGGTTCAATTCCCAGCACCCACATGGCAGCTCACAGCTGTCTGAAAATCCAGTTCCAGGGGACCTGGCACCTTCACACCAATGCACATAAAATAAAAGATAAATAAATCATAAAATTAAAAAAAATATTCCACAACACCCTTCACATAAAATACTATTTATTTATTTATTTATTTATTTATTTATTTATTTATTGTTTTGGCTGTCGATTTGTAGACCAGCAGGTTAGCTTCTAAATCACAGAGATCCACCTGCCTTTGCCTCCCATGTGCTGGGATTAAAGGCCTGTGCCACCACTGCCTGGCTAATCCATTTTTTAAAAAGGAGTGAATCTTGGCCAGAGGTGATAGCCAAGCAATTTGATACTGGAATTCATGAGTCAGAGGCAGGTGGATCTCTGAGTATGAGACCAGCCTGGTCTACAGAGTTCCAGGTCAGAAAAGGAAGCCGTGTCTTAAGAGCTGGGCAATAGTGGTGCACACCTTTAATACTAGCACTCCATAGGCAGAGGCAGGCAGATCTCTGAGTTCGAGACCAGGTTGGTCTACAAAGCAAATTTCAAGATAACCGGAGTTGTTACACAGAGAAACCCTGTCTCAATATAGAAAAAAAAAAGAGAAAATAATAAGCTGTGTGTGATGGCACAAATTTATAATCCCAGCCGCTTGGGAAGATACGTTTCTAGCAAAGTTGACTCAGATGCACCCCCTGGGACTTGGATGCTGCTTCCTCATATGACGACTGAACAGTCAACACTTTCTGAAATACAAGTCTACAGGAAAAGTCAGGGTGCTACCACAGTGATCAGGAGCCCATGCGGTACTGAGCCTGTCCACAGCTGACATCTTCCCTGACTGCTGGGAAGGTAAGGAACAGGACCAGGCAAGAACCTGCTCCCCAACAGACCGATTGCCTCTATAGCCCTAGTACTCAGAAGGATGACGCAGAAGGATTGCCATGAGTTCAAGACCAGTTTGGGCCACAAAAACAAAACCCTGGATTAGAAGGATGGTGCTGGAGAGATGGCTGAGCTGTTAAGAATGGTTGCTGCACTTGTGCGGGACTGGAGTTTGGTTCCTAGTACCACATCCCTACACAACTCACAACACCTACACCTCCATTGTCAGGGGATCCAATGCTCACTTCTGCCCATCTTGGGTACCCACATTCACATTCACATACACTCACACAGACATACATTATTTCTAGAATTATAAATAAACCCTTTTAGATCCTCAGGCCAACAATGGCCAAGCTGGGCGATGCTGGGTTGCCATGTCCGGTGGCCACAGAACAGCAGGTACAGTTTACAGCAGAAGCTGAGCCATAGTGGGACAAGCATGTGGAAAAGCCAGGACAGCTACCAGACTCCCGCACTAAAACTGCTTCTTTAGCTGTGTGACAATTTCACTGATTGGTGTTCCCAGATTGTATAGAATGGAGGTCAGTGAACAATCATTCAAGAGAATAGCAACACACACACATATACCAACTAGGCATGGTGGCTCACACTTCTAATCCCAGTACACTTGGGAAGCTGAAGCAGGAGGACTGTCTCAAGTTCAAGACCTAGCCTAGAGAAACCCTGCTCAAACATACAGACAGACAGACAGACATAGAGGGGTCTTTCCTCTTTTCCCCCAAGGGATTGCTGGATCTAGACCTTGCCTCCAGCAGCAGGTACCTTTCAAGGCAGCCACACACTAAGTGACCATCCCCCTCCAAAGTTGAAGACATGGCCTTTATGAGCACTTGACCCTGTGAACACTGCCACATGATTTGATACATTATTCAGGGAAGCTTCTGTGAGAGACCAGTAGCAGGGAAGTAGTAAGAGAGCTCTCCTCACCTGCCTTCAGGGACAGGGTTTCCTGCTATTCTCTTGGTCAGGGTATGTTGGGTGGAGGCTCCTGGGCCCAGGAGTGCAGAACCACACTGAGGCCTTCCAGCAGGACTCTCAGCTCACTTTTTTTTTTTCTCCCTGAGACAGGGTTTCTTTGTGTAACAACTCAAGCTGTCCTGGAACTAGTTCTGAAGACCATGCTGGCCTCAAATTCACAGAGATTCACCTGCCTCCACCTGCCTCTGCTTCCCGAGTGCTGGAATTAAAGGCATGCGCCACCACTGTCTGGCTCTCAACTCACACTTAATCTCAAAGGATCCCAGAAGTTCTTACCTGTACCTTTTCTTCAGGCTACATTTTTTTTTTTTTTTTTTTTTTTTTTTGCCCAGGAGTGGCCATTGGCTGGACTCTGGGTCACAGGAGATTAATAAGAACATCACACCCATCCACAGGTCAACAGAAACTCAGAAAGTCCTGACCTTCGGCTGATGAGGAGTTGAGGACTGAGTCCCTAAAGAACCAGAACCTGCTTCTCAGGAAGATCCTTCGCTGTAGAGGCCACTGTGCCCAGACTTGAGGCCAGCCTATGCTCTGATGGCTCTCACCTCCTGAACTAGCAGTAATGTCTGTAAGAGCCTTTCTTCAGAGATGTAAGCCTTGAAACAGTGATGCTCATCTACAGATGCTGAGACTCTCTGGAACGGATGGTGGGGAGAAGCCCAGTCCCCCTTTCCAGAGACTGTACATCACAGACAGCCCATGGCAGGTGAATTCAGGTATTGACTTGAGTATATTATAACACTGAGAGAACTGGTTATACTTTATTTTGAGGGTTTCTTTGAGAATATTTACATAAACAGGACGGACTTTGAGTCTGAGTGGACTGAGCCAGCATGGTGAATCACACCTTTTTCACAATTTGTGAGGCAGGACTCATGGGTGGTAAGACATTGATGAAGTCATGAGGGTGGCTCCCAAGGTGGCATTAGTGGCTTTAGGACGAGAGCTGAGCTAGCACACATGCTTTGTTCTCACCATGTGATGCCTGGTATCATACTGTTTTGACAAAAAAGGCCCATAATCAGATGCTGCTGACTGTGTGATTGGATTCACAGCCTCTGGACAAGCAAAATGAACCTCTATCCATAAACTGGTCTCTTGCATTTTGCTATAATTAGAACAGACTAAGACAAACTTCCTCACTCTGGGTGGGACCCTAAGTCCTCAGAGAGCTCTGGGAACCATACAAAGGGACAGACCCTGGGTCCTGCAACCCATGTCCAGGAAACTCAGAAGTACCCACAAACAATTCAGTTGAGCTGGAAACAGAACTCAGCCGATAGTTGGTCTAGCACGTGTTATACTCTGGGTTTGCTCCTTAGCACTGCATAACTGTGTGTTACAAAACTGTAATCCCAACACTCAAGAAGTAGAGGCAGCCAGATCAGCAGCCAAAATCATCCTCAGCTTCATAGCCAGCTTGAGACCAGCCTGAGATACATGAGACCCTGTTTCAAAATAGAAGTTTCAATTACTCAGAAGTCCTGGCCTTAGCTAGGCAGCAAGGAATGGTCCCACAAACCTCTCATAGTAGACAGATCCAGACACCTGGATGGACATTGCAGTTAGTGGAGAAAGAATGAGGAGGGCAGGCCATTTTCATGTCCCACATATCTGTAGACAAGCTTTTAGTTACACCGGGTAAAGTCAGGCATGGTGACACAAAGCTTAATCCCAGTATTTGGGAGACAGGCAAATTCATGAAGCTAATCTGATCTGCACAGCAAGCTCCAGGTCTAGGTAGAGTTAGTAAGTGGATCAAATTTCAATAGTACCCATTCACAATCAAAAATCTGTATCTTTTAGGAGAGCAGATTTCAAAGCTTTTAGTTACAAAGGAAGGCAGCTTGTGATAGGAACCCTGGCAGCTCCTGGGAAAAGCCACCAGTCTGACAGCACTAGGCACCTGTCTACCGAGGTAATGCCCACAGAGACAACAGTCCTTGTTGTTACAAATGCATGAGCTATATCTGAGAATAATCAGAAAAACCTCCACAGACGCAGCTCTCTGCAAAAACTCTTGTGGCTCCAATGCCAGTGTTCTTTCAGCCAGCTCTGGTGCCAGGTCCTGACTGGTCCCCAGAAGGGCAGACAGCCCAGTATTCTGCTGCACAGAATGACAGCTGCCAGGCAAATCTCATGACAGGGCTGCACAAGGGCCAGCTGGGCTGAGCTCAGCACCTTCTCCTAATGGAAGTCCAGGGGTGAAGGGGTGAACACAGGCAGCTAAAGGATGTGTCAGGGTGGCCAGGCAGTAGGTAAGGAATGCATACACAGGAAATGGCCACCTGCGTGAAGATGGACCCTAAAGGGTTACCAAGTAGGCCAGGTCCAAGGCAAGACAGCTGTGAGGCCTACCTAAAGTGTGACCTCCAGTATTGCAGATGACAGATACCACTTTCAGTGAGCTCTGGATGGATGCACGACTACACAGGGCCCTCTGGCACTTCCCAGCTGGCCTCTACTGCTCCTTTGTGGAGCCCTAAGCTAGAAAGCACTAAGGGTTTCCTCTGCATAACCAGGACAACAGGCCTGGAGTCATCTGAAGACTGCAGATGGTAATGTTAGTTCATATTGGGTGGTGGTGGCGCACGCCTTCAATCCCAGCACTCGGGAGGCAGAGGCAGGCAGATCTTTTAGTCTGAGGCCAGCCTGGTCTACACAGTGAGTTCTGGGACAACTAGTGCTCCATAGAGAAACTCTGTCAGTCCAGGTCAGTACTCTGTCATGTACGAAATTCACATACTCAGAGCTCAGAGTAAACACAAAGCATCCCCCCCGACACCCCTTCTCCACCAGACTGTATGCCTGCCCCTAGAACCAGGGTGAGGCTATGGCCAGAAGCCCTGAGGCCCTAGGTTTGTTCATCTAAGATATCTAAGATATCTTCAAGTGCTTAGGGCTGCAGAGACACCCAGCAGTTATTGGAAAAACCTCGGGAAGGAAATGATGGCAGTCGTCATGGAGACAATGCTCCATTCAGCCCACCCACCTAGAGCCTGGCCAGACTTGAATCACACCCAAGCTGATACTCCAAATTCATGAGAGGTTTTTATTGTCACCACAGGGTCAGGATCCATCTTCACCAACACCCTCCATTGGGTGCTTAAGGGTTGCTGTGGCCTAGAGCAAAGGGAAGCAGGCACAGACGAACCAATGTAGATAGTCCTAAATGCCCCTGAGAGACAGGCAGGGCTGGCTGCACCTTTCCTGTCCGCAGTGGACACTTCGAGACCATCAGACAGTGAGGCTTCCTGCCCCCTAGGGACTAGTTCACATGGGATCCTACTAAGTGGCAGGAAACCTTGGCCATTCCACCTCCCCAAGGTCATTCACACACTGAGCCACAAAAGTGCCTGTCCAGATGGGAGCTGTCTGGTCCTGTAAGGAGTCAATGAGAGAAGAAAATATTTTGCCAAAAGGTCTATTCCCACATGGGGCACTCAGCAAGAGAAGGGCAGCCAGGTGGGCAGGTACCCAATTACTCCACATGGTCTGACTTCAAGCAAAGGGCACCCAGCGGCCAATTAGCAGCACCTTCACAAAGCAATCTCCAGGGAGCAGCAACAAGCAAACCCAGTGAAGCACAGAGTGAGGGATTAGTTTGCTGGGGCAGGGGGTCAGGAGCTGCCTCAGTTCCCCAGATGGGAATATTCTGCTGAGGCTTCTGGAGTGTACCAGGTACCCCAGGAGTGCTCCCACCCACTAAAGCAGTCAAGGAAGCCTGCTAGCATATCCAGAGTCTGAGCCCTTCTGGGAAGCAGGCTCAGTGCAATGACTATAGCAAACCAGGGAATCCTCACATAGGTGATGCTAGTGCAGTGATTCTCAACGTGTGGGTTGCAACTCCTTTGGGGGTTGAACGACGCTTTCATAGGGGTTTCCTAAGACCATAGGAAGACACAGATATTTACATTATGATTCATAACAGTAGCAAGATTACAATTATGAAGTAGGAATGAAAATGTAAGTCTGGGTGTCATCATAACACGAAAGGGTCGCAGCATTAGGAAGGTTGAGAACCACTGTGCTAGAGAGATGGCGTGCAGGAATGGAACTGACAGGGCCTGAGAGCTAGAGTAGTAACTCAAAGACGAGGCCTGCCTACATTCAGTACACAGTGTCTAATTGGACAATGTAGGACCTGAGATAAACCACCCATGGTCAGTGCTATCCTGGCAGAGAGGAAGCACGATGGTTGTGCAGTCGCTATGGGTAGACTGTGTCCAGATCCTCAGTCTTGTTTGTCCTCTCTCTGCCTCCAGGGGTAGATAAGCTCTCCGAAGAACAGCTTTCGGCACAGGGAACCCCAGGAGTGCTTGGGATGGCAGCCAGAGCTAGGCAGGCGGTAGGTGTGCACCACATGGCTATAGGGCAAGGGGTTTATCTGCAAGGAAAGGGTAATTATTAGTAGGGTGGGTGGTCATGGATGCTTCAGCTGTGTCTATAAAGGAAGGTCTTGAGGGTTGGCATCCTGGGCCTGACTGGCCCTCTGGGGAATCTTTGGCTAGGCAATTATAGAGCAAGCCCAGCTAGGCCCTGACAAACTTCTGGCTGTGAGATAGCTAAGTTGACCAGCAGAGAAGCGGGCCACGCAGCACTGATTCCCTGAGAAAGGGATGGTGATGGGGAGCTCCGTGTCCCTTTGGGTCAGTAATGCACTATCCTAGGATCTACTCCGTCTGGGAGCCGGGGAGGATGACCTTGCAGATGCTTCAGCATCTGAAAGACATGACACTTGGACTAGGACCAAGATACAACTCAGCACCTGGTTGGCCACCCCAAAACTCATTCTGCTCCCTCCCACTGGGACCAAGACCCAAGACTTAAACAATGAAAGAGACAGGGGTTCAAGTCCAGCAGGAAGTGACTGCTTATCCTGAGGCCTTTGCTAAGCCATTTCTGCTTCATCATAACCTTGAGCACGATGGGACCCCACTTCACAGGCCAGACTATATATCAATGTCAACTATGTAGACCATAATAGGTGTCCCACAACCCTGAGGGGGAAGCTCTAGACACAGTGAATTATGATACTCAGATGCCTGGGAACCTACCCCTTAGCCCCAGTGGGCCCTTCTACCTGTCTCTGACCTCTGGCTGACATACCACCAAAGCATCACACCAGCTGACCCCAGCTGTCCCAGAACACAGGCAGAACATGGGGAGGGGTGGGGGTGGCGGTCCAGGTCTGAGCAGCAGTGAAGGGTAGGAGTTCTTACCTGCATCAGGAGGCGCAGGGGCCTGCCTGCCTCCTGTTCCAGAACTCTGAATTTCACACCAGCTATAAGAAAAGCAAGGTACTTAAAAAGAAGGTGGCAAATGTCCACCCCCAGTTAGCCTCATTGGTCCCACTGTGAGTTAGCAGAGGCTATTGAGGGCAATTTGTACAATAAAAGCCCCTCTGAGCCCACCCAGGTGGCAGCAGGTCTGTCTAAGCACACATGGTTCTCTTCTCCACCTTTCCCATCTGCCTCTTTGCTGGGTAGCAGATGCCCTATTAATGGTTCAGTGTCTTACGACTTCTAGCTTCTAGGTCTGGCTGATTTGGGGACTCACAGCACCCCTGGCTTGTAGTTTGGGCTCCCAGTCTAGGAAATGCCCAGGAAGAAAGTTCTTTTTTTTTTAAATTTCATTATTTTTGTTTTAGATTTATTTATTTATTATGTAGACAGTGTTCTGCCTGCATGTATGCCTGCAAACCAGAAGAAGGCACCAGATTTCATTACAGATGGTTGTGAGCCACCATGTGGTTGCTGGGAATTGAACTCAGGACCTCTGGAAGAGCAGTCAGTGTTCTTAACCTCTGAGCCATCTCTCCAGCCCCAGGAAGAAAGTTCTTAAAAAAGAGCAGGAAATAGCCAGGCAATAGTGGTGCACTCCCTTAATCCCAGCACTCAGGAGGCAAAAACAGGCAGAGCTCTGAGTTCAATTCAAGGCCAGCGGGGTCTACTACAGAGTGAGTTCCAGGACAGCCAGGACTACACCGAGAAACCCTGTCTAGAAAACAAAAAAAGCAGGAAATGAAGCTTCCTTGAAGCCAGTGCGTGAGAAGGGACAAAACCACGGCCTGCTGAGCAAAGTTACCTATCCTGCCCAAGCTATTGGCTCCAGGCTAGGGAGAAGGCTCTGAATTCCAGGCTGGGTCTGAGTCTCTTGTGGCCCACCTGTGTTTGTGTCTGAGGTAAAGAAGTAGATGCATAGGGCATGTATGCAACATTGCAAATAAGTCTCTTGCCTGGGCCTCCTGAAGTTAATGGAGAAATTAGCTAGAAGGATGTTCTCAAAATGTTTTATAGGCATTCAGCAGCATGAAGATGCTTTCAGGCAGACCTCGGTTCAAAGTCAAGGAACCTGCACGTCCCTATCAGCTAGATTACCCTCAAGGATTCTGGAATCAGAATGCAGAGATTCAGGGGACAGCTTGGGTACTAGGTGATGATTACAGGCAGTGCAGGGTGATCCTCTCACAGTGCAGCAGCCCTCATCCTGGCCTGCTTCCAAGGGCGAGGGTCATCAAAGAGCAGACACATAGCCTATAACCACATGGAGACAGACTCTCCGAGCACAGACCCTGCAACAAGCCTTCCAAACCACAGGAAGAATAAGGCCTTGGGTCTTTGGGTCTCTGAACTTTACTCTTAGGGAGAGAGAGCAGACCGCATGTTCCCAGGGCCAAGTTTATTTTCACTGCTCTGCTCACCCACCCACACCACATAACCAATTTGTTCAGGCAGGAGGCACATGGCGCAGGTGGAAGGCCTGTGGGTATGTTGTACCATCTGTCAGAAGCCAGGCACCCAGCACCCAACTTACCAGCCAGCCTGTAGGGTCGGCAGAGTCGAAGACCAAGGGAGTATAGAGGCAGGGAGTTGATGAGGTCCACAAGTAGATGGATTAGGCCCTGCACAGTGATCACCAGGAGCCGGAGCTGTAGCAAAAGTGACATTCAGGGCCACTAACTGGGGCTGAAGCCACACATTAGACAGGCCCAGGAGGAGAGTAGCCTGAAGGGCTCTTGAGCTACACTCACTAAGGGTGACCAGAGGGTCAGGAAGCATAGACTCCACCCTAAGGAGACTAAAGGGCTGACATCAGGACAGCTGGCACCCCTTGCTAGTAGAGACTGTGCATCCACATTCCTAACACGTATAGAAACCAGGAGGGCCTGAGTCATCCGGGTGTCGCTTATCTCATACTGCCCACCCTGGTGCTCAGCACTAAAGGAGGGCTCTTCTATGATCTCATCTGTCCACTATGGGCCCTGACCTCCCCTGTAGCCAGCCCTCCTCAGGACAGGACCCCCTCCCCCAACTGCTTTAAGACCAGCACATAGTTGGAGAGCGTGACTGGCTCCAGCACTGACTAGACTAAGTTCTGTAGGGTCCAGGGCTGGAGGAACTGGGCTCACCAGGGTGAATACCAGGTAGTACAGAGCAGTGGTAGGCAGCAAGAAGACCAGGATGGTGAAGAGCAAGGTCCCAATGAAAAGCTGTGGGGAACAAGGACACTTGGTTATCACAAGACCCAGACCAAGGGAGGCCACTCCATGACTGGCCACACACACCCATCCTTAAACTGCAGTTGGGATTTTTTTGCCTCCTGAGCCACCAAGGTCAGGAGATGTTCACTTCACCATGAGGGATGTGTCCACATATCCTGTGGACCTGGTGGCTTGTAGGGAAACAGCGAGCAGGGACACAGACAAATAGGAGGTTAGGAAAATGGGTGTATCAGGTCTAGGTAAGCAAATGGAATAAGCCAAAGCAGGCCCTATGTCCACCTGGGGAAAGTCTGCTGGCACCAACCACTAGGCCAGCTGCTGGGAGATTGCTGCAGGACAGCAGTAGGCTGGTCACTGATAGTGTCCAAGTAGCTGCCCTGACAAGGTCAGCAGGCTCAAAGCTGTAGGTACCTGGTCAAGGTCATAGGAACAGGAATCCACCCGCTGGCGCAGAACGTTCCACTTCTTCCCCCGGAACAGACGCCAGAGAGAGGAGAGGCCATAGATCTTCAGGCAGTACAGCCTGTAGGACACAGGCTCATGAGGGCCAGCTGGGGGCCTGTGCCATACCTTACCCATCTGCTCAGACCCTGTTGAGTGCCCATGGCTTAGAAAACTACATGTGAACATATACATACCTGGCACCGTAGACATAGAAGCAGTAGATGTGGAAGGTAAGGAGGGCGATGATGTCCGAAAGGATGGACAGGGCAACAGTCAGTCCTAGGCAGGCTGAGAGGCCCACATGCCACAGGATGTGCTCAATAAAGGGGGACATAAGGTGGATATAGCCTGCAGGATGGAGGTCAGCCGTGAGAAGTGCCCAGCAAGGCACAGGGAGCCCCAGTGCCTGAGAATGGACACCTAACACTTCAAGACACAAGTGAGCACAGACCGAGCCACTGGCCCCAGAATTTGACTTGAGTAGCTGGCCAACACAGTTGGCTTCATACAAATGGGAGGCCAGAAAATGGAAGCAGAGGGGATGGGGCCTGGCTAGGGTGCCCTGCTGGGCTGCCCAACCCTGCCCATTGGGCACTCACTGATCCACAGATGGATGTGGTACAGGAAAAAGCGGCCTAGCACCTGATCCAGTGCCCGATTCATCTTGAGCCCAGCAGGAGCACCCATCAGCCACTGCAGCAGATGCTGGAGCTCCTCAGCCACGCGCTACAGAGACATGGGGCGGGGAAGGGATGACATGGTCACACTGAGGTAAGAGGGCGGGTGGGTTGAGGATTGTCCAATGGGCTCCCACCATAGCCAGTCTATCCGGAGTAGGGCAAAGGCAGCCTGAACATCCTTCCTTCCAAGGTTCAGAATCATGTGTGTGGGGGGGGGTGGCGGGGCAAGGTCTTACTATGTAGCCCTGGCTGTCCTAGAACTCAGTATGTAGACCAGGATGGCCTCATACTCATGGAGATCTGCCAGCCTCTACCTCCCGAGTGCTGGGATTAAAGGTGTGCACCACCACACCTGGCAAATCATATCTTCTAACATTGCATAGGAGCAGTGCCACTGGACCCTGGCCCTTAGACAATTTCTAAGATCCTGGTCTGAGGCACCTCCCAACAGGCCTGAGTACATAAAGGAATTCCTTGGGCATGTGTCTCCAGGGACATCTACCTCATCCTGATAACTTCCCTTATGCTCACTATCTTGCTACTTTAGCCCTGGAACCATAGGGCCCTAAGTTCGTGATACCTGGGTATGGCTGAGACTGGACTGACCCTGGCTCAATTCAAACCATGCAGGGGAGTCTGAGAATACTGAAGCTCTCAGTCAAAGACCTCTTCTTGTCACTTGCTACCAGAAGTTGAGGTCACCCAGCAATGGCTAGTCCCTCGGGTGAGTGAGAGAGTGTCCAGTCTATCAGGGTCTAGGAAAGCAAGTGGGAGCACTGGAAAGCAGGGCACTCAGAGAAAAGACAAATCAAGTTCAATAAACAGCAGAGGGACTTCAACAGTAAGCAGGAAAACTGGTCCTGGTTGCCAGGATGGAGTGCTAGTCAATGGCCATAGTGGGGGAAGCTAGGAGGTTAAGGGATGCTCTACTCGGTCACCAAGGTGAAGCCACAGGAGTACCTCCTGTATCCTATATGTTCTTCCCAAATCCTTTTGAACTCTGTGCAAGAGTCTTAGGAGCAGTAGGGAAGAGCAAAATCTTTATAAATAGGACTTATTTAATATTTAAGAGATAAAAGCCTGGCAGCGGAAAGAGATCCACTTTTTAATTAAATATTTATGACTTTTTATATTTTTTTTTTGCAATTTTGCAAAAAGAAGAATTCAGACAAAGATGGCCAAGAACCAGAATTTAGAAACAGCCTAACCCCTTCTGCCCCAACCTCAGCTTCTCTTTCCTATTGGGAAGACCTCCATATATGTCATAATTCAGGAAACTGAGGGGAGCCCACTACTGCCTCCAGATTCCAGGCCTGGCAACAAACAGACCTGGCATACAGCTGCACTGAAGGATCAGAGAGTGAGCCCATGGGGAGACCTTGAAGGCTTCCGCAGGAGAGATAGACATGGCTTTGGCTCTATTGAAGATGAGATGGAGAACTGAAAAGTTCCGAGGCTCGGTGGAAATGAGGAGGTAGAGGAGAGCAGGAGGGACCAGTATGGATGTGCTGCACATGTCATGCATGGGAATGCTGGGAGCACAGAGGACAGGTCTGGGCCTCTTGTTTCCAGGGTAAGAGCAATCTGGAAGTAGTGACTGGCCAGTAGTCTGGCCCGTCCAACAACAGCCCAGAGCACTGAGGTGTCCCAAGGCTGGCTTTCATCAAGATCAGCTGAGCACAGAAAAGGGTTCCATGAAAGCCTCAACCACAAGTGGCCTCCAGACACTGCCACCTTCAAGAAGGGGCAGCAATGCTGCTCTGAGAGATACAGGTACCAAGAGCACCTAGGGAATGTGTCAGGCTAGGGCCCAGGAATGTGTCTGGGGTGAGGACAGGGAATAGCTGCTACTACAGCTAAAGCACTGCCTAGGAGGATTCCCCATCCTCAGGATGCTGGGTATCACCCAAATCTACTCACATCAGCAACAGGGACAAGGGCGTTGGCCAGCTGTCCAATTTGGTTATTGCTGTGGAGCCAAGAGAGCAGCAGCAGGCCAAGGGCCACATCCAACAGCACAGAAACCAGCATGTTGGCCTTCCTGGAAGCAAAATGAGGGAAAGCAGCTGAGAGACAGCTAGACACAGCCTGTGACCCAAGAGAGGCCTGGCTGGAGGCACAATGCAGAGCAGAGGTGGAGAAGAGGCTGGGTCATACTACCCTTCCTTGGAAAGGAAACCATACCTCATTAGCTGCATGGGACTCTGGGCTTTCTCTGTGCTAAAGATGAATGAGAGGTGTTTCAGTCGGTGCCGGAGTTGTTCACAAGTGGAGAGCTTGCTTCTGATGAAAGAAAGGGGCCACAGCTTCCACAGCCTGGGGAGAATATAAAGGGCTAAGAATATAAGGGCTCCAGCCTTCAGTTCCTTGGTTTTCCAGCCAAGGTTCCTCACTCTAGAGAGGAAGGGCTAAATACACTCACCTGAGCTCTTTGGTTCCACTCCAAAGCTCAGCAAGGCCCAGGCAAGTATGAAAGTCAACATGACCAAGCAAGGATGCATAGGTGTGAAATGCACAGCACCCTCTTGAGACACCCCCCACCCCCGCCGTCCCACTCCAGTGAGCTTACTGTCACTACAAACCTCGACCCGCTCACAGAGCCTCAGGCAAACCTGAGCCTACCAGCCAATATAAGGATGAGTCTCGGGCCTGGAGGTGGTGGTATATGCCTTTAATCCCAGAATTAAAGTAGAGACAGGCAGATCTCTGTGAGTTCAAGGCCAGCCTGGTCTACAAAGTGGGTTCCAGGACAGCCAGGGCTGTTACACAAAGAGACCTTGTCTCAAAAAACAAAACAAAACAAAAAACAAAAACAAAACAAAAAAAGTCTCAAAATGGCTAAAAGTGAGTCAGGAGTGGTGGCACATGCCTTTAATCCCAGTACTCAGGAGGCAGACAGATCTCTGAGTTTGAGGCCAGCTTGATCAGGGCTACCTATCGAAGGCCATGGAAGCATACAAGTATACAGAAGGTGATAACTAGTGTTCGGATGTCAATCCACCAGAGGAATGATTCTCTGATGGAGAATCCCATCCAGGCAGGGCCTGCAGGACCACCAACTCTGAAAACTGTTGCTCCTGTCTGTAATTTCACACTTGCTAAAGCAGCTATGGTGTCTCTCCATACCTGCACTGTATTGTGTAATCTCACAAAATATGTATGTATAATCTCATGATTGCATATCAATCTTTTTGTTTGTTTTTCAAGACAGGATTTCTCTGTGTAGCCCTAGCTGTCCTGGAACTTTGTAGACCAGGCTGGCCTCGAACTAAAATCCACCTGCCTCTGCCTCCCAAGTGCTGGGATTAAAGGTTTGTGCCACCACTGCCTGGCTTATGATTGCATCTCAATATTATGGGCACATATATCTGTGGGTGGACAGGAAGATGACTTCCTATTAAGTTGTATGTTTTAGATATATAGAAAACACACTAGGATATGCTTCATAACTAAGAGCTATTGTCCCATGAGAACTGTAGACACTTAGAAGCCTGCTTTGTTCCTTTTACTCTGACTCATATCAGAAAACAACAATTTCTCCTCAATTTAGACAAACTATACACAATTAGCTCATTTTTACTTCAGAGCAAGTTCAAACTAGACTAAAGGTTTTTGTATATGATCTTAAGTTAAAAACTTTACACTTATGCACAAGGTCAGAATCACAGGTGTCTAACCAAGGTTATTAACACAAAGAAGCCTAAAAAATCATGCCAATTCTTTGCTTGCTGATAAAAGAACTATGTCTTAGGGCTGGAGAGATGGCTCAGAGGTAAAGAGCACTGGCTGCTCTTCCAGAGATCCTGAGTTCAATTCCCAGCAACCACATGGTGGTTCACAACCATTTGTAATAAGATCTGGTGTCCTTTTCTGGCCTACAGGATACATGCAGGAAGAACCCTGTATACATAATAAATAAAAATCTTTTTAAAAAAATGAACTATGTCTAGCAGCTTGTCTCACTGGGCACTGTGTCCCTGGCTTCTGGTCACAGTCTTACACCAGAAACCTTGAAATTCTGTGTTGCCATGGTAAATGGCTCTGCCCTCATCAGTCATCCAAGGAATGTGCTATGACCAGTGAGATGTGACCCTTGTAACTTTTTTTACTGCCTTAAACCTCCTGTAAAAAAAAAATTATTTTTTAGGCTAGATGAAAAAGGAAGCAAGAAGAATTGGAACAGAATTGAAACAAAAGAGAACTAGAAGCTGCCGAGGTAGAATCGGAGCCAGCAGAATAGAGAACATGGCTCAAACAGCACATGTGGAAGTTACTCTGTAACCTTCAGATTAGAAATGTCCTAAATTCCTTTAGCTACACTGAGGCTTCTGACTTGAACCCTGCAGGTAGTCTTGGGAGCTGGATTCACAAGCTACCGTTAGCTACCCAGCCTTTAATTCCAGCACTTGGAAGATAGAAACAGGTGGATCTCTATAAGTTCAAAGACATCCTGGTCATAGAACAAGTTTCAGAACATTCATGGCTACACAGAGAAACCCTTTCTCAAAAGAAAGAAAGAAAGAGAGAAAGAAAGAAAAAAAAGGAAGGAAGAAAAGAAAGGAAGGAAGGAAGAAAGAAGAAAGAAAAAGGGCCCCCCAAACAGGGATTAGGTCACCTCCCACCAACCCAGGACTTTCCCTGCATACTAGATAGTAACCCAGCTCAGCAAGGTTCTGCTGGGCTTTCCAGCAAGACTGAATTCCTTACAAAGGAGGCATGGAAATGTTTCCACAGATGCTCTCACAATGAGAGATACCTCTGAGCCAAGGAGGAAGTGCTTGACAGCACCTGGGCTGCACCCATGTGAGCCAGGACATGCATGGAGGAGCACAACGGGTAGCATCAGGAGCCATATTCCCACGTAGAGCCCTGCTGGAGGGGGGAGGGACCTAAGGACTCCTGGGACACAGAGCTGTGTGTAACCTTGGTGCGGGGAGCAGGACTTGACCTTGGAAGATTTAAAGGCCCCTCTTCCACAGAGCAGCCTCAACAGAGCCTTCCCTTTCAAATAGCCAACCACAGTGACCTCTCACTGACCATGTAAAACTCCCAGAGTTCAAGTCAGTCCTTCATGGTCCAGGCTCACAACACCGTTGGGGCTGGTTGAGAAGGGCACAAAGTCATGAAGGGTAGAGGAGCTTGACTCTGTAGTGACAGCCTTGCCAGTACACCAGCATCATAACATAATTTTGAGACAGGGTTTCTCTACAGCTTTTAGAGACTATCCTGGAACTTGCTCTGTAGACCAGATTGGCCTCGACCTCACAGAGATCTGTGTGTCTCTGCCTCCTGAGTGCAGGGATTAAAGTGTGCCACCACTGCCCAGCAACCACTGACTCTTGCTTGATGGGTAGGCTGCTGTCTGTAATCAATAACAAGCATCTCTTCAGTTTTCTTGAGTCCCCTGAGAGGATAAAGAAAACTAGAACTTCTCTGATTTAATGGTACCTGGGCCCAGAAAAACCTCCACCTTATTAATTCTAAGGTTGCCAAAAAGTCTCCACCATACATCAAGATAGCCTGAGCAGCTCCTCCAACCTAAAATGTATCCTCGGGGCTGGAGAGATGGCTCAGTGGTTAAGAGCACTGGCTGCTCTTCCAGAGGTCCTGAGTTCAATTCCCAGCAACCACATGGTGGCTCACAACCATCTGTAATGAGTGCCCTCTTCTGGCATGTGGCCATACATGGAGGCAGAATGTTGTATACATAATGAAGAAATAAATTTTTAAAAAAATGTATCCTCATAGGTTACCCAGGGCTCTCTTTCTGGGAACGTATCCGAAGGTCCCTAGAGCCCCTGGAAAGTGGAAAGGTCAGCTGGACCCCAGGCCAGGCCAGGAAGGGGAGTGCTGGTCCTTATGGGCAGCGGCACCGAGAAAAATGTCCTCCTAGGCGGAATAGATAGCTAAGCTGCCAGATTGCTTGCCCAGCATGGTGGTGGTGCGCACCTTTAATCCCAGCACTCTGGGGGCAGAGGGAAGTGGATCTGTGAGTTCGAGGCCAGGCTGGTCTACATAAAGAGCTCCAGGGCAGTCATAACTACGTAGGGCACACTGTCCCCACCCCAAAAAAGCTAAAGGTCATCTATGGCTACATAGAAAATTTGTGCCCAGCTTGAGATATACATAAAAACCATCTTATTTCATAAAGAGAGGCAGAGTTGAGAAAGTTAAGAGAGAACACTGAGAGAAAGGGGCCCCCAGGCTCTCATTCACAAGCTAAACTATGGTGCTACCCGGCACTCCGGACTTAGGAATTTTTCCAAATCTCTAGAGAGCCTAGGTGAGGACTACCATCCCAGGCAACTGACCGGCCTAGAGAGGAACTACATCAGCCGATGAAGCCAGCTGTGGGGAGGACAGAGAAGCAGGGGAGTGGGCAGCTCTATGTCCTCACAGGCCAAACAACTCCAGGAAGGGCAGATAGTGTCCTTTAATCCAAGCACTCCCAGAAGAAAGAGAGGCAGAGTTTGCGGCCAGCCTGGTCTACTTAGTGAGTTCCAGGCCAGCCAAAGCCACATAGCTGGGATGCTGTCTTAAAACAAACAAACAAATAAACAAAACCAATCACAGGTTCCAGGGGGACAATGCTGGACAGGAAGTGACACAGGAACAGCAGCCTCTACTAGGACATCCTCTGAGATGCAAAAGGAGGAAAGGCAAGATGAGACCTGGCTCCCAGAATAAGCACCTCAGGATGAACTCTCTGGCTGTCAATGTCACTATACATGGAAGGGAGAGACCATGATTCTCAGGGGATCAACTTCTTGCTCTACCTGTCCAGTCTGTTGTACCTACCAGCTAGCACTAGCTGCTGAGAGCAGGGACAACAGAGAAGCCAGCAGCAGGCAGACAGGCCCCGAAGCCCGCTTCGCCAACTCCACAAGTATGCTCGCCTCCATGCCCTCTGACTGCCAGTGGCTCAGGCGGACCGGGCCCTCATCAAACTGGTCATTTTGGAAGAGCAGCTCACTGCGCGCCACTGTGTCAAAGATGTCAGCTAGGCCTCCACTGCTGGCTGTGGCCTCTCCATCCTGGCAGTCAGGCAATACTGCTGGGGGATGCAGCCAGGAGAGCAGCAGCTTGCGCTGGTCGTAGAAGATGAGCATGACCTGGTCGTCAGAGGGTGTGCCCAGAGTGGTGGACATCTGATGGTAAGTGGCCTTGCAGCTCCAGAACCTGGTACCCCTCTCCCGGCATAGCTGCAACCAGGGATCATGGGAGAAGATGGCACCTAGGCCCTCTAGGAAATGCCCCAGGCTCTCCTCAGGTTCCTGCTGACGGTGGCACCAGGTGCCTAGCACAGCCACTTGTACTTGGCTGGCCTTCTGCACCTGAGCCAGGAGCTTCTTGACTTGGATGGGGATGAAGGGAAAGTGCACCACAGCCAGGATCACAGCACTATTCTGCTCCGGGACCCATCGTCCCACTAGCAGGCCACTGTCTGCCGAGGCACAGCACGTGGGGAAGAAGGCCTTGAGCACCATGCCGGGGGGCCCTGGAAGAGAAGAGAGAGTTGGTTTAGAGCTACTGCCACTCTGTGGCTGCTAGATGCTGTGCCAGGCATATTCATCTGGCCACAGGTTGGGAAAGCACAGTTGTGGATTTGGTGGCAGAGATTGGGTCATGGCTCTGCATCTCACAGAGACTGAACTCTTCCAAGCACTGACCTAGGAAGAAGCACTATGTGTGTGATGGCAAGCTACTGCCTCCTTACGTTCAGAAACAAGCAGCCTGAAGCAGGGCAAAGTAAGGTTCCCAGATATATGCCACTGATAACAGGAGGGGACTGAGCCTGAGGTCTTTTAGGACCTAATGAGAAAGGATTCCTTGGTGTTTCATAGGTAAATGCACACAGTGTGAGCACGTACACAAATCCTAACTTTAACAAACCAGAAGCCAGCTGTAAGGCACACTTGTAATTCCAGTAGTGGAGAGGTGGAGGCAGGTGTACCAGGAGTTCGAGGCCAGTCTTTAAGAAAGGAGAGAGAGAGAGAGAGAGAGAGAGAGAGAGGAAGAAGAAGAAGAAGAAGGAGGAGGAGGAAGAAGAGGAGGAGGAGGAGGAGGAAGAGGAGGAGGAGGAGGAAGAGGAGGAGGAGAAGGAGGAGGAGGAGGAGGAGGAGGAGGAGGAGAAGGAAGAGGAGGAGGAGGAGGAGAAGGAAGAGGAGGAGGAGAAGGAGGAGGAAGAGGAGGAAGAGAAGGAGGAGGAGGAGGATGAGGAGAAGGAGGAAACAGAAGAAAGGTGGCTCTTGACTATAGTTTCTGTACTTTCTGTACTCTGAGGGCTAAAGCGGGAAGATCACTATGAGTTCGAAGCCAGCCTGGTCTACACATGAGGAATACAAAATAAGGCATCAACTCAAATAACAACAAACAGGATTTACTTAACCAAGAATTAAGAAAAAAGTTTAAAACCTGGACTGAAGAGCTAGCTCAGGGGTTAGGAGTACTTGTTGTTTTTGCAGAGGACGGACCTGGGTTTGATTCCCAACACCCATATGGTAGCTCACAACCATCCATAGCTCCAGTTCTAGCAGATCCATGGGCACCAGGCACACATGTGATGCACATACGTACATGCACGCAAAACCTCATACACATTAAGTAAATAAATCTTAAAAAAAATAGTAGATCTGTTTGGAGGACGAGGAATTTTTTTTTCTTTCTATGTTTTATTCTATGTTTATTGGTGTTTTGTCTGCATGTATGTCTGTGTGAGAGTATCAGAAACCCTGGAGTTAGAGATAGTTGTGAGCTGCCAGTGGGTGCTGGGAATTAAACCTAGGTCCTCTGGAAAAGCAGCCAGTGCTCTTAACCTGCTGAGCCATCTCTCCAGCTCAGGACGGTTTTCAAAGGTAGAGTGCTTGCCTAGCATGACCAGCATTCTGAGTTTGATCTTCAATAACACTAATAATAATAATAATAATAATAATAATAATAAACAAAATAAAAGCAAATGAAACAAATTTGTTTGGGGCTCAGAAAAACCAGATGCACACATACAGTACTGGTCCTAGAACTGGGTCTAGGGCCTAGAACTCAGAGGGAATCTCTCCTGAGCAGCGAACATGTCCTCCTGCCCTTGGGGTCAGAGAACAGATCAGGCGGGAGGAATGTAAATTCAAGAGTCAGATTAAGGCTGACCAGGTCAATGTAGTGAGAATTCTGTCTTAAAAAGGAAAAAAGGCAAGTCAGGCAGTGGTGGCGCGCGCCTTTACTCCCACCCAGTACCTGGGAAGCAGAGGCAGGCGGATCTCTGTGAATTTGAGGCCAGCCTGATCTACATACAGAGCAAGTTTCAGGACAGGCTCCAAAGCTACAGAGAAACCCTGTAAAACCAAAAAACCAAAAAGAAAGGGGCCTGCAGAGCTGCCTCTACTCTCTCTTCTGCCCCCCCACCCCCAGGTACTTTTGGGTAGTATTCATCTTCCTCTGGAATTCCTGTCAGACAGACCAAGATGGGACTCTCCATGGAGAATGCCAACATATTTTCTCTGAGGGGGAACACCAGCCTTCCTGGTCTCTCAGGATCTTTTTTGTTTGTTTGCTTTGTTTTTGTTTTTCGAGACAGGGTTTTTCTGTAACAGCCCTAGCTGTCCTGGAACTCACAGAGATCTGCCAGCCTTTGCCTCCCAAGTGCTGAAGTTAAAGGCATACGCCACCACCGCCCAGTGCTTCTCAGGATCTTGATGAACACCAAGAACCACCACAGCAGCTACAAATTCTTTATTCTGTGGCCCCTGCATCTTTCCCTCTACACCCTCTGACTGCCAGTGGCTCAGGTAGAACGGGCCCTCATCAAAGTAGTCATTTTGGAAGAGCACCTCACTGTGAGCCATCGTGACAAAGATGTCAGCCAGGCTTCCAGTGCTGGCTGTGGTCTCTCCATCCTGGTAGCCAGGCAGTACTGTTGGTAGATGCAGCCAGGAGAGTAGCTATTTGGGGGTTGTGGGATTCCTCATCAGCATTCCTGTTAAACCGACCTGCTGGGTGGTTAGCAGGGTTGGGGTGCAACTGCTTTTTCTTAGACACTACCCCATCTTTCCAGTGTGAAGGACACAGCAATCCTGAGCAAAGACACCCCCCCCCTCCAGTTTTGGATCCTTTCCTGAGGAAGCATAGATCTTGCGATGAACCCAAGCTTCCTGGCCCATGGTTCACGCAAAACCTTTTGGACATGATGGGTACTCATCCCACAGACAAACGCCCAGGGCTTGAGGGACCTACGTGCAGCTGCTCCCCTCCCTCCAGGTAAGCCAGCCCATAGAAGACCTTGCACGAACAACTTAAGAAAAGGTTTTTGTTTTTCTAAAACTGAGGGTTAGACCTAGGGTCTCATATGAGCTCTGAGCCCAGCCCAAAGCTGAGAGCTCTAAAGGGGACGGTCAATTCAGCACAGCCCAAGTTTTTCTGGAACAACCCTGCAATGATACACCAGCTCAGTGAAATACCATCTGACTCTCCTGGGGAACACTTCACAGGAACCAGGGGAAAATGCTCCAACAGTGTGGGGAGAGAAATGCCCTTGGTCTGATTATAAACAGATGTTGGGGAGGGGCTAGTTTTGAATCTGCTCACAATGAGTGAATTCAATGAGCTGTACACATAATTTGTACACATCCTTTCTGTAGAGAATGCTTCACTTAAAGTTTACCTTAAAAAAAAAGCAAAGCAAAACAAAACAAAAAGCATCTCAGATCAAAAGAAAAAGGCAGATGCAGATGTTGGTGTTCTGATCTGTGGGGTACTGGGAGAACTCAAAGTAGTTATGGGGCAAATTCCCACTCTCACTCCCAGCTCGGCTTCCAGAACTACTGAAGTGTGCTTTCACTGGGCTGCTGGGATTCCAGCAGCAGAAAAAGATGAAAGAGCAGGCAATCGATACAAGAGAAGGTGAGAGGCTGGAGAGAGAAAGAAGGCAGAAACCTGGGCAGTGCAAACATCTTTAAAGATTAAAAGAACAGCCCAAACCTGGATAAGCTGCCTGTGCTAGGAAGGAGCCAGTTCTACAACAGCCCATTCCCGGATGGGTTTAATAAAAAGAGGCCTCAGGAAGTCTCTTCGTCGAACTCCCAGTCAGACTTCAGTAGAAGCAGAACTACTGCTTACCTCCCCTGCATGGACAGGCTTGAGGGATGGCTCAGTTAAGAGAGACCAGGGACACATCATAGCTAGCTGAAACTCTCCTTTGTGAATCTTAGCGAGGAAGGTTCACATTGGCCTTTGAACATTCCAAGTTCAAAACAACCAAAAACAAAATAAAAACTACTTTTCTGGCTGGGGATGTAATTCAGGTGGTAGGGTGCTTGCTTAGCTTGCTGGAGATCCTGTACTCAGTCCCCAAAACCTCACAAACCAGGTAATAGCAGTACGTGTCTGTCACAGGGAAGTGGAGGCAGGAAGAAAAAAAAAAGTCAAGGTCATCCATTGCTATTCTGGGACTTTGAGGTCAATCTGGGCTACAAGAGAACCTGTCCAGAAACACTTTCTTGCCTGTGTGAATCTTTCCTTTTTCATTTCACAAGGAGATGGTAAATCTGTTTCCGATCTTTACTGGGGTCAAGGACAAGCATGAGCCTCTCCGCCGGTGCTCCAGGAATCTTCCAGTTAGTCCCCGCCTGGTGGGGAGGAGGGGCCGCTCGGCGCCCTCAAGCTCAGGACTGCAGGCCAGACCCACAACGGGTGCCGCCGAGCCTGGAGGTCGGCTGCGGAGTGGCCGCCGCTCTCTCCACTCCGGCCTCCTGATCTCCCATCTCAGAGTATTGGAAGACAGGCACTGAGGACCAAGAGGCCTGCGCTGCCTCGGGATTTCCTCCTTCTCTCCCGGCCCCGCCGCCCACTAGTGCTCACCGGCTGCGTCCCTGTGCCGCGTCCCCGAGTGGTAGGGAAGGGACTGGGTTGGGCACCACGTCTGGCGGGCCCGGGAGGACGAAGGTGCTCGAGGCCCCCAGGCCCGCCGCGGGACATCAGCCCCATTTCCGCCGGCTCCGCGCGTTGCCGCGCGACGGTCCAGTCTCCAATAGTGCCCGGGCTGTTCACCAACTGAGCCCGAGAGTTCCGCGTGCGCGGTTCCAGCCATCAAACTTACGTCCGCCTTAACTGTTCTGAAAGACTGGGTGAAACCAGCCTTTAGGGACCCAGATCGCTTTATTCTCACCTTCATGCCCTACCTAGGCTCCTAAGTCCCGGGCGTTCCCATCTGTCTCTCTACATTGCAGGTAGGGTGCACGCCGACATATTTGGGCCGCCTAGTCCGAGAAAAACGCAGCAACTAGTGTTTATTGAGCATCCACTTACACGCAAAGATCTTACTTTGTCCATTAATCCCCCACAACATAATGATCAGGGCATAATTGGGATAACCTGGAGGGGCGACAGGTGTGGTGGTATAACCACGGATCTCAATGTCCAGATGACAGACTGGGTGTGCCACCCCATACCCTGAAGGGGCGAAAGCAAATGCTTTTTTCTTGCTCCTTCCCACATGAAGATCAGGACTGAAACCCGGATTCTCACTGAGTAAGCCCCCCACCTCCCCTTCTCTCTCTCTCTCTCTCTCTCCTCTCTCTCTCTCTCTCTCCCTCCTCCCCTTCCAGATCTCATTTGTAATATGGGAGGGAAGGCTACTGTTTTCCTGTCTTGAATGAAAAGGCCATCCAGAACCCTCCCAGTACCCCACCCAAGAGCTCAAGAGTGGTTCGGACCCGGATTGCAAGAGAAACTGAAGGCATCTTCCAAAAGGGCCATGTCCAGGAGAGCACCTTGAGACCCAACCCTTGCCATGTGCTCCTTCCAGGACTTGGCCCCCTAATTTGCCCCTTACCTCTGTTGGGTCCAGAGTTGTCACTGGAGGCTCAAGAATGGGGATGTCTCTGAGGGTGTGGGGGGCACTAAGACCACACCCTTGCCCCAAGCTGCACAACCCAACCTAGCCACACCCTCCCTCCCTGCCTGCCTGCCTCTGATTAGGATATAGGGGTTGGGGCACCTGGCAGGAGATCTTGCCTGGCTATGTACTGGCAGATGGCCTCAGCACCCAGGATCTGTAGCTTCAAGTGTCACCTCAAAGCTCAGGCCTCCTGAGACCCAAGCTAGCAGATCTTGAGACTGGGTGACACTTGGGGGTTTGGGGCATGAAAGGCCAGGGACATACTGAACAGGGACATGGAGATGGCTCAGTTTAGAGCCTTTGGGGGGAGGTAGTGGTTCATAGCTGCTTAATGGACGGGAGCACGTGCCAAGAGGAGATCAGAAGGCCAGCTAAGGCCAGGTGTCAAAGCAGGCTCAGCAGCCCCCAAGGAGCCCATCAATCTCCCATTATAGTGTAAAGGACTCAGGGCTGGCCAGAGATAGCAAGAGGCTATTTCCCTCAGGCCATCTCTCCAAGATACTGGTACACCTTGATGCAGTTGTCCCCAGCATCTGCCACCACCAGTTGGCCCTGGGGAGCACAGGCTATACCCAAGGGCCTCTCTAGTCCCTCCAGCTGCAAGCAGATGGGTGGCCCAACCCGGGGAAACAGGGTTACCTGATGCTTCTGCTCATCAGCCACAATAATACTACCCTCCGAGTCAGAGCACACACCTGCTGGCTGGCCGAAGCTATGCCCAGTCAGGGTTCCCAGGGAGCCCAGAGGCTGGTGGGCACTGCCAAACAGCTGCACATCCCCAAATTCTTCACTCACAGCAAGGCCCCCATCAGGGCCTGGACCTACCCAACAAGGGCCCTCTAGACCTAGCATGGAGGATGGAGCCAGGGCCTCCCAAGTTGGTCCCAACATGAAGCTATGCACAGTTCCTGGCAAATAGTCTGTCACCAGGAAGTGGCCAAAGGCATCCACAGTCAACCCTCGGGGGGACAAGAATGTGCCTACAGTCACCCAGCGGCCCTGGGGTTCCCGGGAAGTGTACCGAAGAGCACACACGGCCCCATGGATGAGGTCACTGACCACCACAAGCCCGGAAGCTGTCACAGCCACATCCTCTGGAACAAAGGCTCCGGTTTTAGGCATGCGGCAGGGTAGTTGACAAATGGAACGTCCCTCAAGATCCAGCACATGGACACAGGATGCAGCACCAGCCGTCAAGAAGAGCAGGCCATCTGGGGAGCAGTGCAGGCCTCGGGGGGCCCCGGCAGCCCCTGCTGGTACCAGGATTTGCCCCAGCAGCCGGGGCTGCCGGGAGCAACTGGCATCTCTAAGCTGGTCCAGCCTGAGATCAGGCCCTTAGGTATAGATGGCTAGAAGTAGGGGTGGCCCAGGAGCTCAAGGAGTCAGGACAGATGGGAGGCCAAGGGCAGTAAGTCAGTCGGTCTCGGCTTCCACGCAGCTGCAAAAGAGTGGGTGCCGACGGTGACTGATGAGTGCTGGCGCCCTCCTACTGTACCGGTGAGGAGCTGAACTGAGATGGGGGGTAAGACTGAGCTGTGTTCACCTGGTCCCCCAGTCCAGCAACCACACAGGTGGTGAGGTGTCTGCAACAGTGGTCTGAGAAACACCACCCACTCAAGAAGGTCAAAGGTTTTGTACTGAAGCCCAAATCACAGGCATCGCTGTGTCCCAGCTTAGGAGTGAGGGCGAGGGGAGACAGATAAGCAGCTTTTCTCAAACACATCAGCCCTGGGATTCTTCCACAGGGTTGGCCTAAGCTCCTGTTAGTGTTGCCCCCACCACCACCACCACACAGAGCCCCTCTGCTTTGACCAGAGAGTGAGCCAAACCCCAGCCTCCCAGGGCTCTCCACTTGCCCCTTCCAAGAGACCAGGATATCCCTTACCTAGGACCAGGCTCCTGCCCTGGACTTTAACTCCTGTCTTTGTTGTTAGAGACAGGCTGGGTGTGTGTCTGTGTGGCCTGGGTAGGGAGTAGGGGAGGAGTCACCAGACAAGTCCCCTGCAGGGACAAGTTGAGCAAGGAGGAAGGGGGGGCTGTTTGGGTTGAGTCCCTGGCCTCCAGGCCTGCACCCTCCTGCTTGGGTCTTCCCATGGGCCTTACCCTTACCCTGGACACTTCCTACTGTCCCTTCTTAGCTGAATGTCTCAGACAAGCCTGCCCTTTCCAGAAGGGACCCAGAGCCCTCTACAACTATAGGCTGCCTCTCCAGGTAAGACATTTGTGTGAGGAACTAACCTTGGTCACTCTCTTGCCATCTCCACCAGAAGGTCAAGCTGGCAATGTTGCCTCCCAGGATCAGAAACCAGGATGCAATAGGCACATGGGAGTAGAGAGAGGAAGTTGCCTCAGATTTAGGACTTGAGGTTCCTTGGATGCCTGGTTCTGCCCCCAGCAGTTCCCCAGGAAGCCTTCAGGTCAATAGTGTTCAGCTAGCGTTTGTCAGCCTTGGCCTGCAGCCGCACAGCACCCTGGTCCAGCCAGCCAGAACTCTCGCCCCAATAGCACCTGCAAAGCCTCACGGTGGGGTGGGGGTGGGGGGGCTACCTGATGCTATCACCAGGCGGATGGTTAATGGAGCAACTGAAGGTCCTGTTTGGACTGGCCCCAGCCTGGGCAACCCAGCCCCAGTGAGAACAGTGCCTCCTCCGAGGGCAGCTTGTACTTGAGGGCATTCCTGGGTGGGCATGGAGGCTACAGCCCAGCTCCCCAGGGAGAAAAGTAATTTGCTATGGCTGGGGGGCCCCAGCACCCCTCCCTGGCTGTCTCCCACCCTGGCCTGTGGAAGGCCGAGCAGGGCTGTACTGGGAGGGAAGCAGTGAGCTGTGAAGGCCACTGATGCCTATCATGGCTGCAGGGACTGGCGGGGGGCCCAGGAAGGCCACACGGGGTGAGCAGCCTGGAGCCATAGAAGGCAGGAGGCTTTGACCACCACAGGCAAAGCTGGCATTGGGCTGCTTGGATGGATTCAGGCCCAAGGACGAGCAGGGTCTTTGCCCATCCCCTGTGAGCTGAAACAGACCAGGTCATCCTGACATGTCTGCCTCTCTGCCACTCTTCCCTGAGTCCCCTAATTGAGTGTACCCAGCCCATCCCTTGGCCCCAGACTCTTTGGAAGAATCAAGTCCACAATAAGGAATTTGAAGCCGAAGGTGAATCCCAGCATGGTGTCCTAGACACTGCTCCCAGGGATGCTCAGGTCAGGGACATTTCCTTGAGGGTGCCCAGGTGCTTATGCAGGGACAGAAAAGGAAAGAAACCCAAGTAGGGTGTTTGAAGGTGGTTTCTATTTTAATGACCACAACTCCGTCCAATAAATAAAGCATGACTTTCCTATGTCCATGTGACACCAGAGATAAACCTCTACCATGGGCTAGTGTGGGGGGGATGGGGAGCATCTGTCTAGAATGCATGCACACTGACACTGGACAGGCCCAGACAATGGGGCCCAGGCCAGGGAGAGGAGCCCACACATTAAGGTGGCTGTGGACAGACCTCAGTACCTGGGAGGATCTTCAAGCTTGGGGTATCCTTAGGGGTCTGGGAGCTGCCAGCCCCAAGACGATTGCCCCAGCCATTACCAGGAATTCCATGGTCCTCAGGGGCCTGGAGCGGGAGGGCAGGAGGCGGGACGCTGGAGTCAGCCTCACACTTGGTGGTACGGCTAGAGAAAGGCTCGAGTACAGGACCTAGTATCCTGGAGGGCTCAGAGGCCCCCCTTGCCAGCATGGGGCTTGGCTCGGGCAGCCCCCAGGACTCTGCAGGTGCCTTAGTTCCCTTGGTAGGCACCCGCTTCACTGAGAGGTCCAGAGGTGTGTCCAGCGGCCGAGCTGCCCGGGCCAGCGCCTGATGGATGGTGAACAGCTCGCGGCGAATCTTGCCAAGCTGCTCCCGTAAAGGTCTAGGGGCGAGATCCCCAGTCGGTACCAGCTGCCCCAAGCACTGCTCCACCCTGGCGTAGTCACCAAAGGCCTGGGTCAGGTCCTCTCCCACTGGGCCAGGACTTCCTAGCACTTGGCCTTGTGGCTGCTGCAGAAGATGAACCTCAGGGCCTGGGGCTTCAGGATTACCTGGCTCCTTGTCCTCAAGCCAGAATGTCAGGGAGGACCCTGTTGGTAGGCTGAGAAGTAGAAGCCAGTCAAAAGGCTATCCTGCCCGGTGAAGTACCCCCAGCCCCAGCCTGTGTCTTCCGTTCAGTGTCACCCACACCCCAGGGGAAAGAAGTCTAGAACGGCACATTCAAAAGAAAAGAGAAAAAGGGCTCTTTGGTATCAGATTCCTCTGTGGTCTGGAGTCTCTGCTCCTGCTAAGTAAGCTAAAGATGGCCTAGTCTCCCACCCAGCCCACCCTGACACCCCCACCCCAAGACCCAAAGAGCCTGATACCCACCTGTTCTGACAGCCAAATTTTGCCAGTTTCAAGGGGTCCTTTGGGAACTCAGGCATATTGCCCGGGGGCAGCCTCTTCTGCTGGTTGCTCTGAGCCACTCGTTCCAGCTCTCCTTCATGCCCTGGGTCTCTGGAAGTGCTATGGGGCCAGGGTGCCCCCAGCCCTGGCACAGGCACCTTCATCAGCCCAGGAGCAGCCAGAGCCCCAGGAGGCCCCTTGAGGGACACAGAGGACTTGGTAGGGGCAGTCCTGCCTGCTGACTGTCCTAGGGTATGCTCCAGTAGCAGCGGGTAGTACAGGCGGGGGGCCAGGCCTGGGCGCTCGGGTGCCTGTGGGGTTGGGAAGGTTGCAGGGGGCAGCAAGGGGCTTGCTGAGGCCAGGAAGGGCATGTGGGCAGCAGCAGCCGCCAGTGAGGGCCCCAGATAGGAGAAGAGGCCTGGGCCGAGAGGGTAGTTGACACCCAGCAATGACAAGTGGAGGCTCTGGGCTTCAGGGAACTCTCCCTGGGCAGGCGGTGGGTAGCAGGGGACACTACTCTCAGAATCTGCTGAAGCTACAGCCCCTAGAGCCCCACTTATCAGACCACCACTCAGTCCTGGCTTCCACGACTCTGTCAAGAGGTTACTGGGGCCTGGACCCTTCCGGATGGCTCTAGTCAGAGGGGGCAGTGACCCTGGGGACTCCTCTGGTCCAGGTTTTGGGCCCCTGCCACAACGACGCTGGGAAAGGCTGTCAGTGATGATGAGATCTGGCACAGTAGGCTGGCTACCCGGGTCTGAGAAGTCTATGGAGCAGCTGGGGGTGGGTGCCCGAGGCCTGGGCGAGGGGGGTGCACGGCGGTATGCCCAGTCGGGAGAGTCTAACAGCAGAGAGAGGGAGTCCTTGCAGAGGCTGTACTTCATGTGGTTATAGAGATGGGACTTCTCCAGGCAGGTGAAGGGACACTGGAAGCACTTATAGTTATAGGGCTTGCCCCAGGGTCGTGGGATGTAGTGTGGCTTCTTGGGCTTTCTTGACCGTGCCCTTGTCCCAGTGCCCACTCGACATGAACCTGCCTCGCGAGACATGGCAGCCTACTAGCAGGCAAGCCTGGGCACCATGACCACCTGCAGATAGGAGAGACAAGGACTCGATTACCACCAGGTCTTCTCACTCTCTGTTCCTCTTCACTGGGGTTTCTTCATTAGAACTCAAGAAGCCCCTATTTGCTTCGCCTCAAAGCTTCTGGCCTTTGTACTGCAGACCCTTCATCCTTTTGGGAGGAGATGTGGTGGCATTTACCCATAATTCCATAATTTGGGAACCTGAGGTGTGGGGTTTCTGTGAGTTCCAGGATATCCTGAGCTACAGAGTGAGATTCTGTCTGAGAGAGAGAGAGAGAGAGAGAGAGAGAGAGAGAGAGAGAGAGGAGAGAGGAGAGAGGAGAGAGGAAAAAGGAAAGGAAAAAGGAAGGCACCTAGATGTTCTGGCCCAGGTACACATAAGTAAGTTTGTAATGTAAGGATCTAGAAATTGTGAAGAATTTTTTTTTCTGAAATTAAGCTTAAATGGGTGTATTGTATTTTATTTATCAAGTGATCCTGTACAAATCACCACTGTTGGGGCCAAACTGGTCCTGAAGGCCAGTTTCTGGAGTAACTGGTCCCCATTTATCTCTGCTCTTTGCGCCAGGCAGGTCCCCACTGAACATTTGGTAAGAGAATGAGAGCAGCCGTGTGTGACCAGAGCCACCAGTCTGATGGCCCTCTAGAGACACTTTCTTGTTGAGCCACCTGCCCCTGCCAGAAGCAGAAGTGAATCACCGAGATTAGAAGCCACCAGAAACCCTGCAAATGCATGTGTGCATGCATGTATGTATGTATACCGGAACGAGCTAATAGAGTGTCAAGTGGACACTGGAGGTCTCTCGGGGGGTCAGCCACACATGAGGTCCCCCAACCCAGGCTGGGGGGAGTGGATGTCACAGTATGGCCCCATGGCATAGCCACCTGCTCAACCCAGCTCCATCTGGGTGGCTTCAGGCAGGTCAGTGACTGAGCCTGCAGTGACCACGCTCAGCCAAGACCCTCTTCTCCTCACGTCCTGCACACTGGCTCAGAAGCTCCTCTTCCCTCCATCTGGGCCACCACCTGGGCCGTTCACTATCCCAGCGCTTGGGCATGGTGCATGTGCACATAGGCTTTGGGTGTGTGCATACAAGCGTGCAAGATTCCCAAGGAATCCTTGCTCTCTGCCTGGAGGAGCAACTGCATGGCTGAGCTAACCAGGCACAGGGTGTGCCACCAAGGGCACACACATCCATACCACTTCCCACTCAGAATGGATATGGCTGTTCACAAGGGTAAACCCACATTACAGACTATGCCCAAAGACACATGCAGACATGGCTGGGATTCACACTTGCTCATAGACTCATCATAGATGCAGACATACATGAGCCTCATGATTGGAGCAGCGGGGTTGGGAGTGGAAGACAGTTGCTGAACTCCTCTTTCTTGCATGCTGACCATTGCACTTTGCCCATGGCAGATATTCACCTTTATTCTCACCAAAGATCAGGTTGTCACCCCTTAGGTGGATAGCTAGAAGAGTGAAAAGCACTGCATGCCAAAAGGCTTGGGACCATACAGAGGAGTCCACATGGCCAGGCTGGGCTCTGGAAATGGGGCAAACACAGGCTAAGGGAGACTCCTAGGTTAGGAGGTGGATGCTGGCTCAGGAAAGGGTCGGGGCCTCCCTGAAGGGTTGCAGACCCAGCCTGGACTTGGCATGTACAGAGACAGTCTCTTCTCCTGCTTGCATTCCAGTCCCCCCCACCCCCCTCCCGCCCTGCGCCCCGCAAGATGTGATGACAGATAGGGATGTGTGCTCAGGCAACAGAGGCGTCTGTGCGGGGACCATCGATCACCCAGCCCTGGGAGCCACACAGCTGTGCTGATTGGTGCTACTGCTTAACCTACCTCCCAGCCCGGACTGGAGGGGTCCTCCTGGGGCCTTGGACCCAGGGGTTGAGGCTCCTGTGTTTCTCTCCAAACCAGGCACCCGAGGTGCTGACCTCTCCAAGACCCAGTGGATGCTGGGCACTGGTCCACCACAGTGCACGTTCCTACACCACACATACACAAAGGCGCACTCGTCCTGCCGCCACCCAGTCCCAGCCCCAACTTATGACCTGGCATGTGCTCCCATAGAATCTGGCTTAGTGCCTGGTCAGAACTAATAGCTGGAGGGGCCAGCCCACACACGCGTTAATCCTCTTGAGATTCAGTACCCTACAGGGATGGGCACAGGAGCTGAGGTGAACAGCTGGGACCCTAAAACCTTTCTTTTGCCTCCCCGCTGCGGGCACCGCCCTGAAGATCCCTCAAGGTGCAGGGATCACAAGCAGCCCTTTCCACGCATTCCATTCTGTCCTGAGCCTGAGCCCCAACTTCACTGGAAGTGCAGCTTGTCTGCCTTACCGCGTCTGCCGAACCGAGCCCTTGGAGGGGCAAACTTCCCACTTGCGGACACCGCGGGGTAACTGAGGTCCAGAGCTGGAAGCGGTAGCGATGCCGTGATGCGGCCGCAGCCGCTTTCCTTGTCCCCCGACGCCGACTCGCAGGCGCCCACCAAAGTTGGCAGCGAAGCGCGTGCGCCACTGCGCGAGCTCCCAAACGCAGCGACCTCCGACCAGGCTGGGCAAGGGAGGCGGGACAGCCTCAGTCGCAGACGGCTCACATCTCCTTGCACGCCCCGCACACTCAGTGGACGCGCTGGGACGGCTCCGGGAGGGAGTGAGGTCGGACCCGCCACGGTGTTGCAAAAGCCTGGAGTGGCGCGCAGGTGCGGGCCGAGTGAGGGGCTCCTGGCACCGTCCCCGCCCCCGACGCCTGCAGGCTGCCGCGGGGGTGCGCAGAGGCTGCCAAGTCTCCCGGGTCGCCGCAGCGGCAAGAGGGGGCGTCAGCACACATCCGTCAGGGCTGTGGCCCCTGACAGCCTCCTGTCCACCCAAACCAGGTTGGGGCTGGTTCTGGGGGCTGAACCCTAGAATAGGGGGGCTCCAGAACAGACCAGGGGGGGCCAAGTCCAGAGCTCAGGCGGTGGAACCTATGTGTCCTTGCCAGCTTCTCCTGGGTAAGCCAGATCGCCTGTGTGGTTCCTTTACTCCAAACAGGAGGCGTCCCCCACTTCCCTTGCTCTGCTGGCTAATGGACACAATGCTTTAGCACCCCCACCCCTGGATTCATCACGCCACTCCCAGGACTCACTCTCGACTTCCTAGGAGGTTCCTCTCTGTGTCAGGACAGATCCAACACCTTTGCTCACTCTCCGAAGGGCCTCATCCTCGGTGGTGGCTTTTCCTAGAAGGACTGTGAGGTGGCAAAGGACCCAGGAGGGTTTGGAATGCCCGGCAACTATAAATGCTGGAACTTCCTTCTCTTTAATGTCTTTGTGGCCAGAACTGCTCCTGGGTTGTCAAAACGTAACCTCTGGGGTCACACTTCTTAACTAGATCCCAGGGAAATTTCCTTAACTTGTGGGTTCCAGAGGTGCATGTGGGCAGTGGGCATGGCCTGGACAGAGACAGATAATCTCTCTCTCTCTCTCTCTCTCTTTCTCTCTCTCTCTCTCTTTCTCTCTCTTGTTTGCCTGTGTGTAGGGAAAAAACCTTAGCCCAGAGGTGTGCTGCTTGGCATTTCAAGCATGGAAGGGTGATTGCTACCCCAGGCCTGCACTGCTGAGGCTCAGAGGTCAAGAGACTCAGCTACTGGCTCCTGGGATCTCTCCAGTTCAGATCTGTGGAAGAAGGGAAATCTCTGAAATGACTTTGGGTGCAGTCATAGGGTGGAGGGCACCGGGGGTTCAGTACTTCTTAGTTCCATGAACCTGGACTTGGTTCCCACGTCTGTGTGGCAGATAATGGCCAGAACCCAGATGTTGGCCAAAGTCCAAGGGTTATAGGTCAAAGAGTAGGGCCTCTCCAGTCTAGCTTCCTCCTGTCTCCATGCCACCTTCCTAGAAAGCAGCCCACCGGCAACTGAGGGCCATCCAGAGCTGGAAGCGGTGCTGTGAATTGTATAGCATACTCCTTTCTGCCTGCCTGGCCCAGCTAACCAGCTGACCATGCAGGTGGCCCGGGGCTGGGAGACAGCTTGAGCGGCCAATGTGCCAGTAGTCCTAGGACCAGGAGTCCAGCTCCTCATGGGCACTAACTAGAGATGATGGGAAACTCAGGTCACTCTGAGACAAGGAGAGTGGGAACATGCGGCACGGGCCCCTTATTCTCAAGGACAGCTCTGTCCTTTCTGGGAACTGTGGAACAGCCTCTGGCTGACGACACCAGGGGCAGGCCGGAGGTTACTGCCACTGTCCAGGGAAGGCCTGGCTTCAACACGCAGGGAACAAAGCCTGGTGCAGCTCAGGTGAACCTGTGGTCTGCAGGACAAACCCCAGAGATACGCCGTGTAGCACCTCAGGTATGAGATTGATAGCTGTAACGGGGATCACTGCCCAGGCCAGCTCTATGGAGGCCCAGAGAAGGGAGATGGGAAGAGCAGAAGGGAACTGGAGCAGTCATATGCCCGGCAGTGCCGCCTCTCATGGGCCTTTGTAGAAATTCGTGTGAGACGGGAAGGAGAGACCACATCCAGAAATGACCCTAAGGGTTTCTATTACCTGAGCATACTCCTGGATTTCCTAGAGGGGAAAGAAACTCCTGAGCCCTGGGCTTGCTCATGGAGGTCTGAAGAGCTTGGTGAGCCTGGCAGCCCCTCCCTTCTGCCCAAGGGGCTCTCAGGCACATCCAGCCCCTCCTGATTTCCTTTTCCTCTCTTACCTCGGACCATTCCTCGGCTGGGGCCTTCCACCCACCCCTCTAGGAATGAGGGACCACGAGCTCTAGGAGATGACTATCTCCTGAGTGGCTGAGATGACATAGCTTGGCGTTTGGACTTGTCACCCTGAGCCTGAGATCCTGCCCACAGTCCCGAAGCAGTACCTCTCCCCCTCTGGAATAGAGAGAGCACCTAGTCTTAGCTTCAGACCCTAATAGGGTTCTTGACTAGGACAGGGGCCTGGTGGTCTCTCCTGGTGTGGGTCTTGCCTTTACCCTCAGCTGGAGGTTTATTTCAGCCATTTAACCTTCTCTTCTTGACCTGCCTATGGCTGCCCGCCTGTCACCTCCATTAGCATTGACCCTGTGCGTGCTGGAGGCTTATGAGCTGGCTAAAATTTCTGGACTCTGCACTGTCTCATTCCCTCAGTGTTGCAGCCCTCCCCAAGACAGGTATGGGGCTGGCTGGTACTCCACAGTGGGCAGAGGGACCGAGGCTAGAGCCAAACAAACAGGGTCTAAAACCCACGCACAGAGGGACTCCATGGAGCGGCAGCAATTCTGTAGTCCCAGAGGGCCGCATAGTATATTTGGCAGTGGCTCATTTTTCACCTTCTGAGTACAGGACACATGGCAGCATCCACAGTCCATGTGAAATCCCTGGTCCAGAGAGGAAGAGACACCCTTGTAGTTTCACCTTTGTTGCACAAAGTGTCCTTGGGGACTGCAGGCTGGTGGGAGAGCAGAGGATCGTGCCTGAAGCTCTGTGCGAGCTGGAGGCTGCAGGTCTTGATAGCCCCAGGGAGCCACAGTGGGTATGCAGTATGGGAAGGGAGGCAACAGGACCTGGTGACTGCGGAGGAGTCTGATGAATCTTCTTTCTGGGATCTGAGTGCTCCATTCCAGGACATGCTGGGTTACCCACCAACTTGGGGAGGAAAGGGCTGCCACTATGTGCTGGGCAACTGAATGGATGAGACGCCAGTGATTACTGGAGGGTCTGCGCCAGGTGTGGTATGTAAACGGCGGTGGTGTTTGTAAACCCTCTTTAATGGGAACGTCCCAGCTGGATAGGAGCCTCTTCCTTTAGAGGGAGCAGCTGGCCTGTTCAGGTGGGTGGGACAAGTTCATGCTGCCCAAGCCCCCACCCGGGCTCTGAGCCCGGTTGGCACTGGTTGAGCAGTGCCTGGGGCCGACAGCAGCCATATGTTGGGAAGTGGAGCTGTGTGCGTTGCTCTGCGGCCCCGGGACCAGCCTTCCTGGGCCTGTCACAGATGATTTTCCCTGCCTGAATGGCAGGCAGGATGGCGGGTGGGGCAGTGGGGGCCAGGGAGCTGACCCTATGTCCAGGTCCTTCACTGCCCTCAATACCAGGGACTGCCACTCTTGAAGTAATCCGAGCCTCGGCTTTGAAGCCCCCAGAACTTCACTGAGTGAACTCTGTGGCGGGCACCTCTTTTAGCTCAAAGTTGGGGTTCAGGAGAAGATTCCTGGCTGGTCACCAGGGAGGGACCTCCTGCTTGGTTGTGGGTGGTGGCCAGGGGTCCACGCCAGCTTGCTGTGTGCCCCGGGCAGGTGAAAGAGGGCCGGGAGCCGCAGCCCTGTCAGCCCAGCGCCCAGAGCTGTGCACAGGGAGGTAGGGAGGTCATGGCTAATTTGTACACTAAGTGCTTCTGACAGGGATGCCTCACAAGTGAGAACATGCTGCTGCCTGCCCTGGGAAGGCCATAACGGCTAGTGATGAAGACAGTGGGCCCAGGAGAAAGGGCCTTGGGTCCACAGGGCCAATAGGGACCAGGAATTTGGGGGAAGCCATGCTGACGGCTATTGGAAAGGTAGGTCTGAGGAAGAAATGTGGAAAGTGAGGATGAGACAGAGATAAGTGGGCCGAGCCCCTGACCACTCTCATGCTCAGAACTCTTTTTCAGTTACTAGTCCTGCTGCCCCTGACCACTCTCATGCCCAGAATTCTGTTTCAGTGACTAGTCCTGCTGCCCCTGACCACTCTCATGCCCAGAACTGTTTCAGTGACTAGTCCTGCTGCCCCTGACCACTCTCATGCCCAGAACTGTTTCAGTGACTAGTCCTGTTGATCTTGGGCTTCAGACCTCCTGCTCATGATAACCCACCCCAGTTTAGCCTAGTGCTATAGTGTGAAGTCTACTGCTTTGACTAGTCTGCCCACCTCCCTCCTCTAGGCCTCTCACCCTATCCAGAATCAAGCACTCAGCAGCCTTTTGAGGAGCCCTAGCTCCCTCCCAATACTAGCCAGAGTTTTGCTTATGTGTATAACTTCCTTCTGAATGCCCCTTTGTTTCCCTTCCCCCCATATGCTGGGGTCCATGGGAAAAGGAAGGGTAAAGTGTTTGTTGGGACCAACCAGAGTGGGTGAGCACTAGCAGCTGGACCTCCATCTTGCCCCAATACTAGAGTCCTGCCTTTTCTTGAGTTGTTCTGGGGCTGGAGCTGCAGGGGCCAGTGTAGTGGTGCCAGGTGGAATAGGGCAGAAGAGGAACTAACTGATCTTTAGCTGCCAAAGGTGCCCAGAGCTGGCTCCTGCTGTAAGTACACATAGGTGCAGGTCTTGCCCCTCCACTGTAAGAGATGGTCCAGCCTGGTGCGCAGCCGCATAGGGGCAGGGAAGGCGCTGTGGGCGGCGAGGTGAGATGTGTTGTGGCAGCTGCCTCGCTGCCCGAGGCCCGCCCGGAGCGAACACTGCTGGTGGCTTTAATTGCTTTCACATTCGATGGGGCTGGCCTGTGACAGGCCTCTTACACGCGGTGCACTCTGGCCGTGAACCCCCAGCCCCCGCTTGCCCAGGGGCATCCTCTAGCTCCTGAAGGGGCCTGGGCTGCTGGCCAGAGATGGGCCCAGCCTGCACCAAGCTGGGAGGGGACACAGCTAAGAAGAGAGCAGCAGCTACAGTCCCACTCACCCTCTGGCTCCATCTGCTCCTTCCTGGTGACTGATGGATTCAGACAGCCTTCATCCCCCCCAGTGCAGGAAGGAAAAAAAAGATACTTGCACACATGTTGTCCTGCCCACCATGTTGGTCCTACCTGGTTGTAGGGCTAAAACCCTAGGGTTGGCTCCAGCCTCTGTCTCACCTGGATACTTACTACTTCATCTGGCTGGCTCACAGCTCATCTCACCTTAGGCAGAAGCAAGAACTGCCCCCCCACCCACTCTGGTACTCTTCTGCATACAGTTCTATCCCCGCGCTGGCCTCTGGAACAGCCTGTTTCTGTGTGTGTAGGGAAAGAGAGGGTGACAAAAGACTGAAAGCTCCCTTACAAAACAAAACGCTTTTATTTGGTCCTTGGAGCCTGAGTGGAAATGGCCTATGGAGTCATCGAACAAGGAAGGGACTGATAGCTGATAAAATAGTCTCTGTGTTCGAAGAGCTGGTCCTATTTACAGGGTTAAAAATATTCACAGCTCAGAGTAAAAGGAGGCCCAGAGGGGAAGGGAATGTTTCTCTAGGTATAAAAACCCTTGCAAGCCCCATAGAGGCAAGGACAGTGGGTGTGCGAGCTGCCCACTACCTAGGGGGCTGCAGGACAGTGGCGGCCAGGTGGGGGGGGGCACAGGAAATGACTCAGGCGTCCATGTGACAGATAAGGGCTCTGATCTTGACAAGCAGCTAGGGGAATGCTGGGCAGGTGGACAGCTTAGCTCCCTCATCTAGGAGAGGAAGTAGTCAGTCACACCTTACATGTGCCTGTGACGGGACTGGGTTGGAGGGTGTCCTTTGTGGACAGACCGAGGCAATGGGACAGCGCTGATGGTGGCCAGGGAAGCTAAGGACGAAGCGCTTCTCCAGACAGCCAGGAAGGGTCCGGCTCCCAACCTGCCACCTCATCATGGCTTCGATCCTGGCAGGTGCTCCAGGAATTGCATAGTGTTGCAGGAGAGGCAGCTGTCCCCAAGCCCTGGCTGATGGCCACCAAGCATCTGCTTCCTGCAATGCGCCGCTCATGTGCCAGGGCTATCAGGACCCTGCTCACTAGGCAGGGAGCTGGGCTTGGGAACAAACCAAGGGGGGGAAGCAGCAGATCAGAGCCTCCGCAAAGGGTTGCCTAGGCTCTCAAGGCAGGATCATGGCCTCTGAACCCCCAGATCTGGTTCTCTGAACATGTATCTGGACTGCCTCTCTATAGCAAGTGACTGCATATTCACAGGGCCTTGGCCACCTGAAGCTGTCCCCAGGGCTCAGGATAGAAGTACTGGAATGAAGCCCACCCGGCTCGAGGTATTCAGCATGGCAGCTGGGAGGCCTGGTGGGGGACTGAGGGTATTTGGAGTGTGGGAGGAGGGGAGGGAGGCCCAGGGGAGGCTGCACCCTGTAGCCGGCGGCTCCCTGGGCAGGGTCCTGAGATTCTGGTTCAAGCATCCTCCATTGGGGGTCTCCCTCATAAAGTGCATGTAGGGGAGGGCAGGTGGGTGGATCTGCACATAGGCCCTGCCCTAGGGAACTGTAGTCATAGTGGCCGGGGTCCATGGAGACCAGCCACATCAGGTGTGAGTGGGGGGCTGTGGGTACCCCTAGAGGCCGTCCAGTCGCTGAGGAAGGCCTGGGCTGCTTTGCGATGTGCCAGGCGGTGGGTGATAGAGAATCCAGCATTGCCTTCCAGCTGGGACAAGATCACCAGGACCTGCCTGCAGAAGAGGGCTGATGAGGATCAGTGGGAGACCAGGGCCTACGGTAGGGGAAAAAAACAGCAGGTACCCACCTGTGCAGAGGTGGTACACTGTCCTGGGTGCGCAGGCTGCCACGTGTGGATACCACATTGAAGCTGTCGGTGCAATCACATTGCACATGCAGGTAGGACTTGGGGTGCCGGTTCTCCACTACCACGATGAGCCCCGCCCAGCCATGAGTCAGGTAGTAGCAGGTCATGCCCTCTCGGCCCTGGGCACAGGCACAGGGTGGGTGGGCCAGGGCTGGTGGTTGCCCACCCGCTGCCCTCCCCCATCAGGACCCCACCCACCTCATGCCGCTCGCCCCGGCTCTCAGTGAGCAGGATGATGGCATCGGCCAGTGTGGTTGGCTGCGCCTCCACCGGCTCCACCATGACCAGCCTGGAGCTGTACACTGCGAGTACGTGGCCGGGTGGCTCGGGGGCACCTCGGGGGGGCCCCTGTTGAGGGGCTGGAGGCTGTGAGGGGTGTGGATAGCGGAGCCAGCAGCTTTCCCGTGGGTGGGCTTTGGGGCTCAGAGGATGGGAAGGTGGGTATGGGCCTCATCTGGCTGGGGCCCTTACCCTGGGCAGGGGGCCCTGGTGGAGCAGGGTTCCAGTGGTTGAAGGCACAGCACACCACAGCATACTCGCCAGGTTCCAGCATGACATCACAGTTCACAAACTTCTTAACAGCACGTTTGCTGTGGGCCAAGAGGCGGCCCAGGCTCAGGCGGCCACCAGTGCCAAAAGTGGCCCGGAACACCAGGATGCAGAGATCCAGGAGGTGGCTGTCTACTGAATCCGAGCGCCTGAGGGCCAGAGATAACAGGCTGCTGCTCATGTGGCCATAGCCATGAGCTTCTAGCTTGGTATATTGCTCAACCTGTTGCCTACCTGCTGCCCTCCTGGAAAAGGGCAAACTCCAGGGAGGCACGCTCCAGCACTGTCAGCGCGGTCACACCCACTGGTCCACTGGCAGTGCTTGGGAAACATCCCTGAACCCGTGCCTCCTGCCAATCTGAGTGCACCTTGCAGATGTCCACAGAGTCAAAGTACCTAGACAGTGAGGGAAAGGGGCAGCTGAGCAGAGTGCAGCCCGATGCCCCAGCTCTGGGATGCGGAGCCCACACTACGGCCTCTGCTCTCAGTCTTCAGCACTCACGGCAGTCTCCCTGCTTCACCGTTCCCTTTCAGTTGTTTCTCACCACTCTTTCCCGGCCCTGGGAGCCCCTTAAGCGGGAAGCACTTCTCTAGCTGTAGCCCTGTCGTGGTTTGCACATGAAGTATCTGGTCCCCGGCTGGTGGTACTACTGCAGTCAGGAGGGAACTGACCTCATCAGCCATTGATGAGTTCATAGCTGAATGAACAGGCTATCAAGAGGTGGTGCCTGGTTGGAGGAAGGACACTTCCAGGTTGAGGCCTGGTCTTTGAAGGATATGTGTGGCCTCTACCTGTCTGTCTCTGCTTCTTGAAGGCAACGAGGTGAGCATACCATACCCTTCTGCCTTACCAGATCTATAGCAATGGTCAGCTGATCTGTACTGAAATATTTGAAGCCATGAACAAAGTAAGTTTTGTTTTTGAGATGGGGTCTCATATTGCCCAGGCAGGCCTGAAACTCATGGACTTCAGGAACTTGGGACCCTCCTCCCTCAGTTGCTGGAGCGTTGGGATTACAGATGTGTGTGCTAGCATACCTATTCACTCCTGCTTTTAAACTGTTCTCCAGCATCTGCCACAGTGACAGCAACTGATATGGTTCCTGAATACCACGGGGGTGCAGAATGACACACACAAGCCCTGCTTCATATAAACCTAAATTCCTTGGCCAGACCAAGAGCTGCCTTTCAGAGGCCCGCAGGAGCTGGGACACAGACAAGCTGCTTACCTAGACCAGATCCCTGAGGATCTGGTCACAGGAAAGGTGAGGGCATCCAGGTACCTGATAAAGTCACTATACTCCATCCAGAAAACACCCTCGCTGCTGCCATGTGGCATGAGCTCAGCTCGTAGGTGCCCTGGCCAGTGTGGCCACTCATCCGACCAGCTGCCATTCCAGGAGAAACGGCCCCATGGGTTCCGGAGTCGCAGGAGCCTATAGATCACAGGACTGAGAACCAAGACTATGTGCCTTGTGTCCATGCACTTGTCCACCCTCAGCCAGTTGGGCCCTTACCTGGAGCCCTGAACATCACGAACATCCAAGATGGAGTAAGCATGGCGGGGGCGCAGACCCAGGCTCTCGTAAGCAGCATCATCTACCTTCATGTTACCTCCCCCACAGGAGGCACCCATGAGAAACCTGTTTAGGCAGAGTGACACTGGCTGATGGAATGGGTGGTAACAGGGGAGATGACCCTTCTTGAATATGGGGGTATAGTCTGGGACCCATGTGACACACGCTTTCTGGATGAGCTCAGTGTGTCTGGCTAGAACAAGCTGGTTTCTGAAGGCTTAGGCCTGAAATGTGGGCAGTACTACTGCCTAGGTTCAGCTGGAGGTAGGGATTTTGGCATCCTCTCCCAGGACTAGAACTTCTGTAGGTCTTTGGGTCTAGACTCTTCTAGACCTTGGGAAAGGAGTGTCAAGGTTCACAACACCGACCAGGGTGTGGCATGTCTCAGAACACCTCCTCCTACTCCTCAGGGTCTCTCTGTGAACTCTTGCCTGTATTTTCCTAAGTGAGAGGTAATGAGATCTGGCCTCTTTCTAGGGTGGCTACCTAGAATGGCTATACTTCTTAGCTATGGCTCACTAAGAACCTAGTTAGATGCGGGTACAGTCAGAGGGCACTGGCCCCACTTCTCCCACCACTCCACTCTTCTCTCCTCCCAATGCCACAGACCATGGCAGCGACGGCCTCTTACCCAGCCTCCTTAGAACTCAGCATTTTGGCCCAGATGAGGTCAGTATCAACAGGTTCTTCTCGGGGATTAGTGGAGCTGACCTGCAGCGCCAGACTCTCACAGGGGGCACCGGTGAGTGTGGCCAGGCCTTCAATGGCACGCCCTGCCTGGAGTGCAAAGTAGGAGCCGTGCAGCTTGGCCAGCGCCTTCTCAATGAGGGCCACCCACAGCTGCTTCCGTTGTGCCTGGGGGAGGGATCAGAGTCATAGGTTGCCTGGTTTTCCGACCCGGCCTCCCACCTGGTTGTCCCACCTGTGAGAAGAGCAGAAAGCCAGCCTCGTCGCAGGGCAGCATGTCGTCCACAAGTACTGTTGTCCACGTGCCATCCTTGCACAGCCGCACCTGGTAGGCGCCCTCTGCACATAGGCTACGTGTAACCATCACCCTCTCCACAAGGTCGGGACGTTCAGCCAGGACTGCCAACGCACTCAGGAACCTGGATGGAGCCAGGCAACTTCACAACATGCCCACAACTGGACCAGTAGCCTCCATCCTCCCCTGAACCTGTCTGTTCCTGGCAGGAACCTGGAGCCTCACCAGCAGTTCCCCAGCAGGCCCTGTAGGATGTCAGAGGGCCTCAGGGTGTGGAAGACTGACCACGGAGTGCCTTGGTCCCTGAAGACAGAGCAGTTGATTTCGTGGGGCCGCAGCCACTGCTTCACTCGCTGCTGGACGCTGTCGCCCACTGGGAAGCCGACAGATGCAGGCCCGGGGGGGAAGCTGTCATCCACAAAGTTCACACTGTTCTGCAGGGACCATGGCCGGACACTCAGGCTGGGCAGGGCAGCCTCAGGCCCAGAATGATTCCACTCTACCTTTTGGGGGAAAGACCCCCACCCTCCCAAGAGAGCTTTAGAAGGTTAGGGTGGGGTTCTTGCATATGATACCGACCTTGGTGCTAGGCAACTCTGAATGGTTTGAAGGGCTCACCATCAGGATGATCCTGAGTGGGCATGGGGACACATGGCCTTCCTGCCCATGACACTGTAGGCCAATGGCAACCATGCCACAGTGAGCATGTTAGCCTAGGAGATGGCACAGCTCCAGCTGCTCCTTCAGCTGACCCAAGGGTGAAGCCACCCAGGGTTCAGGCTCTGCAGCTCAAATGGAGCACCAGGTATCCCTTGAGCTCTAATGGGGTATGCTGCCCTGTGTTAGACAGCCTCACTGGGTCTGGGAGCCTCCTAGGCCTACGAGCTGAGGGACTGTGACATGAATAGTGGAGGTAAAAGTTACCTTGGGCCAAGCTGCTCTCAGCCTCAGAAAAGAAGCTCCTTACCTCTCTGCAGAAAGCCACTATGTTCTCCCAGAGTGCCTTGGCCTCGCCCTCGTCTGTCTGCCTCCGCTTCTCCACATGCATGCTCTCCCTGCGCCTCAGGGGTGTAGCCCCCCGGCACTGGGTCACTAGAAGCTGTGGTGTATGGCAGGCTGCACAGTGCTTGGCCCGCGGTGTGTTGATCAGAGTGCAGGCAGGGCAGGCCCACTGGCCCAGGCGATCAGGCAAGAGGCGGGCAGCCTTGTGTGCTGAGGGAGCTCGTCCACAGCAGCCGACACAGGGGCCAGGCTTGTCGGCACCACAGTCGGGGCAGTGGGTAGGGGGCTCACTGTGCTCCTGGAAACCATGCAGCTTGGAGCCGCCACATGCTGAACACCTGGGGGCTGTTGTGGGGTTCCTAAGTGTGCACCTGGCACATGACCAGGTGGTGAAGTCAGGGCTGGAGGGGCTGGCAGGTGTGTAGCGCACAGTGTCTCCAGCCAGGTCAATGACATCACTGCACGACTCACAGCGGGCAGGGCTGCTTTCTGGGGCCTCCTCCTCCAATACACTCAGTCGCTTGCCTGGTAGCAACTCCTTGCCTGATAGCAGCTCAGCTAGGCGGGAGGCCCCAGCTGCAGCTCTTCCAGGGCCCTGTGGAGGCCCTTTGGAGCTTGTGGAGGTCAAAGACTGAGCAGCCTCAGGCACAGGTGGCTGAAGCTGAGGAGGGACCTCCCGGCGGCTTCTGGGCACAGGGTTGTTCTGTAGGGTGGGTGAGAAGGGGCTGAAGGGTGGTACCCTGGGGGGCTCCTGGTCAGTGGAGATGGGACCCTGGCTGGTAGAAGGAGAATCAGCATCAGCACTTTCCCCAGGGAGGATAGGCTGGGATGGAACAGGAACAACATGGAAGCCAGTAGGGGCCACAACCTCGGGAACCACCAGGGCCTCTGGGGGGATGCGAGGTAATGACAGTTTCCGGGGTCCCCCACAGGCAGAACAAGAGCTGGCCACTGGTGTGTTATGCAGTGTACAGCGCTGGCATGCCCAGCCACTGCCAGGCTCAGCCCCTTCCCCTTCGTCCTCCTGCTCCTTTTCTTCTTCTTTCTCAGGGTGCCCTCTGACTGGCTCCATGGCCACTAGCCCTGCTGTCCGCACAGAGCCTGCTTCCTCCTTGCAGTTGCCCTTTGGTTCCACCAGGATGGTGGGTGGCTTGGGCAGGACCCCATTGATAATGGGCAGCAGAGGGGCTCCAGGAACAGGCTCTGGGGTAAAGCCACACACTTCGCAAGCCTCTTTGCCTAAAAAGTTCCGGAATGTACAACGCGCACAGGGCCATTTCTGCTCCTCCACGCTGAGTCGCAGGATCTGGTCAAGATCTGGCTTGTGCCTGGGGGCCTCACAGATGGAGCACTGGCGTTGGCCGGCAGGGTTCAGAAAGGTGCAGCGCGCACAGGACCACTCCCCAACTGTGGCCATAGACCCAGGAGAATGCGTGTGGCTGCAAGGGAAGAACCTGATTAGTATGACTTCTTGAGGCCTAAAGTCACTGTGTTCCATGGGGAGACGGGCAGCACTATTCCATGGAGGGTGACTGGGACTAAGGTAGGTGCCTGACTGGATGTAGAGCCAGCAATATGGAAAGTGTGGTCACCTTGCGGTCAGCAATGTTCTGAGGGATAATGGTGGGAGCAGTCTTATTCAAGAACAGCCTAAGCCTTTGCCCAGTGTGCATCCTCAGCTTTGTAGTTTCCTCATCCATAGGTGCCAAGGGAGACTCCTTGAGCCCAGGTCAGGGTGGAATTAGAGCTAAACTTGGGCATTCTGGCCTTTTCCTATGGGCTTAGCACACTCCACACCTTTAGACTTGTAGCAGGGTGGCAGTGAGGACTGGGAGGCTTGTAGATCCTTCTTGGAAAGGCTACCTGAGCAGTGAGGATGCAAAGCAGACACAGCGTGAGCCTGGATGGAGGTTGAGGTTATGAGGCTTGCACATTGCATTATTCTAAGAATTTGACATGCTTCTGGGCTTTGAACAAACACATAGAATACATGGAGTGCAGTCTCTGGGCTTGGGTGGAGGCGGGTTTCCTGGGCTCCTGGCCTGACTGCCTGCTCCCAGGATGGGTCCCTCAGGTGGATGGAAAGGGTGCTAGACTCCACAACAGGGATGAGCTGCAAACACACTTCCACAATACCGATCTGTAGAACTGACCATAGCTGCTCTGCCTCTAGGAAAATCAATTGCTTTTTACAATGAAGCACCGTTATGCTTCTAACCTTTGGTTAAGGAAGAAGAAAACATTCCTCTTCATAAAAACAAACAAACCAAACAAAAACTAATTCTTCCCTCCAAAAGATGACTCGCTTAAGGGCCCAGAGTTGATTCTCATTCCACCAGCCTGTGTAGGTTGGGTAACCCCAGGAGAGACAGGTAGAGGTGCTTAGACTCTTGTGCAGAAGCTTCTGAGCTGCCCATGGCCTTGCCCACCATTCTGAGAGCCCTGGAGCAGCAAATGTGCAGGTATACCAGGCTCAGGTCAGAGCCTGGAGCTCACCAGACCTCTCTCCTCCACTCCTTTCCTTGGAGAGGGCTCATGGTTGAGGTGTCCCCTACACCTCTCCCATACAAGAGCACTACTGTCTCCACCTGCACATCTACTTCATAGCACAACAAGATGGGCATCCCAGAGGGCCCTGGTGAGCCATAGTAAGTTTGACAGGTTACCTCCCAGGGACCTCCTGAGGTAAGTCAATCCTCATGAAATGTTCCTTAGGAGGCTCTCAGGGCATTCTCTGATTCAACCCTAGGCCACTGACCGAACAGACTGAGGAAGGTTGTGATGGCTAATTAATGCTTCCTGTCTACTCGGCCGGATTTGGAATCACATAGAAGACACACCTTGGCAGAATCTTTGAGGGTGCTTCCAGAGAGGTTTAACTCAAGAGGGAAGATCCACTCTGTAGTCCAGGCAGGTCTCAGACTTATAAAGACTCTGTCTCTTCCAAGTACTGACCGGATTTAACAGCATGTCCCACCACGCCGAGCCCAAAACACCCACTCTGAATATGGACAGCACTATCCCATAGACTGGGATTCCAGGTTAAATAAAAAGGGGGAAAGGAGGGCCATTATTAAATCTGATGACCTGAGTTTGACATCTGGGGACCCACATGGTGGATGGAAAGGACCAACTCTCATAAAGTGTCCTCTGGCCTCCACAGGTGAGCCACGGCATGCATGGATGTATACACACAACATACATTAATATGTAAAAAAGGAGAAAGCATGAGCTTCTTTGATTCTTAACTGCAGTTGTCTCATGCTCCCATGGCCATGCTCTCCTTGAATAATGGACTGTGTACCCTCTGTGATGGTTTAAATAAAAATGGCCCAGTAGGCTTATATATTTGAATACTTAGTCAGATTTTCTGCAAGGCCTTGAGAAGGCACAATGCTGTGAAGGTAAACTCCAAGATGCAATGAACACCCCATGATGCTGGAAATGCCAGGACCATAGAATGTCTGCTGAGGAAAGCTGCTGCAGTGGAGTGGAGCTAGCTTAAGAGAGCGGCTATGTGTGCTGGAGACAGCACAAGTGGAGAATGGGGTTATTCAAGGCTGTTGGAGTCTAGAGAATGTCACAATAAGCCACAGGTGCAGGACATTGAGCTTCTGGGTATGGGTTTGGTCTTCCTTGGCCCTATTTTACTTTGCAATGCCCCATTTCCTCTCTTTTGGAAGGGGGTATGCTTACTCTATGCCATTGTATACTGGAATTATATAAACTTCATAGTTAAGAGACTGACTTGATTGTTGACATGAGCCAGGTGTGGTGGCTATAATTCCAGCACTCAGGAGGCAGAGGCAGGCGATCACTCTCGTACCTCTGAAATATACTGAATCCTACCGGCAAGCCCATCTTTTTGATGGACTACGTACCCACAAAAACTGTAAGCTAAAATAAATCCTTGTTCTGTTAAGTGGGTTTTGTCAGGTACTTTGTCATAGCAAGAAGAAAAATGACTAATACAAATTTCAAAAATATTAGGGAGGAAGTTCAGGTGCTCATTCATCTCAGGAAATAGCCGGGATGGCCAGGGTCTGGCTTTGGCTCAGTTGAACCTAAAGCACGGCCATTGACTGGGATGAGAGGAGAAAGAGGAACCACACAGGAAGCTCATAGTAGACAAGCCCAATCAGGAAGACTCCAGCTGTAGTATAGGACAGCTCCAAAGAAAACAATGCCTAAAGATCAAACTTATTCCAGAGGCCAAGCTGAGGGTCTTCTGTAACCAGAAAACCTCTCAATACCAAGGACTCTTAGGGTAATTCCGGTCAGCTTTGTGCTATGAACCTCCCAGGACCCTTTACCCTCCTTGGTTCACCTGCTAATGCCCATAGTCCATGACCAGTCCTTTACTGCAAGGCCTGGGAATGGACCCAGGGCTCAAGACCTGAAGTCCATAGGCAAGGCCAAACCACCACAAAAAGTCTGTGTAGAGCTGAAGACCCAATAAAATCTGTATATAGACTGGCAAAACCTCTGAGAAACTCTCAGCACAACAGTGAGAGTGTTGCTAAGTGGCAGAGTGCTTGACTAGCATGAATGAGATGCTGGGCTCGACTCCTAGATCCAGAAGTAAAAAGAAATTAAAAAGGGTTTTTGCACTTGATTTTCTAGAATTCTCAACACAAATACTCCTAAATCACAGCACATGAGCTCACAGAAGTAGTTCCAACTTTTCAGGACACGGGCTCAGAACAGAGAGCAAACTGAGGCAACCGGCAGAAGTCCACTCAGAACACTGGCTTTGTTCTTGGTTCTCTGGGCAGAGCAACACTCAGATTTCATGCAAAGGGAGGTGACAGGCTTCAAAGCTACAACAGAGTCTACCTGAGTAACCAGGAAATGAGCATCCAGAGGACCTAGAGGTTGCTGCATCCTGCTGTGGTCTTGGCAAGAAGTCTCTCACCTCTTAGGAAGGATTGGCTAGCTAATTAGGTCATTAAAAGATGGGATGCCTTGGGCTGAAGAGATGGCTCAGCGGTAAAGAGCACTGCCTGCTCTTCTAGAGGTCCTGAGTTCAATTCCCAGCAACCACATGGTGGCTCACAACCATCTGAAATGAGATCTGATGCCCTCTTTTGGCCTGCAGGCAGACACACAGACAGAATATCATATACATAATAAATAAATATTTTTAAAAAAAAGAGATGAGATGCCTTTGCTCCACAGAGCAGCTTCACACCCTACCCTTGCCAGTTTCTTACCCTGTCCTGAGGACCTATATAAGGGTGAGGGTAGTGTCTCCCTTCCCAGGGAAATGTACAAAACAGCCCAGCTGTTTTCCTGGGCTGACTACAGGCTGGACTGCTCAGTTTTTCTGGATGGGTGTGTCCTCCTTGCCTCTGTCCCTAGGCAGCCAACGCCTGAATCAACTGTCTACTGATTAACCAGTCAGGTGAGGTTGGATATAAGCAGGGTTCCTATACTGGGCTCTCACTGGTGGAGGAGGGAAATCCACTGTACCTTGATCTCCTGGGCTCAGGTGATGAGTTGTCTTTTTACCCATACAATGGGTGTTACCCAAAAGGAGAGTACCAGCTAGCTGGGGGCGGCAGTCCTGAGAGATATGAGGAACTGCTACTTTCTGCCCTATGCTTCTCCCAGCCCACCCGATGTCCTACAAACACTGGGGGAAAGGCTCTCTGTTTCCTATGCTTGTGCTGTGTTACTTCTATGTGAGTATACACACATATGTGGGGAAGGAGTCCTGAAGGGTGTCCACAGAGTAGTGTCACCTTCGGCTTTCCTGCCACCTATCTAGTCCAGTAACCTCTGATGTCCATCCCCTCTCTAGTTTGGATAAGTATGGATTCTTCCAGATCATTAACACTGTTTATTTCTGATTCAACTTGGATGCCCGCTGCCTACTTAAGTCCTAGGCCTAGTGAGAACTAGTACATACTGGGGATGCCACTTGAGGGGAAGGGCCTGGCAAGAGGCTGGAGTAATAGGAAGTAAAGACATCCTCAAGTCTTGGGTCTCTCTTTCTCTCCTCTTAATCCCACTTCCTTGCTTAGCTCAGATGAACCTGTCCAGCCAAACAGTTCTGGATGTCTTTAAATGTTTCCTTTCTTCACATAGCCCAGTTGTATTTGAGCTGCTGAGCCTCCTGCTTCTGCCTCCAGAGTGTTGGAATTACAGGCACACACTTTCACGCCTGGCCATAGTTCTGGATTTTAAAATCTTGTGATTTATTTATTTATTTTGAGCCAGGGTCTCTCTTTGTAGTCCCAGCTGTCCTGGAACTCAGAGATTCACCTGCCTCAAAATTCTTGTGCTTTAGTTGGGCAGTGGTGGCACATGCCTTTAATCCCAGCACTTGGGAGGCAGAGGCAGGCAGATCTATCTATGTGAGTTTGAAACCAGCCTGGTCTACAAAATGAGTTCCTGGATAGGCTCCAAAGCTACATAGAAATCCTGTCTCAAAAACGAAACAAAAAATCTTGTGCTTTAAATATACACATATATTAAGCAATATATGTATGTATATGTACCATGCACATGCTGGAGCCCTTAGAGGTCAGAAGAGCCATTGGATCCCCAGGAACTGAGTTTCAGGTGGTTAGGAGCCACAGTGTGAACCAGGTCCCCTGGAAGAGTGGTAAGTGCTCTTAGCCACTGTGCCACCTCTATAACCTCCTAAATCTTGTGCTTTTACTTTTGTTTTATGAGACAGAGTTCACTCAGCAGCCTGCCTAGCCTGGAACTTATTATGTGGCCCAGGCTGCACCAAACTCTCAGCAATGTTCTTTTGCCTCTTGCCTCAGCTTGCCAAAATCTGTAGCAATAGGGTGTGATACACAATGTTGAGCAACACCTCACCCCGCAACTCACTTAAAAATTTAAACCTTGAACTTTCATTTACACACATGAACTTAGGAAAATATAAAAGTAGGACAGCCACCCACCCATGTGACAAGTACATGGTGACATTCTCCGCTGGAACACTGCTTACTGACACAAGACTGAGAAAACACGTGCAACATATAGCCTCAGCACACAAAGCCACAGTGGGCCTAGACATTTGACTCTTAACAGTTTCCCCTCAGGAGATACACACAGATACACACATACATATACACACATATGAAAACATGAGCTGTTCAACACCAATAGTCATCAGAAAAATGCAAATTAAATCAAGTAAAGCTCCACTGCACACCCTGCAGGATGGTTAGAGTCAAAGACAGATGATAGCAAGCATTATCAAAGTCAGGGGACACTGCCAACACTGTTAGTGGAATGTAAGTGGGCCAACCCCCGAGACAGCAGTGTTTCTTAGAATGTTGTGTAAACTCACCACAAACACAGCAGCAGCTCCAGATCAGGGATACACCCAAAACAATTAAACACATGCCCACATAAAACCTTCCGCATGAAAGTTTATAAACGGCATCATCATAAGAGCTAAGTGAGCAGACAAGCCAAACGTAGCTTATTCCTGCAACAGAAGACCACGGGAGCACACAAAGAATGGAAGTCCATGCTGCAATGGGGATGAACCTTAGGGGACAGTATGCTGAGTGAAGGCAGCCTGTCAGACATGTGGTCACATGTGAAATCTCTAGAAAAGGTAAACCTACAAACAGGAAGCACGTTAGTGGCTACCTGGGGCCAGAGCAGGGACAGAATGACTGCAAACAGAATCTCGTTCAGGTGCAAACTAACTCAGAAGGGTTTATGAACTGGTTGAAAATGATGTGTACATACATTGAGAACAGGTAAATTTGATGGTGTGTGGAGCTTTATGTCAACTTGATATAAGCTGGGGTCATTCTGGAAGAGCGCTCCTCAATTAGAAAATACCCCACTATCTGGCCTGTGGCAATTCTGTGGTGCATTTTCGTGATTGATGATAGATGTAGGAGGGCCCAGCTTACTGCGGGCAGTGCTACTCTTGGACTGGTGGTCCTGGATGCTATAAGGCAAGCTGAGCAAGCCACAAGGAGCAACCCAGCAAGCAGCACTTCTCTATGGCTTCTGCATCAGCTCCTGCCTCCAGGTTTCCACCCTGAGTTCCTTCAATGACACACAGTGCTGTGGAACTGTAAGCTAAAATAAATTCTTCCCTCCCCTAGTTGATTTTGGTCAATGGTGTTTTTTTTCACAGCAACAGAAAAACTAAGACAGTGTATAAGTCATATTCTAATAAAACTGCTTAACAGAATTAAAACTTGTATTAAAGATACTGCCTGGAGCATCCTGAGTACTAAGGGCACAGAGGCACTGTAATGTCTTCACGCACATGAGAAACTGCACCATCTCCACTTGCTTGAAGAGCCCTGCTATAGTGCTGCTTGTACTGTCTCTGGACCTTGAATTTCCAGTGGTTGACTCTCCCAACCACTAGAGTGACTCAGATCTACAGACTCATTTGGTGTCAGTGCCTTCTTCCAGCATCTCCTAAAGGTCACTTGTCTGCCAGCTCAGAAGGAAGTCTCCTGTCTGCGCTCTATGCCCAGCTAACTTCCTATGGCCGACAGATGGATGAGTGAGCTGTTTGTGGAAGTCACAACCATGCACTTCTCTGAGTAAAGAAAAGATCAGAGTGTTACCTGGGTTCTCTAGACCAGAGCACTAGGTCTGCAACCTCTCTGAGGTGAACCCTGGGTATTTATGGGGTGCCAGATACCCTTCCTTTAAAAATGACATGCATGTCTTATAAAAGACTCGCAGGTAAAGGCTGTGGTTCCCCACAGCCAGGCTGGCATCCTTAGAGACAGCCATACTGGAGCATAGGTACCACAGGCTGGGAAAGGGAAGCAGTGCTCAATTCTGACGACTGTGTGAAGTAAGTCAGTCAGCACTCTTAATACATGCTAGCTACAAGGGCTGAAGTTATCAGCCTCCAAGGCAGGGGTCTCCAGACAGCCTTCATAGGAATTCAGAAGACCCTGGGCAGGTACTGCTCAACAGTAGACCATAGCAAAACCTCAGGCAAGGGAAAGTCTCAGACTCGCCAGCCAAGAGCAGCAATAACCCAGATCAGATAGCTCCTGCACCTTTAGGGGAAATGAGCTGACAGAGAGCACTGATAAACGGAAACCCCTGTTCTGAGCAAGCATCTGTGCCAAGGAGGGACACACTGAAAAAGAGGTCTCCTGCCTAAGACCCCTCAGGGTTGCCCCTCCCCACCTTCTTACCTTCGGGCCCGGGGACGTGGGTGCTGTCTGGTGACCAGAGCACTTCCCCAGACAGTCTCCCCAGGTCCGCTCCTACACCAGCCAGCTGCTGCCGGGGGCCCTGGGTAGGGTGGCCCCCCAGGGAAGCCGTGGTCTGACTCCGTCTCGGCAGCCAAGGAGGAGGCGGAGCTCCCCATGGCCCCCCTGACAGTGGCCACGAAGAGAGCCGGGCCTGGTCACCTCTGGCCGGTGGCACGCGAACGGAAGCATGGAGAGAGGAGAGTGCCCACACCGGAGGAAGGGCAGCCGGCTGGTCAGTGACACAACAACAGAAATAAACAGAATAAAAAGAGAGAAGAAACAGTGTGATTCACACAGATGAAACTCTAGGCCCTGGGAGAGTTTCCCAGTATGCCAAGCGGCCTGGGGTACACAAGGGGAAAGTGGGGCTCAGGGACCTGGGCATGACTTTAAAGTATTCAGTACTGTAGGGCACATCCCATAGACAAGCCCCACAAGGGAATATAGGTCAGAGACCAAAGGTCAGCACCAAATGGAGCTGTAGTTCCTGACTTGAGGCATATTAGGGTTTCATGTTATCACCCTAACCTGAAAAACCCACCGTCCTCTCAAACTAGTCTCTAGTCTTCCATCAGAACAGTTTGCCTTACCACTGAAGAGACTATCAAGGGGACATTTAGCCCACAGGAAAGGAAAAACAATGAAGGAGCAGAGGGCACAGCAGGATGGCCCTTGAAGAGCTAAGAGGTCAGGGCCAAACTGTGCCTTTAGAAGGGCAGCAGCTGACTGTGTAAACACACTTACCAGGCAAACCCTAGACCTGGAGAATGCCAGGGAACCCGAGAAACTGTCCATGACCAGGAGGAAGAGGGTAGATTTTTGTGCTGCAAGGAGAGCCAGTTTATACCTGTTGGCAGTTGGGGAGACCAACACACACAGGGTGACTGGGTCTGTGTGTGTGTGTGTCCCCTCTTTGGGCAGTAGGTTAAGATGTCTGGATAGGTAGACCACACACTTGTCCTGGTTTCAGCAGTTCCCACCCTGGCTCCCCTACCACCACTGACAGCACTTTCTCTGGCTTCTGAGTAAGCCTCTATAACACTGACTCTGGTATTAGGGTATAGATGAGGGGAGGCTGATATAAGGAGCCAAGAGACACACCTAAAGTACTATGGGGTCAAGGGACAGTCCCACATGACAAGTACCAGCCTGTGTAGTACTTCTGAGAGTCAGCAACTTGACACCTGAGAGGACCACCAGCATCAAGCCCAAACTCTCTCAACACAGTCAGGCATGGGGCCAGGTAGTCCTGCAACCTCTCACCATGAAGTTGCAGCTAGAACCAGCTGTTTCTCCCATGAAGTAATGTTTTCCAGCTTCTGAGTTAGCATGTAAGGGACTGCTTTTGCCAAGGGACTGGTCCTATTGGCTTGGTGACCCTGTGATATTTGAAAGTTTTTAATTCATACTTTGAAATGGCCAGAAAACAAAACAAGCCAGGTAGCTTTGGTGCACGCTTTTAGGAGGAATAGGCAGATGGATTTCTGTGAGTTCAAAGCTAGCCTGGCTTACAGAGTTGTTTTAACACCTGCAAACCCACACCTCAAAAAAAAAAAAAAAGAATGAAAGGGTATGAGAAATGAAACTTATGTGAGCTAAAATGTCACACACACGCCCTTTTTCTGAAGACAGGGTCTCACTATGCAGCCCAGATTGCATTTCAACTCAGGGTCCTCCTGCCTCTGCCTCCCAAGTACTGTGACTACAAGTGTAAGCTACCACGTCAGGCTTGAAATTCACATTTCAGTGTCTACAAATGGTTTGGCTAGACAAGGCTGTGCTCACTTATTTACATGCTGTCTGTGGCTTCTCTCAGAGATTACACAGCACAAGACACCACAGATGCTCCCAAGTGTTCCTTTACCAAGGGCTGGCTGGCCCAGATCAGACAGTAGAGTACAGGTTCATGATTCCTGCAAGCCACACAAAAGAGGCACAAAAACTAAGAGACAGCTGGAGATCTGGCCATAAGCCACAGTGGAAGAATTCCCAAAATCATCTTCTGACTTCCACATGTGTGTATATGTTCCCTGCCCTAATAATAACAATAATAATAATATAAAAAGTTAAAAAAATAACAGGTGGAACTGGGTATGTTCAGATCTGTAACCCAGTACAAGGGAAGCTAAAGAAGAAATCAAGGTTTCTAGGACAGTCTGGGGTACACACTGAAACTCTGTCTCAAAAATGAACAAAACAGGGAGTTTGAGAGATGGTTCAATGGTTAAGAGTACTTTGTTGCTATTGCAGAGAACCTGAGTTGGATTCCCAGATGGTTCACAACCATCTATAATTCCAGTTCTAGGGGATCTGACATGCTGTTCTCAAATCCATGGGTACCAGACACACATGATTCACATACATACATGTAGGCAAAACATTCGTATATATAAAATAATAAATCTTTAAAAAACCCCCACAAAACAACAAAAACAAAGATCAGGTAAAAAGATTTCAGCATACTTTGTGTAATCTAACATATCTAGAAAGCTGTCCTTTCAGTATGAAATTATCACAAATGACATTACTGAGTTACTAAGTATCCCCTTTTTGGTCAAGGTGCCTCTCCTGACTCCCTAGCCCATTCATGGTGTTACTAAGTAACCTTAGCTAATCGCCCACTCTTATGGCCTTTGATTGTTTTCACATAGGGTTTTACATTGCCTACATTGCTACATTGCCTAAACTGGGAGCAAACTCCCAATTCTCCTGCCTCAGCTTTTTGAGTACTACAATTACAGGCATGACCATGGCACTTGGCCCTGATCAAGATCTTTAGACTGTTTTCTAGCTCAACAAAGACATGTCACTTCATGGGACTCAGTAGCCACACGTGCTGGTTGCTCTGTATGGGTGTTAGTGAACCGTTGGTGTTGGTGACAGGATTCTGTTCAGGCGCCCAGAAACACACACTCTGTCCACCAGACCCACATTATAATGGTCACCCTGTGCACCTGCCTCTCCTGTGATTGTCAGCGCCAGAACAATCCCCCAAACTGACAAGCCCTAGCAATACAGGAGACTCCTGTGAGAAATGCACCCCAACATTTCTGATGCTCCTCTCTCACATTCAAACCCCGAGCAGGTAAGAGGGAGGGAAGAGTGTTGGGAACTGGGCTCAGCGGAGATGCCCATGACACAGAAACTGCTTACAATAGGGTCCTGAGGTGATCTACTGCCAACACTGGGCTTTGCTACATTCACTGTGAAAGCATGCACTATACTCATGGGCTGCCTCCAGGAGGATGGATTACCTGCTTCTCCAGAAGATATTAGAGTTCTGCATGAACTTGAGTGCTGCTTGACCCATAGCTCCTATAATCCCCACCTATCCCTCTCATCATCCTGTCCAGGGACTATCCTCCTCCTGCCTTTGTGCTTGCTCACTGGGGATGCCTTGAGCATAGAATCTCTTGAAAGGGTAGGGACAGCACATTCTTTTTTTGCTAAGTATGCAGAGCAAAGAAGAAAGGTAGGCAGGAAGAGCAATGCTCTCAGTTCTCCATGCTATAAAGTCCCAACCATATCCAATGTTAGGATGGAGAGAGTCCCTTGGTGTGCTGAAGAGCCTCTGTCTTGACTAAAGGCCACCTAAAAGATGCTAGCAGTCTTAGTACACCCTTACCCCCCAACACACACACCAGAGAGCAGTTGGCTATTAGGTCTTTGTTGGCCTAGGGGGCCCTGTTACCTCAAGAGGCTGGCATCAGTATTTCTCATGTATCCCAAGCTAGCCTAAAACACTATGTAACCAAGGATATTCTTCCACTCCTGATCCTCCTGCCACTGTCTTCCAAGTATAGGATTATAAGCATGTGTCACCACACCCAACTGTACACATGTGCTTCTTGAAACCCACCTTCCTTCTGCAGGCTTTTTTGGCACAACTATAGGCTCCAGCACCTTCTGTGGTTGTTAACTCCACATGTATGGTAGACAGCTGTATAGAAAAAAGGTTCTACATGACTTCCTTCTGGGTTCTGACAACTGCACTCAGGGACCTCTGAAAGGGTAGAAGGGGAATCCAGTAGCAGCCCTAGCTAGAGAGTGTTGGCTGTTTCTCTGGCTTGGCCAACCCTCTACGGAAGCAATTATCACACCCAGGCCACTTTGCCAAGGACACTGGGACCTCCTTTGAGTGAAGGAGGCTGGCCCCTCCCAGGTCTCTCCCATCTAGGCCAGAGCATACCAATATAATTAGCATGTGGTGACAGGCAGGGATGCGCAAGAATGCCAACACAGGTGGATCCAGTTTTTGTTCACATTCTGGTTGCCTAGGCTGTACTCCAAAGAGAACAGGAAGGAGAAGAGAGTATGTCCCCCAATCTGGGTGGCAGGCCTGAGCCACCCCAAGGGCTGTCTTCTCTGACAGGGCTTGCTGGTGGACAAAGCCCCTCCCTCCTCCTGAAAGCACTTCACTTGCACCTCCTTTTACTCCAGCTTGTGTGCTTAGCAAACACCCTTTGACCCCTGCTGCAGGTCAGGCTGTCTTAGGAGGCTGGACACAGCAAATAGTGATTCTCAGAGATCCTACCCCAGACGCTGTCTCACTGCTACATGACTTAAGTGTAACCACAGCAGTCTCCAACAAGAGGCAGAAGGGGCAGGGGGTACTAAGGACCACAAGATTTGAGAGATAGGTTCACCCATCTTATCAGTCCTAGGGCTTATGCCTTTCCCACTCCAAAACAAATCAGTCAGTTCCTCCCTTATTTGCATTTGGGAACTGTTCTACTTTTAAATGGGACAGTGGCCTAGATGAGGCTTCAAGGAAGCAAGGAAGTGGGGCTGCCACTGTTCTGAAAGCCAAAGTGTTAATTATCAAGGTGGATTAGCATGTCCCCAGCCTTGGTGTGAGATGTTCTCTGCACATGCTGAGGGCAGCTGGAGAATGTCCACCCAGGACAAGCATGAGAAGACAGGAGGATGCCTCCATGGATTCTGCATAGAACCACAAAGCGATACTCGCTGTCAGGAGTCCTAGTGATAACATCAACAGCTTCTTTCTGTTGTCCCCAGCTCCGCCTTCAGCTGAGAAAAGGTGTTGGTCATGACAGTAGTCTGGAGGTGAGATACTTAGTACATCCCAGGTAGGCCAGGCCCACAGTTCTTCCTCACGGGTGCTCAGGGTTGGAGGTTGGGTGGGGACCATCATGGCTTTCATAAGCCATGAGACCTAAGGGCTGCAAAACCTACCGTGAGGGTCCCTTAGTAGAGTCTGTCTTTTTGCCCCACACTAAAACAGCCAAGTCAGTATTTCCTGCCCAGAGCTCCCCAAGACTTGTGGGATACCTCATTCTCAGAAGGACAATCTGGGGATATCACTAAGTCAAGGCTAGGGAGACCTTGTGTTTCAAGGGTTCTTGGTATAGGAAGTACAATGTCTCCCTGTCTCCCCATTTAGGAGTGCCCTGAGCACAGTACCCAACCTCAGTAAAATAAGAACAGAATGCGGTTTCTCACACCAACTGATTAGAAGACCTACCACACAAGCTCCTCCTCTTGGTAATTTTACGAAGGGCCATCTTCTCCCATTCTAACTGCAGTAACCCCAATATCACTCGTCTCTTGAGACAGTGGATGGCAAGACAGAACATGAGTGCTAGCCGCACCTGGTACCAATAGGATCCACCATACCTTAGCATTGTACCTACCAGGGCAGGAGGCAGGCAGTCCAGCTGTGAAACCAAGAACAAACCACTGCTGGGCCGCAACTCAGGCAACACAGCTGACATCAAGGCCAGCTCCAGAGGAAATGGCCTGGGGACAGGAAGTGAATCCTCCTCAAGAAACTAGGCTGGGATCTACCCCAGGGGAGGACTCAACCATGTGAGAACTGGCTGAACAGCATTCCCTGAAAATAGGCAGAGTGCCTCCACAGAAATGGACCACCCTCCGCTCTTTGAGCCTCTTTTTGGCCAAGATATCACAGCACAAGAATTCCAGGTGGGGGTCACGGGCAGGCCATAGGCAGACATCTCAGATGGTACATCCAAGAGGGTATGAGGCCCAAAAGACAGAATTAAACCCCACTAGCAACAGCTTCCCCCAAAACAGTTTCTGTAAAGCCAGAGAACCCAGCTGGCAGGGCGGAGGGCTGGTCACCAGAGAGCACCGGCCCGGAGAAAGGGGCTCTTCACTCCCTCTCACCTCTGGGGCTCCATCAACCAAGCCACAGTGCTTGATAGCTCACCTGGGGCCACGCAGATGACAAAATGTCAGTGTGTCCACTGCAGCACTCACCAAGACAGCACGCTCCTCCTATCAGGGTTTGGACTTTGGCCCAAGAATGCCAAATGCAGCCTTTGGGATTATCTGCATGAGCAAAGTCCTGCAAATGAGTCTTGATTGGCCATGTGGTTCAGGCCCTGCCCTCTTCTACACTGCTATGCCCAGAGCCTCTATTTACTGCCCCACCTAAGCATATGCAACCTAGGCACTCCTTCCCTTTAAAAAGTTGTGTCTGTTCCCTAGCCAGAGACCACAGGAGACAACATGGTTTGCTGGCTCTTTACTGCCATTGCCACAGGAACCAACCTGTCCATGGCAAACAGGCTGTGGCATTGGTAGGACAACAGAGGGGGTAATGCAAGATCCTGTCTTGATGTTTCTCAACTTCGCTCTGCCCTTGGGTTGAGTTCATCGTCAGGGCCACAGATCAGTAGTAGCTGGCAAGGAAGCTTAGGCTGTCTAGGTACTGCCAGGGAACTGTGCCAAGGTTGGGGCAGGGCTCAGGGGAACAGCAGAGTGTCACCAGGATTCCCTGGACTCAGGTCCTGGCACTATTCAGTCGCTCCAACTGCCAATGGTAACCACTGTTTCAAGCTGCAAAGCTCTGCTCTTCTCAGCACCTGCTCACTAAGGCAGATGCTGCCATGCCAGGCAGGATACTCATGTGTCCTCACCCTGCACTTCCTTTCTGGGCCACTGTACCCTCCTCTACTCTCTTAGCCACTGCCTTCCCATATGAATCATACTGGAGACAGTGGCCATCACCCTCCACCTGCACACCACAGGAAGGGTGCAAGCTGAACTCAGAAAGTGAACCAGAGATTCTACTGAAAATGAAAAACCCACCTAAGGGCCAAGAGTAGGATAAAGACTTAGGTAGAAGGGTGCTGTCTTAAAGACTCTCACTCTCCTGAATGGGAGATGAAGCCAGAACACGTCACAAGGTAGTTCTTAACCTTGAGTTTGAGATTTTTTTTTCTATTTTTGCCAAGTACTTCCTGGTCTCCAGCTTGTAAGTAGCAGTAAGCAACTGAGAGTGGAGTTGGGCATAGCTGTGCACACCAGCACTCCAGAGCTGGGGACTCTGAGTTCAAGGCCAGCCTGGTCTAGAGTGAGTCCTGAACAGTCAGGGCTACACAGAGTGACACTGCCTCACGCGCGCGCGTGTGTGTGTGTGTGTTCTCTCTCTCTCTCTCTCAAGGCTGGACCTCAGAGCAGCAGTGGGGCCCCCAGCTGCAGGCCTGTTCAGAACAAATGAGACACACCGATCCTGCTAGGTGAACTACAGCAGCTCTTGAGGCTGGGGCAAGGCTAGTCTGAGACATCTACATGCTGGCCCTGCTGCCTCCTAGACAGGGAAACGGTCCCTGAACGCCCTTCTTTCTGTGTTTCTGGAGTTGCACACCACCTTCGTTATACACTATGAAAAGGGAAATTATGTTTTTCAAAATGTTGTCAGGAAAACAAAGGATTTCAGTTTTTATTTCACAAGTTCAGTGTTGTTTGCTGTGGAATACAATTTGAAAAGAGAAGGTAGAAGGTAGCCTGGTGGCCTTGCCATCAGCAGAACAAGAATCACAGGGACACTCAAGCTCACTGCTGGCTCCAAAAGGAGATAGGAGCACTAGGGGGCCATAGTGTGTCTCGCAGCACTTCCTTCCCCAGTAGCTCTGACCTTTCCACATCTGCATAAAAGCAGGCGCTCCAGAAAGCTGTACAACTCATTGATTTTTCATCAAATGGTGTATGGTCAGCAAGATCAAGAAAGGGACAGAAAGTCTGGAAGTTCTTTAAATCTAAAGGGCAACTTTTTAAGAACCCTGGAGGAGGGCATGGGAGCAACTTCTGCAGCAAGGAGCACTCCACAGCTTTCCCATCCTATTAGCAGCAGCACGGCTGCACCTTGACATTTTCAAACGGCAACTATCGACATGCATTTCTTCCACTATCCCAAAGCTCTGCCCAAGCCCATCCTCCAGCTTAGCCACCAGGGAAGTGGGGAAAGCAGTATCAGGGAAGCAGGAGGCCATGACTATGCATTTGGCAATAAGAGGGTTGAGGCCAATGCACGTATTCCCCTTGGTTTCCTAACATGGAGACTTGAGGAAGCCTGCCCTAGTGCCTGGTGAATCCTTAGAGAGAGACAGCTACATCACTGGTTTCCCATACGGCAGCTTGTGCAGAAGAGTACAAAGAACAGTGAGGCGGTTCAGCACCTTAGGATGACTTACCTTAGGGTCCCACACTATCACTCCTGTATCTCCACACTGTGGTAGAGTACACCTGTCCTCCTCTAATTCCATCCCGGAAAACTGCCTTGTAGGGCCAGCCTGGGAAGCAACATGTTGCCCACATCAAGATGCTCTTTGGTCCACTGGTCGCAAGGTTCTACATGGTTATGCCATGACTCACAAAGTGGCAATCGTGTGGCAAAGCAGGTTTCAAGCACAGCCTCAACCCTCAGCCTCCTCTGTCTCCTTTCAGTGACACACAAGGGTCATAGGCTGCTATGTTCCTTCTCAGACTGAGAAACAAGATGAGGCCAGGTACCTGTTTCCAGAGACCACATGCTGCCCTTGTAGATAAGGAGATCTCTTCAACCTTAGAATTGACCCGGGGCTGGAGAGATGGCTCAATGGCTGCCTTTCCAGAGGACCTGGGTTCAAACGCTCCCAGCACCCACATGGCAGTTCACAACTGTCTGTAACTCAGTTTGGATCAGGAATCTAACACTATCACACCAATGTGCTTAAAATTAAATAAATAAATTACACACACACACACACACACACACACACACACACACACACACACACGTCAATTGACCCAAGGCTACCAATGATCAGCAGCCAACTGAGAATGTTTATTGGCTACCTGCTCAGGGTGGAGCTGGACTGAGTCGGGTACCAGGACCTTCCAAGAAATAACATACATGACTTGAGAAGGGGAGACTCAGGAAGCTGGGGTGCCCCTGGTAGACCGCTCAGGATAAAGCAGAATGGAATCAGACGTATAAGGGTCAAATGGCTCTACCATGAATGTGGAAAGGTCAAATGGCAGAGAGCATTCAACCTGAGGAATTAGGAGATTAGGAACACCTGGAACCAGGAGCGCATGCATCTCAGGATGCTCTTGCTTGTCAGGTGACACAGCCAGTATGAAGTGGGGACCAGGCAAGAGATGCACAGCCAGGAAAAAGAACAATCTACACCCCTGGGGAGGGGGAGGGGGAGGGGGAGAGACAGGAAGTGTCCTTTTTCCAGGCTTGAGCCCAGAGCCTTAAGACCATAGCTGTGTTTTTCACATTCTGCCTCCCAGGCCATGCAGTGAGGACACCAGAATAAACCAATGTGACAAGTTACTGGTGATCTTGGCTTTCTGTGTTTGTTTTCCAAAGAGTTCAACATTTTTTATCTACCGCTTTTTTCTAATTTTTTTTTTTAAATTTTGCTTTCAGCCCCAGCGACTGTCTAGGGGAGGGAGAGGCAGCGCTGACCTTAAAGAGCACAGAACTGGACAAAGGACTGCTCTACCTTCCTCAGGCTCTTAACGGATCACCTCATCAACAGCACACACACAGAGGGCTCTTAGATCACCAAAAAAGGTTCTTCTCTCAAGTACCACCAGTGAGAATGTGGCAGGAGAAAGCGGTTCAGAGACTCAGAACTCCACCTACCCCTACCTTGACAACTGCTGTCCTCCAGCCTCAGCTTCCTTAACTGTAAAATGGGGCTTACCTGTTTTGCCCCAAGGCCCGGATAATGTACAATAGGGGCCAGGAAGGCTTGGGAGTAGACAAAGCCTGATAGTCAGAACCAGGGCAAAGTCTGGATCCAAGGATGGAGAGCAAAGAACCCATTTCTTCTGGAGGCCAAGCTGAGGCTTCTACCCAGATGTGGGGTCAGGGCCTGGCTCCTCCTACTCTCAGATACCATGACCAGCAGAGGTTCTGACGGGTAAGTCCCCATAAAGCTGAACAGTATCTGGAGCCATGGATCCAGCAAGGTTTAAATCTGCCTTCCTTGAGGTCACTGACCTGTTTGCCATTCAAACAGTTCCTGGGATTCTCAGATGTTGGGAAAGAAATAGGCCCGTCACTCTGGAGCAGAAGACCATAAAGGAAGTAGGATCAGCTACTTCATGGAAACAAGGTTGCTGTTCAACAAGACACAATTGTCCTAGTCTACAGAACTGTGTGGTCCTGAAGACATCCCTGACAGCCAGACTCTGGAAGCAGGGAGAAACTCAGAGGCAAGCTCCAGACTGAGACAAGGGAACTGCCACTGGAGGAGCAGAACTCAAGTTCCTTACTGAGGAGAGGTTCTTCCTGATGCAGGTATTGCTGACCTGCAGGGCCAGCCCCAAACGCCCACGAAGGTTCTCAGGTTCTCGGCCTGGGTGTTTAGAGTCCTGAAGCTCGGGAAAGTATCCTGTTTTAGAGTCTAGGTGTTTCACGGTCCTGTTACTGGTGTCTAGTAACAAACTACAGGGATCCTGAGAGCCAGCGCAGCAAGGGGCATCTAGTCACACAAACGGGTTCCCAGATCAGACCTAGAAGGGCTCCCTTTCCAGACAACAAAAAGAAAATCCCACAGCTGTCAAGGGGCCACTCTGTAACTTTCCCAGTCTACTGACAGGCCCACAAAAACAGAAGGAAGTGTGGGATGGGAAGGCACACAGGACGCCCTACGCGCTACTCTCTGCCGCCCCAGGTAGCTGCAGATTTCTTCAGGCAGAGCCCTCACTACATACACCTTCGTACAGAGTGGGCCAACGCTGCTTAGTCCCAGACAAGAGGGCACTCAAGGACAGGCAGGCACTGAGGGTCGCCTGCGTCTGAGGTTCCTGGGCTGGCCTCGAGTGACCCACACGACCAGCCCTTCCCTCTCACCCACGAGCTTGGCCACAAACCAGGCTGTTGCTCCCAACGCAAACACGGAGTATCCGGGCTGATGCCCCGAGGCCGAGCTCTATGAGTCCCTAGGCCGGCTGGCCCGCCGCCTACCGTGGAACTCACCTTAGCGAGCCGGCGGCGCCTTCTCAGCGCTCGCGGTCGGGCTAGGCGGGCGCGGCCTTGATGCCGGCCCTCAATCGGTTGACCCACAACTTCAACCGGAGGGCACTTAGGCCCCCTTCGCGCCAGCCGCGATGCTCCGTCGGCTTAGCGCGTTTCGGCCCCGAAGCTCTAGTCTCGGCCCGGCAACCTTACGCCGCCTCCGTAGCGCCCGCCGTCCCGCCCGGCCCACCCGGTACGCCTTACGCCTCCTCCGTAGCGTGGCGCCCAGCCGGGGCCCGCGGCTACGGCGCGTCGGGGGCGCACGCGGCACTGGAATCGCGCCGGAACTACAGCTCCCACAGGGCAGAGCGACGCCGCTCAAGGCACGCCGGGAGTTGTAGTCCACGGACGACTCTACTCCCTGCGCTCTTTCCCTAAGATCTCGTCTTCCCAACGCGGCAGGTGCCGCTCTGTCCACCGATTCAGGTAGCAGCCCCATGACAATTTAATAAGGTGCGTAGGATCCGGGGAGATAATGGACTACAGCTCCCAGGATTCTCTGCGAGGGACTTCAGCTCTAGTGGCCGTCTTCGCCGCCTGAGACTCACTGCGCCAGGGGGCAATGTTGGTAGTCTCGGTAACGGTTGTACAAGGTCCCAGGTGGTTATCTGCGACGTTGGGTCAGAAGGTGATCCAGACCAGCCTGGCTACATGAAGTGCTCTCCACCTCTCCCAACCCTTGCAGTGACTTCTGGCTTCTGTCCCAGTGGTCTGAAACGGTAATCGTGCTGGACTTACTCACGTGTGCCATATAGGCACATCTCTTTTCCTAGAGAAACACTGGCATCTAATGGAGACGTCTTCCCAGGTCCTAGGAGTGATGTTCTCAAGAAGCCCCAAGGTATTTCCCTTTAGGACCCTTTGGCTACCAGAAGTAACTGAATTACTCCTAGCTACTTGTCCTTTGTAACCCAAAGATGCGCTAAGAATCAAGCTGCAGAGGAGAACGTACATAGCAAAGGGAAACCAAAAAGAAGTCCGTGGGATGTTCTGCACTCTGGATATTGTATGAGAGATTGGGTGACATTTGCCCCAGGACCCAGAAAGCCTGAGCCTAGCTCAGTAGGGCCTACAGGTACTTAGTCATGTTTCTGGGAAATCATTCATGCCCTAGAAGTCAGCAAGCTAAAGAGAGGCCATTGAACTCAAGATGCTGTGTGGGGACACCTGTCCAAATGTGGGAGACCCCACATTCTGGCAACACTGGAACAGAATCTGGCATCTGAATACTTCGAGAGAAGCAGTGGGGTTGAACCCACTGACAGGGTGGTCAAGTTACTGCTAACTCAGCAATGAGCAGTCACTCTATGGCCTCCTTGGTGAGTCAGGCATGAAGACAAGAAAATAGACAAGGGGCAAGATGGATCATTCATCCAGAAGCCTGACTAGACTGACATCAGTAGGTGAGCCTCATGGTTGAGTCAGAGGAATGGCCAAGGTGGATCCAGGACAAACTCTGCAGCATCTCTGGTCACTACGGATCATCCTTAGTGCATGAGGCACCCTGCAGATCACACAGCAGGAGACTTTGGATCATCCCAGGTTGTTGGCTGAGCCCTGATCAATGCTAATGTAGTATGGGCCAAAAGATAGAACCCTGGTGAGTGATTAGACAACAGACAGCTTGTCAGAGTCAAGAAGGGCAGGAACACTTCTGCAGGGACAGAAGCCACAGATCAGCCCGTGTCTTGAGCAGATGGAACCCCACGTTGTTCTGGGATTTAGGGACATAGCAGTAAAGTAAAAAGGACCTACTTTGGGTATAGGTGCCTAGTCTTACTCGGGAAGTGGAGAAAGGAGGGTCACAAATACAAAGTTGGCCTGGGCTAGGAAATAAGTTCAAGGCCAGCATGATCAATAGGCTTTGTCTCAAAAAGTAGAGGGGTGAGACATGATGATTAATGCCTGTAACCACATCACTTGCACTAAGGCAGAAGCAGGCAGATCTCTAAGTTTGAAGCCAGCCAGGACTAAAAAGAGATTCTGTGTGTGTGTGGGGGGGGGGGGCTGTGGAACATACCTATGATTACCAAAGGAGGTTGGGGGCCATCCTCAGTTACATAGTGAGTTTGAGGACAATCTAAATCACACAAAGACCCTGTCTCCATAAAAAACCAAAAAGGTATAATTATAAAGGAGCACTCTGCAGATATAATTCAGTGAGAGTGCTTGCTTAGCACGTATAAAACCCTAAGCCTAGTGAAAGACTCAGAAGCTATTAGAGAATCAAAAGTCCCCAATAGATGAGTACCCAGGAATCTTCATGTGCTTAGGAATGACTGGCAGCTCAGCCAGTCTGGTCTAAAACTTAAGTTTCTCTGACTTCCATGAGTGATATATGACATAAATCGGAACACTAACCTCACAGTAAACATAAATGGAGGTTCCTGGCTAAAAGTCCTACTGTGCTCTGGGTTTCTTCTAGGTTCCAAAATGCCAGCAAGTTCAGGGCAGATATGTCTAGGCAGCTGTCCTTGTTTCTAACTAGTTTGTAAAGCTCCTTCCTGGGTTCACCAATAGTGGGTGTGCCCTGGGGTGGTTAGAGAGACCAATGTCAATTTCAGTTTGCAGAAGCCAAGCTCCATTTATGCTGATATTTTATTTTGTTTTGTTTTTTGTTTTTTTGAGACAGGGTTTCTGTGTCCTGGAACTAGCTCAACAGGCTGGCCTTGAACTCACAGATATCCACCTGCCTCTGCCTCAGAAGTGCTGGGATTAAGAAGTGCAACAGTACTCCTGGCTTTGTTTTGTTTCTTTGAGACACAGTTTCTCTGTGTAATAGACCTAGCTGTCCTGGAACTCACTTTGTAGACCAAGCTGGTCTCAACTCACACAGATCTGCCTGCCTCTGCCTCCAAGGTGTTTGTTTCTAAAATTTATTTATTATGTATGTAGTGTTCTGTCTGCATGTATGCTGGTAGGCCAGAAGAGGGCGCCAGATTTCATTACAGATAGTTGTGAGCCACCATGTGGTTGCTGGGAATTGAACTCAGGACCTCTGGAAGAACAGTACTCTTAATCCCCAAGCCACCTCTCCAGCCACCCTGTTTATGCTGTTTTTAACAGATAACTGACCAACACTGGAAGATAAGAGCGAATTCAGGAGCCAGCTGGAGAAAGTATCTGCCTTGGGAAGAGAGTTCTGGTTGCTGCAGGACCAAAATTTGGCAAGCCCCAATGGCCACTCCCTCTATACCCCCCCTACCATCAGAGGTATAGTGAGGAACCTGCTAGGGGTTACCAACTTCGGGAATTATCCTTTAGGCATTGGGCTCTTTACAAGAAACTCTTGGGCAGCTCTTTCTGGAATGTTTCTTTTTCTTTTTTCCTTCCTTCCTTCCTTCCTTTCTTTTTTTTTTTGAGACAGGGTTTCTCTGTATGTTCTAGAACTCACTTTGTAGACCAGGCTGACCTCGAACTCATGCTGGGATTAAAGGCGTGTGCCACCACCATCCTGAGTGGAATGTTTCTAATAACAACTCATTTTAACTGTGTGATCCCTTTCCACTATATCCCAAATGGGGAACTGTCTTTCTGGGCTTCATTGTCTTCAGACTCTTCCACTGGGGATTGACTAGACCATGCTTAATTGGAAACCAAGTTGCGGAGCTGCAAGGCTGTGGTGATATCCTCCTCATTTCCAGCTTCTCCTAGGGCCTTGCTGGTACCAACCAAATGCCCGTGGTTTGCTGCTCTGGTGATACCTGTCAGTACTTCCGGAGCCACCCCAAGTCTTCAAAACTTCTTCAGCCCTTCAGACTGACTTTCGAGTCACACTTGCCCTCTGGCTTTTGCCTATTCTCTTCCCTGCTTTGGTGTTCTGTGCTGGCTTCTCCTGGGGCTGCTCCTCCTCCCACTCTTTAAGGCTCTGAATATTTCATCCTTGAACACACTACACAGCGGTTCCTCTCAGACATAGGATGTGTAGCCCAGTGTTAAGAGCACTGTGCTGGAGATTTGTGATATCCGCACCAATACTTCCCCCTCTGCCCATTTGCCAACCTCACCTGAGGATCACTGTGGTCCTCTTGGGTTGTATTCAGGGCACAGTCCTACCAGTAAGGGGTTGTTGGAGGTCACTGGGACTTTGCCTTTAGAAATGACTCTCAGGCCGGGTGGTGGTGGCGGCAGCGCACGCCTTTAATCCCAGCACTCGGGAGGCAGAGGCAGGTGGATCTCTGTGAGTTTGAGGCCAGCCTGGTCTACAAGCACTAGTTCCAGGACAGGCCCCAAAGTCACAGAGAAACCCTGTCTCAAAAAAAAACAAAAAACAAAAAAAACAAAAAAAAAAAAACAAAAAAAAAAAAAGAAAGAAATGACTTTCAGTAGAGCTACCTACTTTAGGATTCAGACTTTGCCCAGGAAGTAGCCCATCCTAGAGTGCTGATCAAGGCAGAGAACCAAGTGTCTCCCGTGGTCTGTACTTAAATGACCAATGTCACCTCCCTAGAAACCTTAGGGAAACAAAGGCCAGGCCCATAATCACCCACCCTGCCACCCCTATGGAGAAAGGAGCCAGCCTCTGTGTGCGGTAACAGCTTTAATCTGTCATGGCTGACACATGGGACAGGATCCTGCTGGTCCCCCATCCTTCCATGCCCTGGAGAAAGAGCTACTTCTCAGGGAGCTGAAGCAGAAGCTGTGAGCAAGCTGGTAATGGGTGTGTTTCCCAGTGTCTCCCGGAGACCTGGGTTTACAGTGAGAACCGCAGGGCAGACAGCAGAGAAGGCCACCAGCCCTTACACAGGACTTGGACCTGGGCACAGAAAGGCAGGGCTCCAGTATTGATATATTATACATATATATATATATATATTTCATATGTATACACAGATAGTTTTCTCTCTGGAAAGTATTAAAAAATTGATCAACCTTCAGTCTATAAAAAATACCTACTCTACATGATAGAAAAATCTCTCCTCCAAGTTTACACTGATTTACACACAAGGCTTTCCCCAAAATGTACAATACGAGGCAATATCTTAAACCGTAGTGTAGAAGGTAGGTGTGAGGGAGGGGTAGGCAGTGAAGGGATGCAGGGCAGCATGTGTGGGCACAAGCGTACATACATTCACACTGTGTGCACACTCATGCATGCGCACACGCACACACACACACACACACGCACGCACACTCACACAGCCTATGGTGTGGTCTCACACGGTGTGCCCAGACTCCCGGCTAGTGCTCAGGTTCAGGCCTGAGCTGCACTTGGAGTGGTGCAAGGGCAAGCAGCAAGCCTTCCTCTGCCTCTGGGTCTATGCAGAGCCTCGTCCACCTACCCACCAGCAAAATGACTCCTGGGGGGACACCCAAGGATTTTAAGTCAAAAGCAGAGAAGGAAACTTTGTCCCAGAGGCCTAGACTACTGTCTGGGAAATGTCAACTTATCCCAAGGCAGTTGGTCAGCCTGAGGAGGTGTGGGTCCAGGAGCCAGGGTAGGCCACACCTGAGGAGAAGCAGCACCTGCACCTGGGGTGTTCACCAGTCCAGGAAGTAAGTTCCACAGTCAGCATGAACTAGCTGCCCCAGCCCCACGAGGACCAGAGCTGACGAGTGACTGTAGCGAGGGTCTGGTCAGAGAATGGCTGTGTGGCTTGGAGGCCCTGGGTCCAAAGGTGAATGGAAGCCCATCTGGTAGGAGAAGGCCTGAGCAGCACAGGAGAATAGGTGGCCTGTGGCTCCGGACCAGTCCCAACGGATGTCATCTTTGCCTGTCTTTCATAACTACTCCGTCTATGTCCAACTTATGGATCCTCAGCTTGCATACCATGTGGGAATGGCCAGGCTTGGGTGGCACCATGTCAACATGAGTGAGAGGCAGCAACTGAGGTGAGGGTTCATTTTCTACCTCTCTTCCTAACAGGGTGCACAGCAGGAAGAGGGGTGTGCCAGAGCCATTGAGGGGCCCATCCCTGCCTGAGAGACTATCCTCCACATATTTGTATTCTGCTGAGCAGACATGGGTGTTGCTGGCTAGGTGAGCTTGTGGTGGGAGGCCCTGGCTTCCTGATATCCAGGGAGCCCAGCCTCACTCCTCACCTGCTGTGGACTTCCCTTTCTTCCTTAGTACTGCCCTCTGCAGCCCTTATCTTTACTCTCCCAGTCCAGCTGCACGAGGGCTCCTGGTACACTCTCTAGGCTTGGTAAGCTGTAGGACCTGCTGGTCGGCTTGGCCACTCTGGGGTGCTGTGGAGTCTATACTCAGCCCAAACTGGGCTAAGATGTCCTACTTGACCTCTAGAATGGATGGGTTAGTCTCCAGGATGGCCACAATAATCCTGTCAATGTAGTCCTGCAGGCGGAAATTGATCTCCTCTTGCTTCTGGATCGCTTCCATGAGCTGCAGTAAAGCAAAGAGTCAGTAAAGGGAGACCAAGAGACATGTGCAGCAAAAACAGGCCTAGGAGTATACAAAGGCAGGACAAGGTACCTCATCTCGGGAGACAGAGCTGATCTCTGCAGCCAGTGACTCAGAGAAGGATGTGGAGAAGAGGCTCTTGGCACCCTGGATGCTGAGGGTGATGATCTGCCCATTTAGCTCATCATTTTGCTCCTTCAGGTTGCGGTTGTCCTAGGGGACATGGCAGTGTCACACTGGGCTACACCCCTTGCTGGGACAAGGACCTGCCAGGAAGGACTCCGGCTTGGTGCCCCCTCGCATGCCAGCCTCCCAGAAGCCTGAAGGTGGGTGGAAAGGCAGAGCATACCTGTTTAAGCCTGCGGACCTCCTGCTCGAGCTCGCTCTCCCGTGCACGGCTGTTATATTCCTGCAGGCCCAGGCTGCTGCTGCGGCCCCGTCGTTGCTCCACCTCAAGTCTGAGGAGCTGCAGATGTTCTAGCTGCTTGCGGAGGTCCTCGATCAGCTATGAGGCAACCATAACCACTAGCTGGTCTGACCACCCTCTCCTGGGAGGGTGCTGACTTGTGCTCCAAGAGGCTGCTGCCCACAGTGTCAGTAAACAAAAGGGGTTCCTGGCCTCCACCAGGGAGCAGGCAACATCAGACAATATGGGAACATGGGAAGGGACACATGGCCCTGCTCACCTCCTGAGTTGCTTCCTTGTCTCTCTGGAATTGGTGCCGCTCATGGCTCAACCTGTCCCCCATCTTCCTTTTATTCTCCTGTTCTTCACTGAGTCGCTGTGTCAACTCTTCAATCTCATCCAACATCTTCTGCTTCTCCTGTAAAAACAGGCACCAGCATAGACAGGTAGTGGCACCGCTTTACCGGTACATGCAGCCTAACTCAATGGCCTATGCTCTAGACCATCCAGTGACATTGTGGTTCCCACTCTGTTCACGGTAGGACTGTCTGTGATTTACGGTCATTCTGTCAAAGCTGCCCTGCCTTTGGGTCAGAGGACCATATGACCATGATCTAGCCCAGTATCCATGGGGCACTTCTATCCTGTTCCTCCTCTGGTTTATAGGAGTCAGAGTCTAGGTAGGCTGGAAATATTCTGGTTTCAGACCTTCCCATAGGCACTCTTATGAGGGTACCTGGAGGGTGGCCTCTCAGTTAAAACTAGAAAAGAAGTTAACAGTACTGCCTCTGCCTGTTGGTGTGCAAAACTGTCTTCCCGTCAACTCAGACATGAGTAGACAGTGTGGGTTCTGGGTCTGCAGATCCTAGGTCTGTGGGAGAGCAGAAAGGCTGGGCGGGATCAAATGTCTAACAGCAGCTCCTTCATATTTGAGCACAGCAGGGACAAGTGTTGCCAACCTGCCCCTGCCTCCCTTTCGGAAGGCCATGGCTTTATGTCCTGGCTCCATAGTGTGTGGATGTGTCAGGCACAGGGTAGAGGACAGCATTTATTCTAGGCAGGACCTTCCCCACAAGTGCCAAGCCAACAGCTTACCTCTTCCAGGCGCTCGATGTTGGCCTTCAGACAAGGTGTGCAGGACCGCAGCTCGCTGTTCTCCTCATCCAGCTGCTGCAACCTGGGACACAAGGACAGGTGAGGATCTGTTCTCCCTAACTTGTGCCCCCACAGGACAAGGGAAGCCTACCTCTAGAGAAATACTCACTGGGAGTTGTTTTGTGAACTACAATAATCCCAAATGCCACCACCCAGCTTTTTTGTTGTCTGTTTTTGTCTTTTGAGACAGAGTATTATGAGGCCCAGTTTGGCCTCAATCTTCCTGTGTAGATATGGATGACCCTGAATTACTGATTCTCTTGCTTCTATCTCTTAAATGCTGGGAGCACAGGTGTGTGTTGCCTTGCACTGACCACAGTGGCTTTAAAGGCACTTTGGATTTAGGAAATTTAGGTTTATGCACACCTTTAATCCCACCACTCAGGAAGCAGGCAGATATCTGTGAGTTCAAGGCCAGCCTGGTCTACAGAGCAAAATTCTAGGATAGGCTCCAAAATTGCACAGAGAAACCCTGTCTCGAAAAATCAAACAAATAAACAAACAAACAAAAAAGGGAAAGCAAGGCTGTGGACACTGCAGAGCCTCTGTTTTTCCTTGGTAGGACATCACAACCCATACCCATACACTGATAATCAAATCAAGGCACACATTCCACTAAATCCTAGGACTTCGCACATTATCCTTATGTCTTTTATATTTCTATCCCATGGTCTGTGTTTCACCCAGATTATCATATTGTGGTAGTCTTGGACATATGTTCTGCAGGATGTGCCTCAAACTAGTTTTTGGTATTTAGACTTGGGGGGATGTGCTTAGGAAAAATTCTATAGTGAGGTCCTTGTCACACTTCCCCGACACCCAGTACCATCATGGGTCACTTGATTAAGCTGTGTCTGCTAGGTATATATCTGTTGGTCCCTTAGTTTACACCCCAAGAGAAGAATCCTACACAAGCTCCTGGAGGGGTGTATGCAGACACTATTTAGTATTTCTCTGGAAGCTGGAAGCAAGACTCTTGCCTTCTATCTACAGACTGACTGTGTGGCTGGGGACTCCTGCCCATCTCATTTACACCATGGCTATCCTCCCATGGGATTGTTACCATTGCCATTTGCAGCTCTGGTCACTGGAAGCTCTTTCAGTTGGTTCCAGTATCCCTATGGCACAAATCCAGTATGTAAGTGTATATGGGTATTTCGGTTATCAGTTTCTCCTGGAGTGTGACTGTTAATGTATCAAACACCCATGGTATCAGTTCCAAGTGAACACAAAAGTCATTCTACCAAATTCTCTTAAAATAAAAGCTGATGTTTTGGGAGGGGGGGATGAGGTGTCTTTCCTAGGCTGGCCTTATGTTCAACTGAACCTGAGTTTAATACCCAGAACCCACATGGTAGGCAACAACCATTTCCTACAAGCTGTCCTTTTAACTTTCCCACTTGTACATGCATACACAAACACATAATAAATTACTATAATTTTAAATTAAAAAGGAAGTTTTCAGCGTCTTTCCATATGAGTAGCCCTTGTTCTGTCATGAAGCTTCTCCTTCTGCCTCCCAGGGAGACTGGATTTCTGTGTCTGCTCCGGAGCTTTGCTCACCTGGCCTGCAGGTTCTCGATCTCAATGCTCTTCTCACGTTCCATCTTACACAGGAGCTCCTTCTGCTTCCTGGTCTCTTCCAGGACCCTCTCCTGGGCTCTGAGTTCCTGCTCCTTTAGCTGCTCTTCCAGGGCATTGGCTCTAAGGGCAAAGGGGAGGAGATATGCATATCTGTAAAGTAGACCAAGTTTGTTCTGAGCCATTGTGCACTGACCAGGTAGCAGCTGTCCTAGGGAGGCCACTACAAACTCAGACAAGTGAGGTCTGAAAGAAAGAGCCAAAAAGTGCTGGGGTCTGAGGGCCACAGCGTCCTGTAGAAAGCAAGTGTGACAGCAAGTCCGTGCTGTTGAGGCAAGTGCAGACTTCAGTGCCTCTTCCCACCTTCCTGGAGAAGACAGAAATGGCCATTGGTAATCAATCTCTGAGGGAAATACTGCCAGCCCCTCCCGCAGCTGTGAAAAAAGCCATAGCCCCAGTGTGCACACCTTAGCTCCTTTTTGGTATATGAGAATGAAGACCAGGGAAGAGCACCAAACAGCATAGGGTTTTATAGCACACACGAAGAAACGTATCATACAGGTGCCTACAGCTTGGACAGTCCCGGGTCTGGGGCTGTGAGAAAGTAAGAACGGCATGCTGAGGGGGGACAGACTAAAAAATAACTCTTAAAGCCAGGGGTAGTGGTGCACACCTTTAATTCCAGCAGAGAAAGGCAGGTCCTTGAGTTCAAGGCCAGTGTGGCCTATAGAACAAGTTCCAGGACAGCCAGGGATACACAGAGAAACCCTGTCTCAAAACAACAACAACAAAAAACCCCAACTCTTAGAAATGTCAGGGGGTGCGACTCAGAAGTAGAGTGCCTGCTCAGTATACACAGACCCCAGGCTGACTCCAGCGAGGGGCAGAGTGATATGCTTAGAGATTAGGAAAATGAAGATTAAATTTTGGGGGTATCTATTATGACCAAAGGAAGTTAAGGCTGATGAGAAAAGAGGAGACTATAGACAGAGCCTTAGGATTCTCCTGGTGGGCTGGCAAGATGGCCTGGCAGGTAAGGGAGATTGCCATCAAGCCTAACTACCTGAACTTGAGTCCCAGAGACAACAGGGTGGAAAGAAAGAACCAACTGCCTCAGTCTACACACACACACACACACACACACACACACACACACACACACACTCTCACACACACACACACACTCCTCAGAGTTAAAAACTGACAATCAATGCTCAGCACAGAAACCTTTTGGTCACTTGGAGACAGGCAGGGAATTTGAAGAACAGCAGCACGGGCTCCATCTAGGCACATTCAGAGCACGTCTCCAGGGCTCCACCTCCCAAGTGCTGGGATTACAGGCTAACAACCCCAGACTTGGCTCCTTTTCCTTTCTTTTTTAAAGATTTGTGTGCATGTGTGTTCTGCTTGCAAGTATGCAAGTGTGCACATGTGTGCTTTGTGCTCACGAGGTAAGACATGCTGGCACTGAAGTCGTAGACAGCTGTGAGACGCAGGTGCTGGGAACTGAACTCAAGTCCTCTGCAAGTCTCCAGCTCCTTGGTTTCTTTTCATTTCTTCTCCCTCTCCTTGTTTTTTTTTTTAATATTTATTTATCTATTTATTTATTATGTATACAATATTCTGTCTGTGTATATGCCTGCAGGCCAGAAGAGGGCACCAGACCTCATTACAGATGATTGTGGTTGCCAGGAATTGAACTCAGGACCTTTGGAAGAGCAGGCAATGCTCTTAACCTCTAGCCATCTCTCCAGCGCCCCCCCCTCCTTGTTTTTTGAAACAGGGTGTTACTCTGTAGCTCAGGCTGGTTTCAATTTACCATCTTCCTGCCTCTTCTCTTTTGCTCTATGCAGACAGCAATGGCGCCTCATTTCTCTCACGTGAGACCACACATCTGGTCTTCATGTTCAGTTTACTTTGTGGCTAAGCCACTTGAAAAGGCTGAGGTCTGCAGAGGTCAAGCCCTGCACAGGACCCCCTTACCCATTCCTCTAGACAGCACTCTGCCCTCAGCTGCATGGCCCCTACTGCTGTCCTCTGACCCTGGACAACCATGTAAAGCACTGACTCCATTTCCTCATCTGCCTCCCAGTTACTGAAGGATGAGTGAGGGGAGCAAGAGCCTCGAGAGCCTCAAGACAGGACCAATGTCAAGGTTGGAATGTTTCCCTCAGGGCAGGCTCTCAGAAATGGAGTCATCAGAGGCTCCCATACTATGAATTAATTGGCTGCAGATGGACCAAGTGCTTAAGAAACTGACCTATAGCCTTAATCCCAGAACTTGGGAGGCAGAGGCAGGTGGATCTCTTCGAGGCCAGTTTGGTCTACAAAATGAGTTTCAGGAGAGCCAAGGATACACAGAGAAACCCTGTCTCAAAAAACCACACCAAAGCAAAACCAAGGAAAGCCAGGACACGGATGCATGAAGGTTCTGGGTGCGGTGATGCCCGCCACTCTGTGGATCTGTCTTGACTCAGACGCATACAGCACATGCTCCACTGCTGAGCCACTCTCCACACGGATTTATTTATTGCTTATCATTTGAAAGATTTATTTTATTTTTATTTTATGTGGGTGTTCTGACTGCATGAATATTTGTGGACCACATGTGTACAGTGTCTGTGGAGGCCAAAAGAAGTAACAGACAGTTATGGGCTGCCATGCAAGTTCTGGGAATCAAACCTGGATCCCCTCAGCTGCTGAGCCATCTCTCCAACACCTTGTTTAAAAATTTTAAATTCTGTGTGTGTGCACACGAGTGCATGCATGTGTTGTGTGTGCGTAAGGAAGGAGAAGAACACTTCGGCTATCATCCTGTCCACTTCTTGTGGCGCTCACTGATTAAGTTGTACTGGCTGCCAGCAAGTCCCAAGGATCCTCCTGTTTCTACCTCCTCAAGAGATGGCTCAGAGGTGAAGAGCACTAGTTGCTCTTCCAGAGGTACTGAGTTCAATTCCCAGCAATCACATGGTGGCTCACAACCATCTGTGATAAGATTTGGTGCCCTCTTCTGTACAGAACACTATATACATAACAAATAAATCTTTAAAAAAAAAAAGTGTACGCCCTCATGCCTAGCATTCACATGGATTGCGGACATAATCCAGGTCCCCGTGTTTGCCAAGGCAAGCACTTGACTGACTGAGCTATCCCCCTAGTACTATTTCATACAGCTTAGGTTGGTCTTGGACACACTATACAGTCAAGAATAACCTTGAACTAACAACACTCCTGTACTTCCCAAGTATTTGGATTGTGCATATGCATCAAAATGGTCAGTTCTCTGTTTTATGTTTACTTCTGGTGGATAGAACTGTCTTGCTTGCATGCAGGCACGTAGTGCCTTTGTTCTCTTTTCTGGGCCCTACCGTCTATAATCGCGTGGCAGTATCTGCCAGGGTAGACTATTCAGGTCAGAGCTTCAGATCAACTTGCTGCAGTCCTCTGGCCATGCCTGGCACTCACCCAGCACCTGAGTGGATGGATAGTATGAAGTAGGAGCGAGTTCTCTGCAGGAAAAGCATACACAGGGGAGAGTGACGCTGTGATGCTCTGGCGGGGCCAGGCCATGGCCGCACTCACCTGTGCACCAGCTGGAGGTTCTCTTGCCTCAGCCTGCCATGCTGCTCCCCGGCAGCTGCACTATCCTTCTCCAGCTCTGACACACGCCTCTCCAGGAAGACAACCTAGGCAAAGAGATAAATGCTTGAGGAACAAGCAGAAAGAGGCAGAAGCTGTGCCCCAAGGGAGCATCTGGGAGCCAGCGTGGGAACTCCCACCCACCTGCTGGGCGGGAGTAGAGCTCATCCTTACAGACTATCTCATAAACCCACAATGTGCAGCCCCGCACTGTGACAGGGTCACAGTCAACTGAACAGAACAAGACAAATGTCATTGAGAAATTTGAGCTCTAAAGGATATCAAGATTACCTTCTGGTTTGTGCATGGGATCATGAGGCTCACCCAGACACACATTACATGTGAGAATCAACTGACAGATAAAACACACAGAGAAAGCCCAGATGTCTGGGGACAGTAGGGACAGAAAGGGCCATGTCTCAGTCTTTTCCTCCTTTAGGGGAGAATGTACTACGAGGAAGGATTTAGCCTCAGAATACAATGTAAGACCCTGAAGATCTGAGAAGGGGAGACCGCAAAGGTAAGGCTGGGAGCAGTGAGAGGTGAAGCGTGGCAGAGAAGAGGCCTGGTAGAAACAGGAGCAGCCAAGGCAGGTTCGGGGGGAGGGGGCAGGTAGGGTGTCGACAAAGTGGGCACAGGTGACTGAAGGCAGAGCACAGAAGTCAGATGGCTAGGAAAACCTAAGTGGAAATCGTGAGTACAGTGTGAGGAAAGGCAGGTGTACAGGCAAGTGCGGTACGGTACAGAGGAAGTAAGGGAGCTGGAAGATGGGTGAGATAAGGTGCAAGGGAAGGCAAAGCCAGGCACGGACGCCTGGCAGGTACAGGAAGAACCACATAGGGCCGCTGCTGCCACCCTTCCTAGACTCAGGCTGGCCCTTAGCAAAGGGCCACAGTGAGGCTTCAGGTCAGGCTGTGGCAATATACAAAAGGCAAGCCCATGGTGGAGTTTGAGATGAGAATGCACTAAGGGCTCAAGGAATATTCCAGTATTCATACTGGAATAGCTGGTGTGATGGCCATTCTTGTTTGCCAGTCTGACTATATCTGAAATGAACTACAACCCAAGGAGTTGAGCCCACCTGGGAGTCCCAGCCTAAGAGGGAGTCAGCAGTTAAACTTGGGATGGGGACGTGTGAAAGGACCCTACTGGAGCTGAGGACTTGGGACCCTCAGGTTCTCAAGGATTTCTCACCCGAGGAAGTCATTCTTTCCCACCCCAACACTCAGCAGGAGATGTACTCCCACCCCAACACTCTGAAATACTGTTGATTATGCCTTTGACTGAAGAAATTAATCCTTCACTGTCTGCTAAACCAGCAGCGATTTTGTCTCAAGGAGATGCCAGGCAACACAGCACTGATGTTCCTTATGGCTGACCAATAGCTGCCTCTAGACCCATAACTAGACTTAAAGCTAAGCTGGCTCTAGAGGGGGGGTAGGAAGTGTAGTCCACGAGGAGGGGCACCACACTACTAAAGAGCTTAATGACCTTACTAACTCATTCAAGCAGAAGTCTGGAGAATATGTGTGGGAATGGATTTTATTTATTTTTGTATTTTCAGGACAGAGTTTCTCTGTATAGCCATGACTGTCCTAAAACTATTTTTATAGAGCAGGCTGGCTTCAAACTCACAGAGATCTGCAGAGCTCTGCCTCCTGAGTGCGGGGTTTACAGTGTGTGCCACTATCACCTGGCAAGGAAATGGTTTTTTTTTTAAAAAAAAATTTTATTTATTTATTATGTATACAACATTCTGCCTCCATGTATGCCTGCAGGCCAGAAGAGGGCACCAGATCTCACCACGGATGGTTGTGAGCCACCATGTGGTTGCTAGGAATTGAACTCAGGACCTCTGGAAGAGCAGCCAGTGCTCTTAATCACTGAGTCATCTCTCCAGCCCAAGAGAATGGGTTTTAAGAGTATGGGATAATGGTGGAAGGAACAAGAAACTAGATCAGGTTGAGGTTACAGATACGGGACCACTGAGTGGAGATTCTTGGTTTAATATAGAAGCTCCCACAGTTAAAAAAGGTGTCAAAAGTTTTTTTGAATGGTTGGCTGAAACATTTGGCAAAAGATGGCTTGCTGACAAGGAGTTGGAGATGCTGATACCCTTGGCTTAGTGTTGACAAAGGGACTTAGGCTCAGGGAAATGGCGATGCTGGAGTGGGCACTGTGTAAACCTAAGCCTTCACAATGGGAAGGCCCAGGAGACATGCCCTTCACTAGCTGTACATGATGAAGAATGGTGAGGGGCACCAGCACATTTGAAGAGCTTTGTTGTCGCCCTTCTCCTTGTGCCAGACCTTAGCTTGGAAGAAAGAAATACAAAGGGTTTAACTGGGCCTGGAAGTAGCAAGGGCTAGGTGGCAACACTGAATTGCCAAAGGCAGGGTGATCTAGTTATTGTAATGGTCAGCACAAACAAAGGAACTTTTATGGTGGCATGACTCACATAGGAACCTTTGGTACTGGCTAATCAATCAAAATGTTCCCAGGCATGAAACAGATAAGAAGCTTACTGCACTTTTGTTTGATCTGTATAAGCAGAAAAATTCTCAAAGGAAAGAAAGGCTATATTGGATCATGACAAAGGGGAATCTAGGCCTGTGAACCAATTGCCAGACTTGAGCCAGTTTGCAGATCCAGAACCCCTTGAATGAAGGGATGGCCAGGTCCTCTGAGGAAGGACCTTGATAAAATACGTAAGAGTTTTACTGTTAGCCTTTCTCCAGTCCTTCCCCAGAGGGTCCTGTAGCCTCTCCCAAGGAGAACTGTACACTGGGGGAAAGGTAACAATCAGACTTTCTGGGGTCCGTTGGACACTGGTTCTGAGTTGATGTGGATTCCAGGAGACCCCAAGAAACATTGTTGGGCCTCCGGTTAGAGAAGGAGTTTATGGAGGTCAGGTGATTAATGGAGCTTTTCTATAGTCTGACTCATAGTAGGTCCAGGTCCTGGACTGATCCTGTGGTTATTATATGATCAGCAGAGCCTGAAACCCTTAAGCCAAGAGGCTAAAAAAGGAAGTCATTAGGAGGGATGATTGATCTAGATTACCAAGGGGAAACTGAATTGCTTCTCCACAATGGAGGTAAAAAAGATTATGTGTGGAGTGTGGGTGATTCTTTAGGGCACCTGTCTCTTGGTGCTACCATGTCCTAGGAATAAAATCAATGCGAAACTGTAACAGCCTAATCCAGACAGGATGGCAAAGGACACAGACTCTTTAGGAGTGAAGATGTGGGCCACTCCTCCAGGAAAAGAGTCAAGATCTACTAAAGTTGCTTACTGAGGGTGGAAGAGATACAGAATGAGTAGCCAAGGAAGGTAGTTATAAATACTAGCTCAGGGCACATGTCCAGTTGCAGAAACAAGGATTATAATTAACATTAGTATTTCTATCCTATTTTGTTAAGAATGTGGTTATACAGATATTTATGTTTTCCTTCCTCAATTTCTGTTTCTTTACCATGAAATATAACATCAACTAGGAGGTGATGGCCCGTGCCTTAAATCCCAGCACTTAGGAGGCAGAGGCAGGTGAATCTCTATGAGTTTGAGGCCTGTCTGGTCTACAAAGTGAGTTCCAGGACAGCCAGAGCTGTTACACAGAGAAACCCTGTCTCAACAAAAGAAAACAAACAAATAAAAAAATAACATCAATTAAGAGAATATCAAAGCTGGGAGGTAGTGGCATACACCTTTAATCACAGCACTATGGAGGCAGAGGCAGGTGGATCTCTGCGAGTTCAAGGCTAACCTGGTCTACAGGCTTCATTCCCAAACAGCTAGACACACACACACACACACACACACACACTGCCCCCAGATGGGGATTTTTTTCTTAATTAAAGCATTTGAAGTGGGAAGACCCAAATTTAATCTGGGTCACACCTTCTGCTGGCAGCCTCCGTAAGGACATGGAAGAAGGAAGCTTGTTCTTTGCCTGCTCGTTCCCAATCTCGCTTGCAAGTCCATCCCTTCACTGGAATCAGAGCCCACTTTTTTGGGATTCTGGCTTATTCTAAGATCCAGCCTTGTGGACTGAACTACCCACTGGATTTTTGGACCTTCCTTTGGTAGACGGCCATTGCTGGACTAGCTGGACCACAGACTAAACTATTCTAATGAGAGGGAGAGAATCCTAAGTTCTGTTTCCTTGTAGAACCCTCACGGCTGCTCCAGTGCCATGCCTGCTTGCCTGCTACGATGGTGATGGGCTCCTATCCCTCTGGAACTGTAACTCCAAATCAACTCTTTCTTCTGTAAGTTGCTTTGGTCATGGTATCTTATCACAGTAATAGTGTCAGGTCTAAAAGAAACTCAGGACAAATGGCTAACTGGTTCCTACTAGCATAGCGAAGCATCTGCGAGACTCCAGGCTCCCTCAGTACCTGTGGCTCCTCTCAGCTCTCCACCCCCCCTCCCCCCGCCAACCCTACCCTAAAATTCTCCAGCTTTTCATTCCTATGTAACTCATTTTGGTCATGAACTCTCTTGCCCTCTTGGCTTTCTCCAGACCCCCTCTCTCATGCCTCTCTCTTCTCTCCCCCTCCTGAAATGGACCGCTTTAGTCAGCTGGTCATGTTCACTACTTTCTCTCCTGCTCTGGAGTCTTCCAAAGGCCTCTGGCCATGCTTTCCCCCTTATATCTATAATAAAAACTTTCTCCTCAACCATTGGAGCAGTCAGATCCTTATTTCATTCCAGTAGAAAAATAACTAAGGCAGAAGCTGGTATCAGGAGTGGGCTACTTCTGTCTCAGCCTGACCATGCTGCTTTTGGGAAGAATGTCAGACATTGGGACTCAGAAAGGGTTGAATGCTACAGATGGAGTTTAACCACCCATCCCTAGGAGGACCTGGGAAGACAGCAATGCTGAGAGCAATGTGGACTATGGAGGCCTGGAAAGAGGGAAAGAATATTAGTAAGTGGGCTAGAGACCATTCTTATGGTATTTTAACAAAGAATGTGGCCGCCTTTAACCCATATCCCAAGACTCTGCCTAAAACTAAACTGAAAACTAATTAATTATTTTGGCAGAGGAGATGTCAAGATGGCTTAATACTGACTCCACTGTGTGGTTGTTAGCTATCACCTTTATGCAGGTCTACAGTGGGGCAAAAAGAAATGCAAAACGTACAGTTTGAAGAAGAAAAGAAAACCAGGAAACTTAACATTAGAGCCAGGGTTTGTGCTGAAAGAGATAGAGAGGCCTGATGAGAAATGGAATAAAGGAGGGGTGCCTCAGGGCAAGACCCCCCCACCCCAGCTGTGCTTCCTCTTGACAAAATGAAATGCTGGAGGACTTTTCTGCTACAAAGCAACAAGAAATGTGCCGTACTGGAGGGGACCAGATTCCATCCCAACTCCGTGTGGTTCTGTCTTTAGTCATGAAGAGTACATGAGTGAAGAATTAGGGACTCTTGCTCCAAGGTTAAAGACCGCAGCTGAGGTCAGGCATGTGGCAGGGAAACTGAAAGTAAAGCCTTAGAGACCCTGGGATGTTGAGATGCCAAAGCCATGAGATGTCTGCCCGGGAGAGCTGCATCCAGGGGGCAGAACCAGCCCAAGAGAGAGAAGTGTGTTGCAGTCAGGAAGGTTGGGAGGATGGCGTCATCTAAACTCTTTGACACTGGACATGAAGCTACAGGATTTGGAGGTTGCCCTGCTAGATTTTGGTCTTGCTTTGGTTTAGTATTCCCCATTGTGCCCCTATTGCTCTATTCTGGAATGGTAATATATTCTATGCTACTGCATGCTAGAAATATGTGATTTCCTTTTTGTGTTTATATGGGTTGTAATTAAGAGATTACAGATGGGCAGTGGTGGTGTATGCCTTTAATCCTAACACTCAGGAGGCAGAGGCAGACAGATGTTTGTGCATTTGAGGCCAGCCTGATCTACATATCGAGTTCCAGGACAGCCAAGGCTACACAGAGAAACCCTGTGTGGAAGAGGGAGAGAGAGGGAACGAGAGGAGAGAAAGGACAGAGGGGGAGAGGAAGGGGGAGAGAGAAGAAAGATATTACCTTGAGGCTCAGAGAGTCTTTGAACTTTTAAATTGGGTTAAGACTGTTAAAGATGATGGGATGTTGGAAGACGGACTAAATGCATTTTCTATTATGGTATGGCCACAAAACTATGGGTCCAAGGAGTGAAATGTGGGTTTGAATGAGAATGGCCTCCATAGGCTTGTATATTTGAGTAGTTGGTCCCCAGCTGAAGGAACTGCTTGGGAAGGATGGGGGTGTGGTCTTGTTGAAGGAGGTGTATCCCTGAGGCAGATACTGAGTTTCCAAAAGCCCCACCCACTTCCAGTTAGCTCACTCTGCCTCATGGTTGTGTCTCAAGATGTGAGTTCTTAGTTTCTGCTCCAGTATCATGCCAGCCTGCCTGCTGCCATGTTCCCAGTCACCTGAGACTATAAGTTCCAAGTAAACTATCTCTGGTGTCACCGGCTTGGTACTCCCCTGAAATGACTCATATAAAGGAACTTGGGACAATCTCATACAGTAACTAGTGGCAATCTGTTGAGATAGTTCACTGGGCCCTTGCTACCAAACCTCACAACCTGAGTTCTGTCCCTGAAACCCATACGGTTGAAGGAGAGGACCACCTATAACTGACACACATGTGTGTGGTATTAGTGTAACCACACACATATACAACAATAAATAAATATAAATATAAAACAAAAAATTATGGCTCTTGTTTGGGTCTACTCCTTGTGGCTTGCTCTGCCCAAATGCTATGAAATGCCTCTCTTATATGACATAGGCATTTGAGGGAGCCAAGGCTGAAAAGAGGATTTAAATAACCAGATGACACCATTGCCACTTCCACTAAGCTGTAGCAACAATATTCCTCAAGTGCCCAGAAGAGACCATGTGTTCCCAAGCACCACCACCACCTCACAGAGCACCAGGAAAGGCCTCAGCTCCTGTAGCATCTCTATGACACTGCCTATCACCTCTTCTCAACTCTCAGCACCTACCTTGTCAGCAATATCCTCCTCTGGGCACTCCACAGGCTCGGGGGGAGGGTCCTCCAGGGCATCCATGGTCAGGGTACCCGACTGATGCAGATACCTACAGAAAAGAACCAATAGCAGAGGGAAGAATGGAAAAACCCAAAAGATAAACTCTTCAAACAAGAGTACTTCCAAGTCCCTCTGAAAGGCAGGCATCAGCCTCATGGAGCACATGCCATCCCCAGCTCCTGGGGCCACCGTTCTTCTTATCGCTGCACCAAGAAGGGGCGTCCCTGGGCCAATCAGCATTACCAAGGGGCCGGGAACAAGAAGATTGTGCTCCGTAGCTTGAGTCCTCCCTGCACTCTTTGGAACCTGTCAGCTCAACCTTTCCCCCTGCCAGCAGAGGGGACAACAGGGTACTTTGGACCAGGGTGCAATAAAACACATCATTCCTCAGCATGATATGAAATAATCTCAAATCCACTAGAGGTTCATCAAATATTAATTTAGGATCTTGACTCCTGCATAGTATACCTACATGTGTCTGATTTTTTTTTTCTTTTGATATGAGATCTTTTTTTTTTTTTTTTTTTTTTTTTGTCTCAAGACAGGGTTTCTCTGTGCAACTACCCTAACTATCCTGGAACTCATTTTGTAGACCAGGCTGGCTCCAAACTCACAGAGATCTGCCTGCCACCACTGCCCAGCCGAGATTAGGTCGTCCTTGATATATATGTAACACAGACTGGCCTCAGGTCTTCCTGCTTTAGCAGGCTGATTCCTATGGGACAATGTGCCCAGATCTACATATATTTTATTTTTGTTCTGAGACACATCTTGTTGTGTTTGTTGGTTAGCCTGGAATTTGCCATGTAGACCAGGATGGCCTCAAATGCTGAGATCCACTTGCCTCTGCTGGATTAAAGGTGTGCACCACCATAATCAGCTTCTACCTACATCTTTTTTTTAGATTTATTTATCTATTATATATACAGTGTTCTGCCTGCATGTATGTCTGTTGGCCAGAAGAGGGCACCAGATCTCATTACAGATGGTTGTGAGCCCCTATGTGGTTGCTGGGAATTGAACTCAGGACCTTTGGAAGAGCAGGCAGTGCTCTTAACCGCTGAGCCATCTCTCCAGCCCCTTCTACCTATATTCTTAACACTTAGTTTCCATTGTGCTCTCTGTGGTACTAAAAGTTAGGGGTCCTGTGGGGATTGTGAACCCCAAAAGTCACTCAGGTCAAACCTTGAGTCACAGGTGGAGCTCAGTACAGGATGACTAGGGAAGAAGAACCCAGGTGCAGTCCTCTGGGGCACCAGTGCCAGCGGTCAAAGCTGCTGACTGGAACCTGAAGTCTCAAGGAACCATAAGGATCTGTCATTTTGCTCTTGGCAGCGGCCACTCCTCAGCTGCAGATGTCCGGGTAGGTGAACTTGCTCATCTGTGCTAAGTCTAATTTAGCAGCAGTTCATACGCCTTTCAGGGCACTGGACAGAAGTGGCAGCAAAGCTGTGTGTTCAGTCTGTCCCACACTTGGGGTCAGGCTCTAAACTTGATGGCCTGATGCTCAGATCGATGTGACCTTAAGAGAGCATTCAAGCTCACTGAGCCTTCTTTTAGGAAACGGGGAAACAATCTGTAGGCAAGTAAGGGGTTTCAGTGAGTTTTTAACAAGAGTATTTTATAGGCAGCTTTGGTAAGGATTCCACAGACTGAGGATTCAACTGTGGCATTTCTCTTTATCAGTGAATGAAGTTATTTCCTTTCTCACTAGCTGAGCTTGTACATTTCCTTTTCCTTTTTTTTTCTTCCCCTCATGAATATTTTAGGGGGAAAAGGAAGCAAACTCCTCTACCCTAGGAACAAAAGCTCATGCACACTGGGAGAGCCATTTACTTCTGGAGCCTGCTCCATGTTTCCTCAAATTCTCAAAAGGCTGTTTGCTGACCAGCACTATGTTCTCAGTCAGTCACTGCTTTTAAATAGAAACTTGACCCCAAATTCATGCCACTCCCTGGAAAGGAAACTGCCCATCCGAGACCCTAGAGGCCACCCTGTGCAGCGGCCAAAGCCTGGGCCTAGCTCAGGATAAGGGAACATGCTGTCCCTACGCACCCAGGATGTGGCCCCTTGGTAAAGCTCAGGTTGTCTAGTTTGGGGAGTGTGGCTTATTTAATCCCCACCAAGAAGAGGGGTTCTTCCTTCAACTCCACTCAAGAATCCCCACAAGGAGGGACTGTGGGTAACAAGAGGAACATGAGGCTCTGGGACTCCCCAGAACCATATTTTACCCAAGGGGTAGAAATAACATCCCTGCTGTGAATTCCACTGGGCCAGTTCTGTCCAGGGAGAGGGCCATAAGCAAGGACAGCCAGGTCACAGAGTCACAGCTGGACACTGCAAAAAGGCCCAGACATTCTGCAACATGAATTACAGGACAGCCATCCTGTATTTCCTGAGAATTATAGGAACAGAATTAAGGGCACGAGGGCAGCGGATTAAAATCTGCATGTATGCTTTGACATTCTTCAGGTACACTACAGGATGTACTTTTGATTCATAAATTAACTATGAACATGAAGGCTGAGTTTCGATGCAAAAAAAAAATACACCTGACAAGAAAAACAAATTCTCAGAGACTATTTCAAAGGATCAAACTGCACTTGTCAGCCTTCTCAGTCATGAGATTCCTCTGACCCTTTGGAGAGATTTTCTCTAGACACAGAGTCTGACAGCTGCCCCTGGCCATGTCAGGATCTTAGCAAGGGAGGCTGAGCTCTCTGATAGTTCCTCTGGCCACTGCTTGTTCGAGAGAATGTGAGCAGGATGGCCAAGTCATTCCTGTGGAACTGTAGCTAAGTATAGTTGGGTGGCTATATAGTTGGGTGGTTTCTATCGGCTCAGTGCCCCTCTTGAAGAGGCAACAACCAGAGAAGGTCAAGTGCAGATACAGTCTGTTTCCCGCAGGCCCCAAGCTGTCAGGAAGCCACTGCTTCAGGATGAGGGGATACAAAGGCACAGAAAGACAGTTCTACTGGAGGTGCTAGTAGTAAGCCTCTAGGTGAGGGGTTCACCTTTACTTTGCTCCTCATTACTTGTGAGAAAGGGGGCCTGCAACAAGACTCATGAAATTTATCTTTTTCTTTTTTACATGGCTTTGGGAATTGAACCCAAGGCCCATACATGCTAGGGATACACCCTACATTCCCAGAACTTCTTAAAAAATTTGAGATACAAGCTAAGTTGAATCTCCTGCCTCAGCTTCCCAAGTAATTGTGAATACAGGCCTGCAGCACCAGAATGAACTAAAAGTCTCTTTAGAAGCAAAGAAAACATCTTCAAAGCTTCCACAGAGAGAAAAGTCATGAAGAAACAAAGAAGTTTGATTTATCAGCAACTTCAATACCAAAGGCTGTGACCAATGACTACAGAAAAATCTAAGGAAAATTCACAACCTTGCCTCAAACCAACCAAAGGACACTCCTACCTAAGTTCTCAAATTTTACCCCATTCTTTCCCTTCTCAGGAAGCTCACAGAAAGATATGTAAAATAAAAAGAGGTAAGACAGGAGAAGGCTGGGGCAGGGAGCTGGCTGACCCAATCTCTGAAACAGAATACACAGGGTGTGGGTGTGGGGGGCATGCAAGGACCCTAGTTGGAAAGCCAGGCGACACCCTGTACAAAACAGCAGGGGTGCTCCCCCATGGCCCCAGGAGAGGGCCGGGCAGTGAGGACAGGCTGAGATTCGGGAGACAGCGATGAGCATAACGATGGCCACTGACTCAGAGCAGCAGCCTGTGGTAGGGAGGAAACACCACCACCTGAGCCTGGCCCAGCGGAGGCTGTCAGCATCTTAGACTTGAACCCTCATTTCGTGAAGCCTCCAGGAGCCAACTGGAGGGCAGAAGCATAACTCACCTTTTATACCAGGAAGTCGACAGCAGCCAAACTCCAAAAAACAGAAGCTGGCTTTTAAAACTCTAGGTGGTGGTGGCTCATGTCTTTAATCCTAGCAATCGGGAGGCAGAGACAGGTGGATCTCTGAGTTTAAGGACAGCCTGGTCTACAGAGTGAATTCCAGGACAGACAGGCTACACAGAAGTCCTGTCTTGAAAAGCAAAATAAAACAAAACAAAAAACGAAAACCTAAAGCAAAAAAAAAAAAAAAAAAAAAAAAAAACCTAACGAGTCACTGGGCAGGCAGCCACCCAGTCTAAGAGACCGACTCCTAGAGCAGACAGACACACAGAAACTGCGGTCCATTCCCATTCCAGCCCTTACAGGGAATATGAGAGGACAGAGGGAACATCAGAAACTACTATCAGCCCCAGGTCCAGGTCTAAACCCACGGCCCTAGAAATGCCTTCCATAACCTCTCCTCTCAATTGCTTTCTATCAAACCATGAACTATAACTTGAAAGTTTGAATTAAAAAAAAATCAGAAACTATGACTATCAGAACATTTCATAATTTTCACAAGTTATCGAGGCTCTGCCTACCTTGCCACCTTCCTGCTGGAGAGCCGCTTGGCTGGGCTGTGCAAAAACCAAACAAACAGGAAAATAGTGTCAGGGAGCAGACCGAAGGACAAGAGGAAACAGGAAGCTTGGGTTGGGGAGATAGCAGAGCACAGGCATGCAGCCCCTTGCCCCAGACAAGTCGCATGCACAGAATGCCCACCCTGCGTGCACGACACCCTTTGTAAAGGTCTTCATCAGGTCTCATCATTTTATTCCTACGACCTCAGAAGAAACCAAGCAGGACTACAGTACCCAACCAAGCCCCCTGCCTAAATCCACCAGCTGACAGCACCTGGGTCCACATCACTGGCTACTGTCATGTCCCCAAATGCTTCTGAAGCCATTATCCCAGTTGACTGGCTATCACACAGGCCCTCCTATATGATAGCAGAGCCTGTAATCATTTTTGCTTGGGTCCTGACACTTCAATGTCCAAATATCTGTAGGGTAAGAATTTAGACACCCTTCCTGGAGCCACCCCAGAGCAATAACACAGACCAGCTCCAGCAGCAAGAGCCAGCCCAACATGCCTCTTCCAGCTCTGGGGCCAATCAGAGCATGGCCTTCCTCCTGAATTTGTGGGCCCAAGGAAGATACAACTGTGTCCAGGAACAAGAACCACCTGTCTTAGCTCACAGTGGACTCGCCAGCCTCCTTTCCCTCTTCCAAGGGCAGGCAGGCAGGCTGGCCATCTACTTGGAGAGTCATTCCCTTATCACTTCAGCTGGTCTCAAACTCACCCCCTGTGGTGGCTCTGGGGAGTAGACGGCTGGGATTCATTTTCATTTGTGATGCTACATTCTGCCAATAGAGGGCACTGAAGAGATGGTGCTAATAGCATAGCACCTAAAGAGAAACGTGGCACCATTTCCACTGGGTTGCTGGCTGCTGAAGGGCTCAGATCTTTTCCTGGGTGGGTAGTGGGATTCGGATCCCTTGGGTGGTGTTTGCTATTTGTGACTCCTCAGAGCTCTTGTCATGCACTGGTGTTCCTACCACCACAGCTGGGTCCCTCTGCCTACTGGATGGCTCCCTCTCCTGGCCGGACTCCTGACTAGCACTATATATTTTAGTACAAATCTGCTTGTATCTTTGGATCATGGACACTCCTGGCACAGTAAGAACAGACTGCTCTGTCTACCTATCAGCCTTGGCACCAGCAAATCCTGCAACAGTTTACAATTCTGAAGATAGATCTCTGCGTAAATCAGACAGCTCGGTTTCTATAAAGTGCATAGTTTTTACAGATACTCCAAGGTACCTGAAGAACACAACACTACAGGAATGCTGTGACCTACTGGGCAAACGCCTGCGACATAATGTAAACCCTGATGCTTCACAGTGAGTTCACGAAGTGTATCCTGCGGGAATCCATGCAGGCCAGGAGGCACAATTCAGCTCTCTCACTAGCATTGGGGTGCTAGTACTTGACGACTGTGTCCTAACGAAAGCAGAGCCTTGTAGGGTGAGAGACCCCACCCCACTCATGCTGAGCCACGTACTAGTCTGACCTCTGCCCCACAAGGCCTAACTGCTATGATCATTGCATCTCGGAGGCAGGTTTTTAGCAGAGAAAAAAAAAATCTTTGGTGATTGAGACAACATACATGTCTTCTTTAACATGCCTGTAACTCACACCTGTTCATCAGTGGGAGAGTGGTTCACCAGCAGGAAGAATGCAGCTGGCACCTTTCCCAGCACTGAATACTGGGCAGATGAAAGCATGCATCCTTTACAATGGTAGCCAGCAGGGCTTCTGGAATCACCAAAGACTGGATTCCCCCTGCCACCAAGTCTTGTAGAGACATGCCCTTAAAGAATACTTCTAGCATTGTGATCAGGATCCCACCAGGTTCCCTCTGATCTTTCCCAACTGGCCAAGATCCTACCTCACTGGGTGTTGGATAAAGGCCTCTAGTTTTGTGATGCTGCACTTAACACAAGAAAACAAGATAACATGTAAGGGCCCCAGGACTGGAGCTGGAACAGGACAGAGGTGTAGATCTCACCTGCCTAAAGCCCTGCAATAGGGAGGCAGACATGGGGCAGCCTCTAACAGGCCTGCAAGCATGCTGCACTATCGGGATGGTCTTACAACACTTCTCACCAGTAGAGCCTGTGTGGTTGTCTGCTGCCTCTGCTTAGCAGGGGATGCCATCCATAGCTTCACAGACAACCCATCTCTTCTCCAGACCCTTTTTCAAGGCCCCAGCTAAAAACTCATCCCTCTACACACTGAGCCAATGGGAAGTTGGGCACGTTGATATGAACAAAGAACCCAAAGATGTTTCCTATGAGTCTGTGAGGCTATACTTCTGGAGATAGCAAAGGGAACTCACTAGAATGCTGGACTCGCTAAAATGCTGGTTCTTCTGGGACTGCTCACAGAGACGCAGGGGGCAAAGGGCAGAGATGAGCAATGCACAGGTGAGGGAGAAACAGGAGAGTGGGCAGAGGAGCAGCAGGTACACATGGAAGGGCAAAGAAGCAATGCCAAGCCTCTGCATTTGAATGAGAGCAGGCTACAGAACTGAAGGCCCAGGGCACAGGTGAGCAAGACTAACCTAGCATCCCAGAAAACTACTTACAAATTTGTTTTCAGAAACCCATCTTTAAATTCCCTAGCTCGGCCTCCATGACTCAGCTGAAGACAATTTTTTGACAAAATGCTGGAGAGTCCTCTTTCACATGGTAGGCTGTTTCCCTACAGGGACGGCAGCCAACAAGGCTGCCACATGCATAAAAGGAGAAGGGACATAACAGCAAGCTAGAGCAAGGCATGCAGGGATAGGGTCCGCAGGAAGAGTCCCATTGTTTGAGTGCCTTGCTAGACTAGGTGACCAGAGCAGGAGCACCCAGTGATGGGGAGCACACTGCAGTGGGAGTCTCCCTGGGAGCACAGAGGAAGACCAGGTCCTCCATGTTACCTATTCATCTCAAGGTCAGTCAGGCGGGCAGAAAGATCTTCGAGGCGGTTGATCTGTTTGTGGCACTGGCTACAGTAAAACTCAAAGACCTCATCAGTGAGGACGGTGCGCAGCTTTGAGGCAAGAGGGTTGGAGCTAGAAAGACAGAGGGCCAGTCAGGAGAGAGGAGGCCCCGTTAGGTTGTCTACCGGGCATGAGGAAGAGGGGAGAGGGAAAGGCGCTGGACAGAAGCAGAGGAAGAGAATGAGTGCTCCGGGTGCTGGCTGTGCTCTGAGGACCCTGAGTCCTTCCTCACATCACCTGAGGAGCTTGGGGCACCCGTCACCAGGAGCAGCCAGGGCTGCCACCTGCCCTGCCAGGCAGTCCACAAGACCACACAGTGAGGGCTATAACACAAACTCCCTTTAACAGGAAGGTAAGTGCAGACACGGCTTTCTCCCCCTGGAAATCATATGAATGTGACAGCAAAGTGTATCTCCAGAGGGAGTTTATTTGCTAGATTTTTGTTGTTATTTTGAGACAGTCTTGCTGTCTCAAAAACTAAAAAATAAAAGGGTACATTGACACATTTGTACTTTTGAGATCTGTGTTAAAGACTTAGGATTCTGCCTAGCCTTCTAGGGATGCTCGCTGTACTGTGATTTTTTAAAAAAAATATTTATTTATTATGTACGCAATATTGTCTGCATTTATCCCTGCAGGCCAGAAGAGGATGCCATATCTCATGATAGATGATTGTGAGTTACCATGTGGTTGCTGGGACTTGAACTCAGGACCTCTGGAAGAGGAGTCAGTGCCATCTCTAGCCCCTGAACTGTGATTCTAACTCAACAAGCTATTAGCACACTAGTGGATCATGACACATCTGTTCCTGGGCACCGAGGTCAGGGAACCAGCCTCATCCCGGGGAAAGGACCCACAGGCTGTGGAAAACTAACCTGAAAGTTCAACTTAAAGAAGGGTAGAAAGGAATCCATAAAATGACACTTTAGACCAGAAACACCAGCTGGGAATGAAGCAAGCTGCACAAAAAGGAGAGACTGCCACAGTCCAGTAGACACGGATGCAGAAACGCCAAATTCTGGAACAAGCCCACTACCTCCAACCAAAGTTCCCAGGATTCTCCCCAGGAGGACGTCACCTGGGGGCACTCAGAGAGCCCATTTCACAGTCAGGGCTGTTTTGAGGTGGCATATGAGCGGGAGGGGTAAAGGCTTAGCTTACAGAAAGCCCTTCCAGTATTGGCTCCACAGGCCTGTGCTGCCGTGATAACCAGGCTGAAGTGGACAAAATCAGGAACCAGAAAGCAAAAGGGAGATGTGGTCAGTGTGGAAGAGCTGTCCAGTCAGGCCTGGGCCCCATTGAGAGACAGTGGCTTCCTCAGACTGAATACTCAAGAGGAGGCTACTCAGGTCTTCAATCAGAGCTAGCCAGGTGTGCATACAAGCCGTCTCCTGGGGCACAACTTAGGAAAGGCAAATGTCTTGCCTCCAAGATGCCATACGTCGGGTCCCTCAAATCTAGAACTTTTCAGAAAATTTGGGGGTACATCAAGACATGGTAGAGCCTGCCTTATGACTCTAAAGTGTCCCTCAAAGCAAGCCACTGGCCATGAAGTGATCAGGGAGCTGCAGCTTAGGGCTGCAGTGGCTCAGCAGGTTCTTCAAGGTCTGCAGTACACTGCAATGAACAGACAAGAGGAGCTGCAGCGAGCCTTCAGTCTGGGACAGTCTCCACACTCATCCGCATGGCGTCTCACTACACCGGGGCAGATAAAGCAAGTTTCCTCTGACCAGCACAGGACCCCACAGAAAACTTTCCCCATAACTAGGCATGAAGGGGGAGTGGACCATGCACAGTGCAGGGTGTCACCTGGGGGTGAGAAAAGCAGGGTCTCCGCAGTCTAGCTCCCCATTACAGAGGGTCTCTGGGGACAGCTCTGCCTCGCTGCCCTCACCGTAATCTTCAAAGTGTTCCTCACTGCCAATCACCATGACGACAGCCTGGCTGTGGGGGCGGGTTCTACAAAAGATAGACAGAAGCAATTCTGAGTCACAGTCACAGACACCTGACGGGATGCACACTATTCGATAAGTCACAAGCCTGAGTCCCATCACCCCAGGAGCCACACTGCTAAAACAGAACAGAACAGAACAGAAACAGGTGAAATCGATTTTCAGTAACTGTGCTATGTCATTCATTTACTAACAGATATGAAATTGCATCATTTCAAAGAGGCTGTTCTTCTGGGGAAAAGGAGACAGTAAAGCGACAGACCATGAGCAGGGTGGTCAGTAGGGTCAGCAGGGCTGTGCTCTTTGGCTGACCGCAGTGCTCCAACAGGGTTGCAGCTTTCACTCTGACACTCATGAAACGCACATATGTGGCCAATGTTAGCAGCTGAAGAACAAACACATCAGTGACACTGCAGGATGAGCCGGGTGGTGGTGGCTCACACCTTTAATCCAACCACTCAGGAAGCAGAGGCAGGAGGATTGCTGAGTTCAAGGCCAGCCTGGTCTACAGAGCTAGTTCCAGGACAGTCAGAGCTATATAAAGAAACTATGTCTCAATTTAAAAAAAAGAAAATACACATACACACATATGAAAACTATCACAAATAAACAATTTATGAGTTTTTAAAAACTTTCTTTGGTAGTGTCGGGGCTAGAACCTAGGACTTATGCACATTAGGCAGACAATCCTGAAGTCACACCACAACCCAACAGTTTAAATAAATAACTTACAACAGTGTACTATACTTTTTAAGTGTTTTCTTGTCATTTTGTTGTGTTGTTTTGAGACAGAGTCTCACTATGGAGTTCTTGGTTATCTGCAACTTACTAGTAGACCAGGCTGGCCTCAAACTCACAGATCTTCCTGTCTCTGCATCTTGAGTGCTGTGATCAAAGGTTGTGCTGCCACACCTGTCAACTTTAAGTTTCGTTTTGTTTTTGTTTGTTTGTTGACACAAGGTTTCTCTGTAGCTTTGGTACCTGTCTTGGAACTAGCTCTTGTAGACCAGCCTGGCCTCGAACTCAGAGATCCACCTGCCTCTGCCTCCGAGTGCTGGGATTAAAGGTGTGTGCCACCACCACCCGGCCAACGTTAAGTTTTTAGGGGTATATTTATTTATTATTTATTATGTCCATATGCAGTAAATGCAGGGGATCACAAAGATATGCGAATACTATGTCCTCTAGCCCTGGCGTCAAGATTTTGTGCTAGTGGTGGCACTTGCCTTTAATCCCAGCACTTGGGAGGTAGAAGCAGGTGGACCTCTGAGTTTGAGGCCAGCCTGGTCTACAGAGCTAGTTCTAGGACAGCTAGGGCTGTTACACAGAGAAACCCTGTCTCAAAAAACAAACAAAACCTCAGAGGACTGAATTAATATTTATCTCTTATAATTTCTCTGTCTCTACAGCCAGACCCCGTAGGGCATTAAATCCAGGAGTGTCCTAGAAAGAAGCATAAAGGGATGTCAGCTGGCTAGAAACCAGACAGGTGCAGCTCCACAGAGACAGTAGGAAGCTACGTAAAGCCTAAACCGTTTCTACCATTGCAGTACAGTTAGGGAATCTACAAGACATACAGACACACAGATACACAGAAACACACACATACACACACAGCAAGGGTACAGACCTGCCTGGGAGCAACAGCAATGCACCATGGTCAGGTTCCTCCATCGTGTCTAGGCACTCTGAGGGCACAGCTGAACCACCAGCACTATCAGCGTCCCCTTCAGGGTGAAGCTCAGGGTGCACCAAGGTGCTGGTGTCCTCATCTGTGAAGGTCTCACACTCACTGTAGGTACTCTCAGACCCCATATATGCGCTGTCTGTCACCTCATTGGCCTAGGAGAGAAAACCAACAGTTAGCCTAAGCAGCTATGGAGGCCACACTGCAGAGAGGACACGGCATCAGTAAAAATAACCATATTCCTAAACATCAATATTAGCTTAGAAATTAGGACTCAGTATGTGTGCATGCATACGAGCACACACACACATTTGTTGCAGGCTAAACACAAGGCCTCTGAGATGCCCTATGTGTTCTGCCATTCAGCTGTACCCTCAGTCCCTTATTTTTAAAATGAAAAAGAAAAGACAAAATTATGCATAAAGGTGGGCACGGTGGAACCCACCTGTATTCCTGGCACACAGAAGGCAAGGCAGGAAGACCATGAGTTGAAGGCCAGCCTGGGTTAACAGAAAAATTTTTGTCTCAAAAAAAAAAAAAAAAACAAAAAAAAAAAAAAAAAAATCAAAAAAAAATTCAAAAGTGGAGTAATTTTAAAATCAGTTGAATAATAATACATCTAAAAGATACAAAGCATCCTAGAATCACAAATATTCCCAACAGAACCGCTTGTTTTGCGGCCTTCAGCATGAATATTACTTACAGTAAAGGAGTTAACACACGAGTTTGAGTATACCTTTTAGAATGAAGACATCAACGGCTGGCCAGATGGCTCTGTGAGCAACGGCACTAGACACCAAGCCTAATAAGTTCAAGACACACATGGTGGGAGAGAACAGGCTCCCCAAAAGTGTCCCTTGACCTCCACACACATAATGTGGATGTCCCCTTCATAAACACATATAAAATTAGTCACAGTAAAAATGTAATAAAGATCAAATTAAGATATCATCACCAACAACTATTTTGTATGTTTAGGCTACTGCTGATTTTTTTTTTCCTTCTTTGGTTTTGATTTTTCAAGACTGGGTTTCTCTGTGTAGCCCTGGCCGTCCTGTAACATGCTCTGTAGACCAGGCTGGATTCAAACTCAGAGATCCATCTGCCTCTCCTCCACCAGTGCTGGAATTAGTCAATCATCTAGCCAACTATTATAGTTCAATGTCTGTTTTCTCAACAGTACTTGTTTTCCCCTATGGACAGAACATGGCACAGGGCCCAATTTATGGCAGACTAATTTAAATAATACCAACAAACTTAAAATTAAGGGATAAAAGAGGGTATTTCTACTTAAAAGTTCAATTTTAATTACAACAAAGCTGCAAGTTAGGATAGCCTCTGACATTTCATATTCAGAAGATTCTGAGGTTAACAATTTGTAAATAGGATTTCAGAAAACTCGCAGTTCTAGCAGGAAAAAGATGCCCTTTGTCCCTGAGGTCTGGTGTTCCAAGGAGTGTGAGGACAACAGCCATGGCGTCCAGTTGAGCCTCTGGGCTGATGAGAAGCCAGCTTCACTCTTGTTAACTCCACTAACAGTCTGTGACCTGACACACGAAGAGGGAGCTATAAGGACTTGTCTTAAGGGTTCCAGTGGGTGACATGGGTGGGCACTTCTTAGAGCAAGGAAAGAAACAAGACTGCAGCGTTCTTATGCCTCCAAACGGTACAAAATTCATCAATTCTAAGTAATTTGTGGAAAGCAGTCAAGTCAAAAATCTAAAACCAAAGCCAGACAACACTAGTACACACATTTAATTTCAGCACTTGGGAGACAGAAACAGGCAGTTCTTTATGAGTTCAAGGACAGCATGGTCTACATAGCTCCAGCCAAGGCAATATAGTGAGACCCTGTCTTTAAAAACAAAACAACCCAAACAAGAAAGTGACCTTTACAGTCCAGTTCTGTTTTACCCATGCACCTAAGCAGCTCTCTCCTGAATGAGGCAGGCCAGAACTCCATCCTGCAGAAGCCAGTTCAGAGAGGCTAGCACAGCAGGCAGGCACAGGCAACTGTCCAAAGCCTGGCCTACAGGAGATGGTGGGCAAACAGGACACCATCCTGTGTAGACTCCTGATGGTCCATGAGGGGAGGCTGAGAGTCGCTTACCCAGGCACTAAGAAAACCCTGTAGATTTCCGAGGAGAATAAAAACAAAGACTAGACACAGTTCATTAGTAGTAAGCAAAAACTTCTAAAAGAATGTTGGTCCTGGTGCATAAATACGGCCCCACAAGAGACCATGCTCAGCACCAAGTTGCGGATCTTAGACAAAGGAAGCAGGCAGATCCGAGAACTGGACAAGACCCCAACACTAACCTTCCCAAGACCTCATAACAGGTTGTTGCTTATGTAAAAGGTGACCTTGAGGTAACTTTAAAATCTTTAGAGTGCTGAGAATTGAACTCAGACCTGATGCAGGGCAACAAGTGCTCCCAACTGCTGACCCATCTCGCCAGCTTGAGGCAGCTTTTGAAAAAGCCAACCCAGAGTGGGTTTTTTACAGATCTTTTTTTATGTCTCCTATTGCTTTCTTTGTACATTTTTTTTTAATCTTAGTGGCCTTTTGCTTGTTTATTATGGTTTCTGATTTGTGTTTTTATGAGTACTGTTTTTTTTCTGTATGTGTATCTCAGGGTATATGTTTCCGCACTTTTTCTTTTTTTCTTTTTTTTTTTTTGTTGCTTTCTAAAGAAGGAGACAAAAAGAAGGCCTGGAGTTGGAATGGGTAGGGAAGTAGGGAGGATATTAGAGGAAATAGGGGAGGGAAACCATGATTGAAATATACTGTATGAATTTTTAATTAAAAAATAAAAAAAATATCCCCAGGCCTTGGTGGCACAATCCTTTAATCTCACTCAGCACTTGGGAGGCAGGGGCAGGTGGATCTCTGAGTTCAAAGCCAGCCTGGTCTGTAGTGTGAGACCTTATGTCAGAACAAAAACCGGATGACTCATCCAGTAAAGGCACTTGCCATCAAGCCTGATGACTGGAGTCTGATCCCCAGGACCCAAATAGTGAGCTCCATACCTGCGCTGTAGAATGGGCGACCCCCTGCTCCACGACTAATGTAATGATTTGTTTTTTAAAACCAGCCCATGTGTACATATGCCAGGTGCTCACTGCTGCACCCTGGCCATTTGGAATAAGGGTAACAAGTTCTCAGTGGGGTTAGCACATCTTCTCCTGGGGAGGAAAGAGTTCTCAGTGGGGTTAGCATATCTCCTCCTGGGGTGGAAAGAGTTCTCAGTGGAGTTAGCATATCTCCTCCTGGGGAGGAGAGAGTCCGAAAGCTGGACTCTACTCATGGAGTTCTCATGAGGCTGAGGGTGGTGTCCCTGGGAGCACAGGCCAAGGATGGCACCTTCCAGGGGGTTTAGGCAGAGTATGAGACAGAATCAACTCTACCGATACTAGGGCAAAGATGTACATGTCACTGTCTCCCTCTGGACCACAGATCCTGGAGGGAGGCTGTCCGATACAGTCTCATTTCTAAAGGAGCATTGTGGAGTAACTGCAGAGCCCCAGTCACAGAGGGGGACACAGCCGTATGTACAAACTAATAAGGTCAAGAGGTTCCATCCGCAAGCACTGCAAAAAGCACTTAGGATCCTCTGTTGGATGTGGGACACAAACATGAAGCCCCATGTTTATTATGTGTAGCTAATAGTCTACTAGATGCACTCAGCCACAAAGGAGGAAGACCCAGACTCTGAGGCAATGGGAGGATAGATGCCCAGCTGAGATCCTGCCCCCGACAGCACCTGAGACTTGGTTCTTCTGCCAGCCACTACCGTGCAAGGGCCCTGCCTGGGTGCCAACGAGCTAAATAGCAAATCTATTTTCCCAAGGCCCTTCAAAACAGGCACAAAACCCCTCAGCTGCGAGCACAGTACTACTACACAGCTCACGACACACAAAGCAAGCAGTGCACACAGCCTCACCCACTGGGCCACATCTACCAGCCAGTTAGGACCTAGCTTTGCCCAGAAGGCAACAACTTTATATTACCAACTTCTAAAATTTTTACCTACTACCAAAGTAAAGATGAACTAACTTTAAAATCAAAGTGTCTTAAAAAGCTTCCAAATGTGTCATTACAATCACTAGGTAACCAATCACCTAAGGCACCAACCGACAGATGAGATCCTTAGTTCAGTCTATCAAGTATGGCTAACAATGCCTGGTAGTTCCCATAGTCCAGGCTATGGCTTCACCCTTTCTCTCCATAGAAATAGAATTTGGGCACAATCCAGGCACAGTGCACTCTCAGGTCTCTCCTTACCCTCAGATGACGGCCAAGCATCTTCACAAGCCTGTCTCTGAGCCCAGGCTCTGGGAAGGGTGTGTTGTTGTTGATGACCTCCTCATCATGTGTCCCAGCTCACCAAGTCGCTGGCTTCTCTTCACTGACTGCCACCTCCCTGTCTGTTAGCTGTGCTGGCGTCCTGCGAAATCCATGTGCCCACCTGACAGCACATCACCACCTCAGAGAAAGTTTAACCTGCTGCCAGACACGCTCCGTTAAGCTGCTGCTGGCCAGGTGGGGAGAAGCAAAGTCCAGGAAGCGCCCTTGCTGGTCTTAACAAACAGGCAGGGAACAAAGCAGAGCTTGGCTGTACACTTTAACCTTCCTGATAACAGTTTGTACAAAGGACACATTCTCGTCAAAAAAGTGGTCTCTCCAGCTCCCAGCAGTGGGAGAGGAGGGAGGCACACAGAAAGCACAGCCAGGACAGTTCTAGGACACCCTTATCTTCTGGTCCTGCTTGTTCTTGTTGGGACTTCCTCACTGCCCTTCCAGAAAACACGATAAGTGGTCTCTACCCACCATGGTCCTCCCTTGGCCTGCTCAGATTCTTGGACAATGAGCTTTCTTCTCATGATCGTTCCTGTAAACATCATCAGCAACTTAACTCAGTCCCTAATCCTTTCCTGCCTCACTTAATATTTTGCTATTGCAAGCTAAGCACCCAAAAGGTCCCCAGGAAAGAGGCAGTAGAGCCAGGACTACTAGGAGACCATTACAGAGAGTGCGCATGAGCAAGTAATGGCTCCTGTACTCCTGCCAGCACGTGCTCACAGACACCAAGTTCCACTAGAACTATTTGCAGCAAATCAGTAAAAGGCTAATCGTCTCTAAGTACCAAATACGGCATCTGGGTTTGACATATAGATCTCCACTTCAAGAAGATGTTGGAAGCTGGGATCTCAGCCCTTGGGACGCAAAGGCAGGTGGATCTCTGTAAATTCAAGGCCAGTTTGGTCTACAGAACAAGTTCTAGGACAGCCTAGAACACTAGAGAAACCCTGTCTCAGAAAACTAACAAACCAACAAAAGGATATTTGACATTTGTTTGATTTTTTGTTTTTGTTTGTTTTTTGAATGTGTAGTTCTGACTGTCCTGCAACTTACAGTGTAGACCAGGCTGGCTTCAAACTCAGAGATCTGCTTGTCTCTGCCTCCTGAGTGCTGGGATTAAAGGAGTGAGCCAACACATCTGGCAACACTTTTTGTAAAGACGAGGTATCATATAGTCCAGTCTACATAGGCTTTGAACTTATGATGTCAACAAATGTTACTGAATTTCTGATCCTCCTCTTTTTACCTCCCAAGCACGAGGATTGGAGCCTGTAACACCCATGACTAGCTGTTTGATTTAAAGAAAAAATTGTAAGTTTGTAGCAGTACCTAGTTCTGAAAAACGGTACCTGCAATCCTAAAAAGCAAGACACAGAAGAAACATTGAGCCTGAGTAAGAAGAGCAGGTCTGAGTGTAGCTCAGAGACACCCAGGAAAGGCAGAAACACAGCTTTGCTAAACCCTGGGCAACCAGGGGCACGTGGGGCATGGCGGAGCACAGGGAACTTGGTGAGTGGCAACGACGATCTGTGATGCCGTCAAAGACACATGTTTTCATGAGTAGCAAATGCTGGTCAACAGTGAAGCATCAGCTGTGGCCCAGGCAAGGCATCATATGGAAATCCTCTGCACTGTTTGGTCCATGTACTAAAAACTCCAAAACCTTCAAAAATGAAATCTTTCAAGATTTTAAAAGTAAACAAAACATGTAGAACTGTTTCTTCCATCTAAAACACAAATCAGAGTGCTAGGAGAGAAGGCTCAGGGGTTAAGGGTCACTGCTTTTCTGCACAACACAGGTTTGGTTCTCAGTACCCACATTACGTGGCTTACAACTGTCTTTAACTCCAGCTCTGACCTCCATAGGTGCCTGCACTCATGTGCACTTACTCAAACACAGGCACACACATACTAAAAATAAGTCTTTAAAAGAGAAATTAGGGGGCTGGAGAGATGGCTCAGTGGTTAAGAGCATTGCCTGCTCTTCCAAAGGTCCTGAGTTCAATTCCCGGCAACCACATGGTGGCTCACAACCATCTGTAATGAGGTCTGGTGCCCTCTTCTGGCCTGCAGGCATACACACAGACAGAATATTGTATACATAATTAATAAATAAATATTAAAAAAAGAGAAAGAGAGAGAAATTAGGGCCGGGCAGTGGTGGCACATGTCTTTAATCCCAGTACTTGGGATGCAGAGATAGGCAGATCTCTGTGAGTTTGAGACCAGCCTGGTCTACAAGAGCTAGTTCCAGGACAGGTTCCAAAGCTTCAGAGAAACCCTGTCTCAAAAAAACAAAAAGGGGGGGGAATTAAAAAGCCTAAGTTCTGTGGTACATTAGCCCTCAAAAGGAACCTACTTAGACATTACAGGGCAGCTCCTCATGCTACAAAGGAGCAAAGGTTCTGAGAACGTAAGAACCTTCGGTCTCACCAGTCTGTATCACTTAGAAGGCTGAAATGCTGGCAGCTGCCACTTCTATCCACAAACCAAGGGCTCAGTTATAACTCATGTATTCAAGATTAGTCTCACTGCATTGGCAGGACAGCCCAGAATCCCTGGGCTCAAGCACCCTGTGTCTAAGCCACTCTGAACACCAGGGCAACAACTCCATGTATTTTATAAAGAAAATCCCGTAGATCAGCCATACGACTTGAGATTCAGCTCTTTCCAGTCTGCTGGGCAGTTACAGTGGTCTGGCTTCCTTTGCTGTGACTTTGTCCCCAGCTAGGTGACAAGGAACCCACAGTTATAAGAGACACCACAAAGCACAACCCTAGCTTTTCCCAGGAGTAGACAGTAAGGGATACAAGGCAGGAGGCAGGTTAGTCAATGTTTCCAAACACAATTATTTTCAAGTTCACAAAGGGAAACCTTCAGTGTCTTCTGTTCTGCCTCTGCGTGGCAGAAGGTGACAGCAAGGATTCCACAGAGCCTAGCTGTCCACAAACCTCTACACAACAGGCCCAAGAGATGACTTTTGAACATGTAGATCCTGGGCCCAGCCAGGCCAGTGAAAATCATCCGTGGTTTCTGCCACAGTCAAGGTCTCCTAGGGCCTCCCACCCACACGCACGGGGCGGAGCACTGAGAACAGCTGTGCTGCTCAGGAGAACACAGGAGGGAAGTGGGGTTCGCAGTTAGGAAAGCACTTGCCTCATAGGTGACAAAGTCGTCAAACTCATCGGCGCAGGCAGGGGGCTCTTCATCTTGGACAGGCTCCACACTGTGCAGCTGGCCATCAGGATCTGTGGAGAGAAGACCAGGCCTCAGCAGGCCACCCAGTGATGTCCAGAGGGTCCAAGGTGGAGGAGCAGAGTGTAACTAGGACTCCCAGTTCCGCGCTTCTAAGGCTGAGCTGCCGTGAGATGGGTAGACAGGACTCACTGCAGCTAAAGGCGCACTACTATGTACCTCAAGCTGAGAACTCCAGCGGGAGAGGGCAGAGGGGGTGCACAAGAACCACACCCCCACTAGACAACAGTGCTTGCTAGGGTGCTGGGAAGTTTGTGTGTACATGACTTTTTTTTTTTTTTCTTAAAAAAAAAAAAAAAAAAAGAACCGGGGCTGGAGAGATGGCTTAGAGGTTAAGAGCACTGACTGGTCTTCCAGAGGTCCTGAGTTCAATTCCCAGTAATCACATGGTGGCTCACAACCATCTGTAATGGTGCCCTCTTCTGGCCTGCAGCGTACATGCAGACAGAATACAGTATACATAATTAATAAAGAAATCTTTTTTTTTTTTTTTAAAGAACCAAACAACACTGAAAGGAAAAGTGCAAGATTCCAAGTTCTGCAAAAACATACAGCCTTGAAAGGGGTTACATACAAACCCCACTCAACATTACCAACATCTTGTCTGGGGAAACACTGAAAAATGCAGTGTCTAGATGTTACACTCAACAGTTTATTTTACTCTGTTTTACTGGTGTGTGTGTGTGTGTGTGTGTGTGTGTGTGTGTGTGTGAGTGTGTGTGTGTGTGTATGTAAAGTGGGTTTGGCCCAGCAAGAAAGTTCAGTGGATAAAAGTGATTGCCACCAAGTCTGACAAGATGAGTTTGAACCCTGGAACCCACATTGGGAAAATATAAAACCAAGACCCAATGTTGTTCTCTGACTTCCAGGTGCATGCCATGACATGTATGTGTCCACATATGTATGCATACTCAAACACAAAAAATAATACAGTGAAAATATTTCAAAATATGAAGTTAAGTTTTAAAATTTTTCTTTATTTTTGAAAAAGCTTCTCTGTATAGTCCTGGATGCCTTGGAACTTGTTCTGTAGGCCATGTTGGATTTGAACTCACAGACATTCATCCATCTACTTTTGCTTCCTAAGCACTGGAATTAAAGGTGTATAACACCATACATATATCACGTGTGTGCCTGTGCCCACAGAGGCCAGAAGAGGGGATTAGATTCCCCTAAAGACAGAGTTATAGGCAGTTGTGAACCACCTGAAATGAATGCTAGAACTGAACTTGGGCCTTCTGCAGGAATAGCAAGTGTTCTTAACTGCTAAGTCACCTCTCCAGTCCCCATGAGCTATGGTTATTGTTGTTTTGTTGTTTGCTTGTTTCCAAGGCAGAGTCCTATTGTATAGCCATGACTGGACTAGAATTTGATATATAGATCAGGCAGGCTTTGAACTCAGAGATCTGCTTGCCTCCCCTTCCAGAGTACTTTGATGAAAGGTGTGTGCCCCAGCAAGTTGTTTTTATTTTAGTTTTGGTTTTTTTGAGACAGAGTTTCTCTGTAGCTTTGGAGGCTGTCCTGGAACTAGCTCTTGTAGCCCAGGTTGGCCTCGAACTCACAGAGATCCACCTGCCTCTGCCTCCCGAGTGTTGGGATTAAAGGCATGTGCCACCACCGCCCAGCTATAAGATATGTTTTTTTTTTTTAAAAAAAAAAGACTTCTTTTTTATAATTTTAAATGTGTGGATGTTTGCCTGCATATATGTATGTGAATACCATAGGCATCCTGGTGCCTGTGGAGGCCAGACAAGGTATCAGATTCTCTGGAACTGGCGTTATAAATGGCTTTAAGTTTCCATGTAGGTGCTAGGAATCGAACCCAGGTTCTCTGCAAGAGCAGCTAATCTCTCCAGCAGCTAAGAAAGTAAATTGTAAAGAAGCACCAACTTCTGAACTCAATGCCAGAGACATTTTCTTTTCTTTTAAGATTTATTTATTTATTTATTATGTATACAACATTCTGCCTCCGTGTATGCCCGTATGCCAGAAGAGGGTGCCAGATTTCATTACAGATGGTTGTGAGCCACCATGTGGTTGCTGGGAATTGAACTCAGGACCTCTGGAGAGCAGCCAATGCTCTTAACCACTGAGCTATCTCTCCAGTCCCCAGAGACATTTTCTAAACATTTCAATTACAAAACACCTGCATCTTCCTCTGAGAAAAGAGGTGTCAACATCCATGGTCTCCAAGATGCTCAAGGGGCACTGTGCCCGAGGAAGGATACAGAAGGGCATCCATACCAAAGTCTCATTACTAAGTAATTTCTTTCATGGAGTACACTGACTTATAAATTTCCAGACCCCATATAAAACTGGGTACCATATCACACACCTGTACCCCAGCTTTCCAAATGTAGGATGGGGGATGGAGAAAGGAGAAGCCTACGAAGCCTATGGGCCGACTAGCCTGGTGCACACAGCGCAGACAGCAGGGACCCTGTCTCAAACAAGGTAGAGGTGAGGACTGACACCTGAGGTTGGTCTCTGTTTCCATCCCACACCCACACATATGTGAACACTCACACAGCTTCGCTTCTGTAGAGTAGTGATTATCATGCTCACTTCACGGAAACACTCGCACACAAAAATCACTAAAAATAAGTCAGATGAGGTCGTGCATACCTTTAATCCCAGCACTTGGGAGGCAGAGGCAGGCGGATATCCGAATTCAAGGCTAGCCTGGTCTACAGAGTGAATTCCAGGACAGCCAGAGCTACACACAAAAAAACCATGTCTCAAAAAAAGAACAAAACAAACAAACAAAATAAATAAATAAATAAATAATAGGAAAAAAAAACCTCAGTCCTTCCCTTGTTTTGTTTTTGAGGCAAGGTCTTCTGAAACCCAGGCTGATTGTCAATCAGTCGTTCAGCCTTCTGTGTCCATTCTCAAGTACTAGATTACAAGTGTGAACCATAACCAGTTCATATAGTCATATCTCAACAGCTAAGTGGAGCAGCAACCTTCCCCAGATGATCAGGGAAGAAATGCTTTGGAACAGTCGGTACTGGCTTCCTCTAAATGAGCCATAAAAGACCAGAGAAAGTCCATGCTTTCATCTAGACATGCTGCGGGAGTACCTTCCGCTGCTTCAGCCAATAGTCGCTGAAGCACGAGCCCACAGTGCCGCGGGAGCGCCTTCCGCTCCGTCAGCCAATAGCCACTGAAATACTAGCCCACTGGGGCGTGGTATATTTCTCTTTTAAAAAGAGACGCAAGTCTCGGCTCGGCCCCTCTTGGTTCCGGCTCCTGCTCCTGGCTCCTGCTCCAGCAACTAGGCTCCCTTCCTGACGGTTTATGGTGTATGTAAGTTTTACCTCTCAAAATAAATACCCCCTTAAAACATAACTGGTGTGGGATTGATTCGCCATTATCTGGCGCCCGAACGTGTGGGCTCCCCCCCGCCCCCGTCGTGGCGTGGGCCAAGCAACCAGAGCTGCACACCGCTACTGGCTCCCGACTGGCCCCGACTTTGGGCGGATCGGGGAGGGAACTTTTTGGCTTCTGCTACCCCTATCGGGCACTGTCTTCCCCGCCGCCCGGCTGAGTCCAGAGCTCGACCTGTGCTCGCCAGAGCACATGATCTGTCAATTTAACCTCTGGATTTGAGTGTATATATTCTAGAGTTTACTTCCTGGATTGACGCCATTGCCACGTGGATTCAGGTGCGCCCCCGCCACCTACTGGCAGGCAACGGTCATTACAGGTAAGATTTTTCTTTTCGGTTGAAAATACATACATACATACATACATACATACATACAAGTACAATTTCTTTTGATTGAAAATGTCAGAAAATATTAATATCCAAAAGTTCAATGGTTTTTTAAATTACGCTATGGAGGATATTCTGAAGGATGTCTCTGATATTCCTCTTACTTGGTTATTCCTGGAATCTGACACTTTTCTGGTGTTTGGCTATTTTATCAGGATGATACAGTCCTTACAGACTGAATCCACAATGCTGAGGGCAGAGATTAAAATCTTAAGGACAATTCAGACTGACACCAACCTCCTCAAAAAAGACTTTGGAGTTTTCAAGCAGGAGACTAGATCAGATTTGGAGTTTTCAAGCAGGAGACTAGATCAGAGTTTGGAGTTCTCAAGGAGGAGACTAGATCTTTGTCTGATATGACTCGGTCGACTGAACAAAATATCAAGAAGGTACAGTCTGATATTGCTTCTTTAGAAAGGAGCTTCACTGCTCTGGAGGAGGGGACAACCAAAATGACTCGTAACCTCCAGTCCATGACTGTAAGTGCTATTCAAACAAGAGGCCAGACTTTTACAACAACAAGAATCAGCGAAAGGAATTGAGGTTTCTCTAGATCAAATTCTAGGGGAAGGACTTTACTCTGATCCTCAGGAACAAGCTCTTTATGATGAAAACATTTTATCCATATGTGCTACAGCAGCTCTAAGGGCCTGGGAAAGGGTTCAAGACTCATGTCAGAGAGTAGAATCGTATATCAGGGTCAAACAGCGTCAGAGAGAACCCTTTAGTGACTTTTTACAAAGACTAACTAAGGCTGTACAAATAGGGATACCTGATCCAGAAGCAAGAAATATAGTAATTGAGTCTTTGGCTTATGAGAATGCCAATGTAGAATGCAAAAGGATCCTGGGGCCTTTAAACATCAGATCAGCGCCTTTGGATGAATGGGTTTTACATACAATGAATCTTGATACATTTGATTATGGCAATGAAACATGGGTTCAAGAAACAATTTCCAAAGGTAAAAGGAGACATCAGATTACAAAATGCTTTCATTGTGGCAAAATGGGATACATGAAAAGGGACTGCAGACAATGGAATTCCAGGAATAATGCCTCTTCTAGGAATAACAGGAATAGGAGGACTCAGCCTTCAGGTTTATGTAGGAGATGTGGAAAGGGCAGGCATTGGACGAATGAGTGTAGGTCAACAAGAGATAAACAGGGCAACCCATTGCCATTGGGAAACTCAATGGGGGGCCTCACGCAGGCCCCC